TTTTATATTTTTTGGCATTGGCCACTTTGCAATAATTTAAACCCTTTTTAGTTTTATTTTAATTTTATTAGTGGTTATAATAAAGCCCAAGAAGTTAATCTTTTTAATATAAAATAAGTATTTACTAACTTTTATATATAGCTTAAAATCACGCAGTTTTTTAAAAACCATTTATATATATTATTTGTGCTCCTTCTTATTTTTTAAGAAAATAATAATATTATTTAAGTAGGTAATATAAATTACATTAATTAGCCTAGCTAGGGCGTGGTTTATATAAAATTAGAATATTACTAGCGTATTTACTAGTTTAAAAGGCATAATTTAGTATTTATAAAGCCTAAAGCGCGTTTTAAACACTATTTTTTATTTATTTTTTTTATAAATTTAAAGCCTGTGGTATATATCGCGCAAATTAAGCTATATAAAAATTTTTTTTATTCTTAAATAGTTAAGGGTCGCGTTAAGTAATAGTAGGGGGTATATATTTTTAATTATAATAGTATTTAGGCCTTAGTAATTAATATAAAAATATAAGCTATTATTTTTTTTTAGTATAAATAGCACCGGAGCTCCCGCAGGGCTTTTTAATAAATATATTTAATTTTTTTTTAGGGCTTTTTTAATATATTCACGTAGGACCTTAAGCTTTTTTAAAAATAATAAATAAATATACTTACTTAAAGGCTTAGCACTAGGTTATAACTTAATTATATAATTATATAAGTAGTAAAACGCGAGAATATTTACCTTTACTTTAAAAAATATATTTATATATTTATAGTATTATTTAGGTAGCAGGATTTTTTTAACCTTTACCTTATTAAGGTGTATTATAACATAGTTTTTTTACTTAAAAATTTATACTAAAAGCACTTTAACTCCTGCAGTAATTTTTATAATATATTCTTATATTATTATTATATACTACAAGTATTTAAAATTATACTTTACTTTTTAATTATATATTTAATTACTAGTACATTAATTTAAAATAAGTATTATAGTTAAAAGCCACGGGAACCCTAAAATTATGTTATAACTATTAATATTAATAGCTTTAAAGTTTTACTAATAATAGCATATATTGCGCTTAAAATCTTTAGCATAAACCATAAGTATATATCTCCTGTAGGATATTACCATGTAGCTATTAATTATATATATTTTATAGGCTAATCCCTTATTTTACATAAGATAAGACTTTGCCCAGCGCTAGTTTATAAAATTTACTTTTACTTTAAAGTTAATAAGAACTCTTGCATATTATTATTTTTTATTTTTTTTTTTATTTTTACCTAAATTACCTAGGCCCGCGGCGCACTTCTTTATTTTATATAAACCCCTAAAGCTTGCACCGTGTAAAGCTTTAGGGTTTTATATTTTTTATATTACTAGATTTACTTAAGGGTTACTATTATAAAGGTGCTTTTTTTTTTAACCTCCGCCCGGCAACTAGTAATATTATTTAAAATATTTAATATAGCCGTAGTTTAGGTATTTGCCTGGGTATGGTTTTTTTATAAATAAGTGGTTACTTAAATTACTAGGCTATTTTATGCCAGTGTTTACTTTTACACCTTTTTTTAAGGTAAATAGCGCTTTAACTTTTATTACTAATAACCTAGTGTGTGTTTAATTTAAAAATTCTTATTTTTTTTTTATAATAGTCTTTTTTTATTTAGGCATGTTATTCTTAATACTAGTTAAATACAACACGTAGTTTTTATAGCATTTTAATTCTTAGTATTTATAAATAAGGAATTTTTTTTACATATTTTTTAGGATTTTTTAATATAGGTGTTCTCTGCGCTGGTTGTCCTTATATTTATAAGGTAAATATTTCTTAATTTAATTTAGTAATTACATAAATTACTTAATAATTTACCATGGTTACTATTTTGCGTTGCCCTATTTAATAAGTAAATTATTAATAAGTATTATTTTATTATTAATTATTTTAACTAGTGCATTAAGAAATTTTTTCCAGGTAAATATAGGTTTTACCTTGCGGATATTAAACTATTCACGTTAGCAGTTTTTTACTAGGAATTTAATAAACCAGGATATTTTATAAGTATTATTAAGATAGTAGGTTAAAAAGGTTTTAAAGTACATTTCCATGTTTAGTTTTTAATTATTAAATTTCTTAATATTATTTACTTGGTATAATTTTGCAAATAGCAGTTCCCTTAAAAAATCCTTTTTAAAACACGTAGCTATTATTACAACCAGTTTTATAATAATTTTCTTAAGATTTATAAGGGTGTTAAAGTCTATTTAGCAGGGAACTATTAGTTACTTAATAAATTAAATAGGGGTATTATATATTTATTAATTAGCTTTAGCTATTATAATTTATTAGCGTGCCTTTTTAATTTAGGCACGGATTTATTAGTATTTTTTYTTTTTTTTTTTATAACATTCTTGTTCCTGCAATTTCTTTTTTTTTACTAAAATTATATTTAGTATTGCCTGTAGCTCCTTAGCAGTTTCTTTATTACTTTTATTTTTATGTCCCTAAGCAGGTGCTTCGCGCTTTAACATTCCCTATATAATTTAATTTTTATTTATAAAAGTGCCCTTAGGTTCCTCTAGTTAGGAGTTTATAAATTTTTTTTTAGGCATGTTAGTTAGTTATTAAGTTAGGGTTTATAGTTACTTTACTAAAGTTTTATTTACTAGCCCCTGGGATTAAGTTTACTGCTTAACTATTATATAAAATAGGTTTTTTTTTAAAAAAAAAAGCAATTAAAATTATAAGGTACTTTTATATACTACGCTAAGCTTAAAAAAACATAAATTACTGTAATAAAAAAGTGTTGTATATTTATAATAGGAACTAATTACTAATTTTTTAAGTTAAAGTTTTAAGTTAAACTTAGTGTTTTATATATTACATGGCTAACCGCTGCCTTGGCGCGCGGTTAGATTGGCGCCGAAGTTCCTCCGCCAGGCGGCCTTAGGCTGCCGGATTATGTTATTGCAACACTGCGCAGTTGCAACACCATAGTGGTGATAACAAATAAAGTTTTAAGGCCTTATAATACCTAATAGCCTTATTTTCTTACTTTAAGGCCTGTATAAAGGCAAGGCAAATAATACTTTTATATAAAATAAATTAAAAATAAAAAAAACCTTAAAAAATATATATAAAGGCCAAGAACCTTTTTATATATATAAAAATAATATTTATAAAAGTAAATATAATATTATCACGCTATATAAAAAGGTAAATAAAAAATTAATAACTAATAAAAAAGTATTTAATATTTAGCTTTTATTATTATAAATTTTTATTAAGCAGGCTTTTGGTTTAATTACAAAAAATTAAAAATACCTATTATTTAAGTTATATTAATATATTAAAATAATTTTTATTATAGCCAAGTATTAAATAGTTATTTTTTTAATTAATATTATAACATGCCTTCGCGGTGGTAAAAAAAACCTAATATTAAAATAATTTTATTAAATATAATTAATAAGTTTAAAAAAATATTTAAATAAATTACTTTGCAAAGCACTTATTTAATTATTTTATAAAGCCTAATATTTAACCCTAAGTTTTTTATAGCTTTTTTAACTAATAATTAAAATAATTTATTTTTATTTTAAGTTTTTAAAAATTTTTTTTAGCAGGGCTCTTGTTGGCATATTATAGGATTATTTAATTAAAAATTTATATAAAATTTACTTAAAAAAAAGTTATTTAATAATTTTATTATATTTTTTTTATAACTTTTACTTAAATAGGGGGAGGGCAGCTTAAGGTCTTAAAATTAAAATTTAGATTTTTTATATTTTTAGTGTTAGTTAGTAATTTAGTTAGCATGTTAAAAAACTTTTATATAACTTTATTTAAACTTATTTTAGCTTATTTTTTTACTTAATTTTTAGTTAGGTTTTCCTAGTATTAAGCTATATATTTAATATTTATTTATTATATTACCGCGGCTTACCTTTAAGCTTTTTTTTTTTTTTTAACTTACTTAAAATAAGCTATAAATTTTACTAAGGTATTTTTTATATAGCTATTTTTAATATATTTCTTCCCTGTTACTTTTATACACACCTATTTTATAAAATTATTAATAAAATTAAAAGCTTTTTTTTAAGCTATTTTTTAATTATATTAAACCTGGCCGGAGTTTTTCTTAAACCTAATATTTATTATATTTTAAAACTTTTAAGGCCTATTACTTATTATATATTTAGTTAAATTAGTATTTTAATTTTTTTAAGTTATATTTTTACTAGCTTTTTTCCACGCGTCCAGTGCAGGTATTAAAAATAATAACTAGGTACCTTTTTATATAAGTAAATTTATAGGTGTTAAAGGTACCTAGGTTATTAAAAAGGTAATTAACATAACTAGTTAAAAAAAATTAATATAAAACTTTAGTTACAAGGCAGTATTTAAAATAAAAGGTATTAAAATTTAAATTAAAAATTAAAAAAGCTAAGTTTCTTGCTACTAGGAGTTTAATAGCTTATTTTAAAATAAGTTTTAAAAGTTATTTATTTTAAAAAGGTATTTTTATATATAAATTTTGGTGTAAAGTAACTTTAAAAAAATAACCTTAAGTAACTTAAAATTATAATATAATCTTAAATATTAAATAGGCACTAGTGCGGTGCTAAACTTAATTTTATTAAAAAATTATATCCCTTAATAAGGGATGTACTTTTTTAATTTTTTAGACTGCCTTCCGCTTCCGGACGGCGCTAAACCCCTTTTAATTAAGGGAGTGGTTAAGGGGTTCCGCGCTGGTGTGGCAGACGGAATCTAATGCTACGTCCAAAACACGTGGAAAGCAACAGGGGTAACTAGTATAAGTCCACATAAGATTTTTTGAATCAAGATGGTATTGATATGTCTAAATAGCACAGAAACAGGTCTTAATTTGTACATGAGTTGATAGCAAAGCTACCAAGCAAACTCCATTTACTGAGCCTTGGAGGACATGATGCCTGCGGGGCGAAACTGTCAGCTTTGTTCAGGCCGAAGATTTTCGGTTGCGCAACATACGCTCAACGTCAGAAACGCTCTGGTTAAGGATCTGCTGGAGGGTCTTGGGGTTCTCAAGCTCCTTCTGGATCTTGCCAATGACGGTCTCGGCGAGCTCGCGCTGCTGGCGCTGCTTGACCTGGCCCTCGTAGCGAACCCACGAGTCAAGAACCTGCTTGGCCTCGGCAGCAAGAGCGGTGCGCTGCTCGAGCTCGTAGGCCTGGGCCTCGAGCTTGGCGGTTTCCTTTGTCAACTGTTAGCTGCATTGTCCCCACACACGGCATCGAGCTGACGCTCGAAGTGGCCATCTAAATACCTTGGAAACCTCGAAGAGCTGCTTGGTGAGGTCAACAACACCGGACAGCTCCTTGACGTTCTCCATGCGCTGCTTAACAGCGTTGGTGTGGTCGGCACGGGCAGCGTTGAGGATGTCCTTGTGCTTCTGGACTTGGGCATCGGCCCACTCCTTGTAAGCAGGGCCACCGTACTTGGCAACGGCGGTGAAAACGCTGAGCAGACAGAACGCGGCAACCGTTTCCTCGTTCATCACGTAGAGCTCATTGCTAATGGCGGCGATGGAGATACCGGCGGTGGCGGAGAGGATGGCGGTCTTGGAGACCAGGGAGCTGCCGGGAAGAGAGTCGAGGATCGACTGGGCCTTCTGCTTTGGGTCTTCGGAAGGGACGTTGGAAGCAGAACGGACTGCGGAGAGGGTGACGGCAGCAGCGTTGCGCGAGGGAAGGGTCGGGCGCAGCCGGGTGACGCCTACTGGGGGTCAGTAACTGTTATCATTTATTGAAAGCGATGCCAAAGAATGGTTGGCGGCGTACCAATGGCGCTCTTAGCAAGACGCGAAGCCATTGTAGCGATAGTCAGACCTTGACAGGATGTGATGGGTGAACGGAATTGAGGAGAACTGAAGTCGGGATGGCGGCTTGTGGGAAGGCCGCTAGTCCCGATACAGCAATGGTGCGGTCACCGGAAAAACCACTAACCGAGGAATGCCCGAAAAATTATAGATGAGACAAGGGAATTTACCAGCAAGAGCATTGTTGCCTTTTTTGAGTCGAGAACGGTCATTCGCGCCCAGCAGCCATAATGCCTTCAATTATCGATAAGTCAGCCACTTCCAAGAAGCGAAAGAGCTCCAAGGAGAGCGGTGTTCCGTCTTCGAAACGTCGAGCCGTCGCAGAAAATGCGAGCGCAGAGACCATGGCGAGGATACAGCAGTTAGAAGACCAAATCTCCGAGTCCAGGAAACATTACAACAACATCGCGACGCTTATATCTATGCTCAGTGAGGATGGGTCAGGGGCGAATCCGGACCTGGCAGTCGCAGTGTCGCTTTGCCGAGTCTTCAGCAGATTAATCGCTGGCGGAAATTTGACAGAGCCTGAGCGTGCCGCGGAGAACGAGAAGATTGTCGTGCAATGGCTGAGGGAGCGCTGTCGGGAATATCAGCGGTTGCTGGAATCTATTGTCCGTGGAAGTGATGCTTCCTCCCAGGTGAGTTGCGCTTCGGATTGTATGTCAGACTCAGGGCTAACATCACCAGATCACTGCCCTAACTTTAGCCATGCGCCTCCTCAACGAACGTGCGACACATATCCCTGGTGACGACACTCAGGCATGGACATCGGGTTTATTCCGGAACGTTTTCGAAGCTGTGATTGAGGCCAGAGACGGGCAGGCCTTGCGATCAGAATTCCTCGAGAAGTTCTTGAAGCCCTACGACGATGTCGCCTACTATACATTCATGCAAGTTGGGTGCGTCTTTGCAGAAGCCGATTTCACACCCTCAAGTGGTACTAATGCATCCCACAGCGAATACGCTTCAACCGCCCGAAGCACCGAGATCCTCGAAACCCTCGTCACGATCCTCTCAACCTGCGACACTGTCCCCACCCCGGAGCACAAATACACAAACTTCTACAGCAAAGCCAGCAAGCAAAACAAGAAGCTGCTCTCCGTTAACTCCCATAAAAAGCGCGCCCAGGACGCCTGGCTCTCCATTCTCCGCAACAATCTCTCCCAACCGCTCCGCAAAACCCTTCTCCGCATCATGGTCCACCACATCGAGCCCTGGTTCAACCGCCCAGAACTCCTCATGGACTTCCTCACAGACTCCTACAACGTCGGCGGCGCAACCTCCCTCCTCGCCCTCTCAGGCCTATTCTACCTCATCCAGGAAAAGAACCTCGACTACCCGCAATTCTACCCGAAGCTCTACTCTCTGCTCGACGCCGACCTCCTTCACTCAAAACACCGCTCCCGCTTTTTCCGCCTCCTAAATACCTTCCTTGCCTCTACTCATCTTCCTGCAACGCTTGTCGCGAGCTTCATCAAGCGGCTTTCTAGACTAGCGCTCAATGCACCGCCGCCAGCTATCGTTGCGATCGTCCCGTTCATCTATAATCTCTTCAAGGATCACCCGACTTGCACATTCATGCTTCACCGCGTCATTCGAGACAAGGAGCTCCAAGCAGAGCTAGAAGCAGAAGGCATGGACGATCCGTTCGACCCTGAGGAGTCTGACCCAGATCAGACCGGGGCTATTGAGAGTAGCTTGTGGGAAATTGAGAGTCTGCAGTCTCATTATCATCCGAACGTGGCGTCTATTGCCCGAATCATATCCGAGCAGTTCACGAAACATAGTTATAACCTGGAAGACTTCTTAGATTATACCTATCAGGGTATGTTGCAGGCGGAGTTGGGCACCGGAGAGAAGCCGCTCAAGAAAGTTCCTGTCGTGGAATACCAGATACCGAAGCGTATATTTACTGATCGTTTGCTGGAAGAGGATGGGGGCGTGGATACGGCTCCAGGCAATCTGCTACGAAATTTGTGGGATTTCTCATAACTTGGTGTCTTGTTTTCACCGTTTCGTTTCTCACTAGATAATACCAAAGCTTTCCACACCAGTGCCGATTAATGATTGTTCCGAATCATATACTACCTACCCAATATCACCGCCAAACTCAATGCTGGGTAAAGATTTCTAGCTAATTTAACAAATCACACACCCAACGCCTGCCCCCGCTTGATGCTGTATTTCGGCTTGATACTGTATTCTATGGCATACTTCATTCATGCGGAAGCAGGCCGGAGTGGCCAACCACTATCTTCCGCGTTCACTTCATCCGTCCAAGCCCTAGAAACACTCCGCTGAGGGCATTGAGGCCGAGGAGTATTCGAATGATACGCCGTCAAAGGCAAAGGAGGAATGTCGACAAGCATAGTTTCGCGCCATTGCCGGTAGAGGAATGGAGAAACCGCGACTAGACCAATAGGTTGACTGATGAAATGCTGGGACCACATGCGCTCAGCTCGTTCCGCGCTCTCGTCCCCTGGGTGGTAGTCACAATACACGTCTAGGGCAAATACGCCGCGTTTCATGTCGTCGCAAAGCTCGTCACTGACTTTGACCGGGATTGCTTCGATATTGACCCTCATTTTCTCGAGGATACGCTTGGCTTTGCGACGTCTTCGTCTCCGCCGTGCATTGACCTCGTCTTCCATCCTTTGTAGGACGTGAATGATCTCTTTCTCGGAGGAAGCACTCACAATAGCGAGCTCTGTCTTTTGTGCAAGCTGATGGAGATCATAGGCAACGGTGCGGAATAAAACATCAACTTTAACTAAAGCGTCCATGACCCGAGCAGACAGCATAGACGCGAATGAGCGCTTGTACAGCCGCTCCCAAAACGCCATCCAATTGTAGAGGCCACTGCGGGATTTGCGTAATCTCGTCAACTCGAGGGACGTTATCACATGGCGGCATGCATCGAGGGTTTGTAGCGCTTCCAGCCGGGCCATCTCTAGAGGCTCTGGACCATCCAACGTATCGGCAATAAGTGTAGGCGCCTCCGGCTCCGCGTCTGGGCCTTGCCGGACTCCAATGTCCAAAGAGCGATAATAGCGCGGCTGTGATCCGTTCGTGGACGTTGTTTCTGAGCGTTCTCGCTCGGCTCCAACCCCGGCCTCAGACGAGGGTTCGCCAGGCTCCTGTACTGATGTCGAGGCTTCCTCACGCATTTTGAAGTATACCAATGTCGTACGATTCTAGAGAAGTAAAAGGGTCGGAATGGTGGAGAAGAATGAGAAAATGTGTGTACTGTGAGCGGAGAATATTGCGAGCGATATAGTTTCAACGAGTGTAGGTTCAACGAATGACTGTAAAGCTGGTTATATCATTTATAAGTAGGCATGAAATGATAGTCTCTTCGATCTGGGTTGAGTAACGAGTGCATGGCAGATCGAAGAGTAAGTCAAATGGTGTGCGGTGAGGTTAAACAGAGAGGTAGAGTGATGATAGAGGAATGGAGCAATGGTAAAGACTGACTGTAGTGCAGGAGCCGGAAATGGCCCGCCCCATGGGCGCCTTCCCAGCATGGTGATGCCCAGGTCATTTCCGCATCCGGTAGTATTCCCAAACCCACAGCGAAGAGAAGTGGGCTTCCAGCAGAGCGGAAACTGACATGCTTAAAAAAGATACGGAGTCAAAGAATCTCATATTATCTAACCATGGAATGTACTACTAGACTCATGGTCGCAATCTTGGAGCATTCTCGAAGTCCATGCCATCCATTGCTATAGTTGACAGGAATGCTATGTATTTCGAAGCTTCCCCCTCCGTTTCTCCCAGAATTGCGTAAATAAGAGGCTCAGAATGCGCTCGTAGATATCTCTATACTCCCTCTCATTACTCGACGATGTCTGACTTGCGTCCACGGCAGAGTGAGTAGCGAGTAACCAAGAATCGCCGGTCAGATCTATAGCTCTTTCCCCAGACACTCACGACCGGTTGAACATCGCTCTTGCTCTTGCCTGGAACCCGAGACGCCTCCAGACCGTCAACAAACTGAGGTCCTCGCATTATCCTCCCTCTCCCCTCTGCGTTCGCCCTTCAGATCATCCCATCGTCAGCTGCACTTTTACTTCTATCTCATCCGACTTCAGATTTGCTCTGCAACGTTAAATCCTTTCTTCCTTTCGCTCCACGATATTTCCAGATGCATCTCTTCAAGCCTCTTCTCGCAACCTGCGTGTGTTTCGCCCAGGTCAGTTTGGCCACCGTGGCATTCACCAGGTGGCCAACAACTGTCTACACTGGAAAGCCAGCCACCATGTACTGGAAGGGTGATTCAGACGCTGTATGTCCCGCAACCTCACTTTGCAACCGCCTCTGCTAACCCACGTCAGCCCGCTACTATCACCCTGCGACAGGGCCCGTCCGGCAACCTCAAGACCCTCAAAGTCCTGACGCGTGACGCACAAGGGGGCTCATACACATGGATCCCCGAAGAGTCCCTCCCCGCCAGATCCGACTATGCCTTGCAGATCGAACAAGACGGTCACATCAACTACTCTGGTCTTGTGACTCTCGCTGAGCAGCCTGGCAAGGGGCCTGCACAACCTTCACCGTCCAAGAACGCACCTCTTCCCTCCGACAGCACCCCTCCGCTCGGCGGCGCAAGGAACGGTGTCCAGAGAGGCAACAATGGCTATATTCCTAATTTGGATAGCTCGTATGCCCGCGTTAACATGACCTCGGGTAAAAGCACGGCGCATTCGAACACCAACGACGGTGTCACTGTCCGATACATCTCTCCGGAGATGACGCTGGCAGCCTTAGCTGCTGTCGTTTATTTTGCCGCCTGAGACTAGAGATGCCCAACACGGACACCGCCTATATATCGATCGAATCGTTTCACGGAAGGTGGTTGTGTCGGAGGAGCTGGTTGACCATTCCGCATTGCGGTCGTGTATATATCGAAGCTCAGTCGGGGCTATTTATATCCAGTTTCTGCCAGTTTCTGGTTGGACAGTTGACGGGTCCGAATTGTCACTGCTTTGCGCAAGTCTTGTACCTATCAGTATCAGCTGGCAGTCATTCTGTTGATCCCGCTGCTTGTTTTGCGCCTCTGTTTTTTGTCCAAGTATAATTATTTTCCGGCGCTTGTTTGTCACAGGCAGGGGGCCGATCAAGTCTCACACCTATACTCAGCAGTGTGCAGTTTTATCAAAAGAAATTGAACTAGATCTCTACTCACCGAATGGCACCTGGTAATCAGAAAGAGAGCTTTGTTTATGGATAGTGTGTGTAGAAGTCTGGGACTGGTTTTCATTGTTCCCTGGACTCCTTTGATGGTTGGACCCAAGCCCATGCAGCCTTTAGCGCCCGTCTAACAGCGGCCCCAGACACATCATTTATTCTTCTAGCTGCTTGACATGATTGGTCTATCTATGATTATTACAGATTATTCAGATTTGTGCTGCAGCTTAATATAACAGCACTGGCTAATCCCCTTTCTCTCTCTCCTTAATCACCCTTTTCTCTATTTTTCAGCAACCTCGCCAGTCCTTATTGTTATTGTTTAGTTCAGCGGACAATTGCTTAGAATTTGGACATTGCTTCTATACCTACATGCATTAATGCGTAAGTGATCATTAGCCTTCATAAGTAAGTTGCCTTGTCCAGCTACTCTCCTGTGACCTGTCCTGGCCACCGCAATTTGATGTCTCGGCAATTGGCCAATGCATTCTAAGCGCGATGCTAATAGCTAACATCATCCTCACAGCACCTAAGACACAAACAATAAACATTCTCCTACCGCAGATCTCTCTTTTTGTTTTTTTTTTCCCCTATCAGGCTCTCGTCTTGTTTCTGGTATGATTCCAACTCCCTCCCGTGCCCGCAACGCTGCATTCCATGTTGCCCGGTTTTTCGCATTGTACTGTGAACCTTTCATGTCGGACCTGCCGGAGTTCGTGGAGTGCGACCGCTAGATGTGCCATTGTCGTCATCAGCAAAGCACCTGTTCGCCTGTTGGGTTTATCGTCTTCTTATTTGCACCCCATTATTATACATCACGGCCGATTTTATAAATCTACCTCTCGATTTCCGTCATGCCGAGCATAGTCCGATTTGGTCGGACCAAAAAGTCGTCTAAACCCGAAACCGAGAATGCTAACTCCACTCCCCATGTGCCAGCTACACCAAATTCGTTTCGAGCTCCTCGCATCAGCTTGCCCCATGTCGATACAGAGCTGAACATGTCACAGCACAATGGTTTGTTTGCGGTCGACTCTCCCGAGCGACTTAAGGGCCCAGAGATTGTGGAGAATACAATGGGTTGGTGCCTTTCTTTATTCTCCCTTTGCGTTTCAAATGGCAGTGCGCTAATTGTTTCTTCATCGCCATAGATACAATAAGTCCGCCTCCAAGCTATATCAGTAACGGATCACCAAACCCCATGAACGGTGATGCGACAGCAGGGGAATGGTCTTCCGCCGTCGGCCACGCAGCTACGGGCAAGTCCGGACGTGTCATACACAATCTACAAGAAGATATCGCGCGCCTGACCCGCGAATGCAGCGTCTACCGGTCTCGCGCGGAGGAGACCCAACGGATGAACGAAGCCTTCAAAACGCAGGTACAGAATATGACCGACCGTCTCCGCAACCTTGAACATTCGAACGAAATGAACCTACATTCACTCTCACGTAAGGAAAAGAAGATCGAGGAGCTGCGCGCCGAGCTCCAAGGCGAACGGGATAGACGGGAACTAGCGGATAACGAAAAGGCAAGATTTCGCCAATTGATGGATGAAGCGCAAGATGATTTCCATCAAAAGTGCGCCGAACTACAAGAGGTCGCCCATCACTCCCAGACTCAGTACGACGTCTTGGCGAAATCTGGGCAGCGCGAACGATCCGACCAACAACGGAGGCTGAAAGGTATACGGGAAGAATTCATTGCGTTGAGAGAAGCACATAATCAAACAAATTCGCAATTAGGCCAGTTGGATTCCGTCATGGCCCAGAAAGACCGAGAGATTGAACTCGAACGAGCCAAATTCGAAGCCTTGTTCAAGCAGTATGAGGCCTACAAGCGAGCGCATGACGAAGAAGTGCGAGACTTGATCGAACAAAACCAGCAGGGCCAGGCCAAGCTCGACGCTGCCCTTGCATCCCTGAAAGAAACCGAGGGTCAGATGAAATGGGTCTTACAAGTCAAACGCGAGGTCAACGACGCCGAATGAGCCCTTAGCCCGAATGCCTTAACGCGTCTCTTAGCCAAACAGAGCTTTGCATGGCCAAGAATCTAGCATTGACTCGACGTTTGGGAGTTTGAACATACCCTGCTTTCCAGCCTCTTGCGAAGCATATAACGGCGAATTGGAGTCTCCCGCGGTTGCAGATCCACGCTTGGGAGATTGTATATTATCAATGGTCTGCCATGTCCCTATTCGTTCTTATGGTGAGGATATTTGGCATGGTTTGGAGTTCTGGCTTCTTGATACCCAGGGAAATACTATAGACGGGGTGTTTCTCTCTTGCTGTTCAGCTACAGTACGTTTCTATTCTTAGAGCCTAATAGACATCCATTGTAAGACATCTGAATCTACGGCCAAACCTCTCCATGAGCTGATCAACACTGCCCTAGGCACATTTTTCCTTCGGCAGCGGCCAGGTCTAGCCCTGCCACGGAGCCTTGAGTTTCATGGTTAAGGCAGCAACGGGTGACTGCTCGCTAGGTAGCGGGTACTCTGCATCTGCCTCTTCCCGTCCTCTCTTTCTTTTCCCTACCTGCGGCAAACTGCAGGAATACTGTTTGTTTGGATGTCTTCACTTGTCAATCAACTTTTTTCTTTCACAGCCAGAGACATTATCTGGGCTGGATGATGGGTCACTGTAAGTCAAAACAGGTTTTCACCTGTCGCCGCAGAATTCTGGTGACATCGCCATGGAGACCAGCTCTGGTGTTCTTCCCTTGATCCTCTTTAGATTCTTCCTCTCTCCATTCTCTCGCCTACTCTGCACCTTCCTTTTTTCATCTCTAGATACTCACACAAACCACGCCTTCTTAGGTCATTTGACGTTTCCAACGATCATCGACAGGAAATTCTCCATATTGGGGCCCAACCACGGAAGTCTTATCGAGGAAACAATCTTCTGTTTGTTCTCCTGACTCAGTGGCGAACCCTTTTGTCTCCTTGATACTAGTTTAGAGACTTCAGTTTCCTTTGAGGTCGTATAGTCCTTGTTGGCATCCTTGGATCCGCAGTTATGGACCGATTCAAGCAGCGTTTCATATACGCGTCAATGTACGCATTTGAAGACGCCGGAGTAAGTTACCGTTCGAGGTTGCTCATGTTGATGCCTCGCTAACCGAGCTCTACTTAGATTGAAGAACTCGAACGAGAGTTGCTGTATGCTTCCCTTAAAACACTGATCTTCTAACTCACTAATGGACGCCCCTACAGCCACAAATATCCGCATTCCGATATCCACTGCGAGTATTCTAAAGCTGAAGAGGTACTTGTGATCAAGGGTCAACTCGAAGAATTGATAAGTCCCATCACCATCTTCATTTCCTCCTTTATTGAAAGGCAGAAGGACACAAGTGACCTGCTTGATGTAAGTTGGCGGCGATTCTTCACCTACCGTACCGTACTGATCAGCGGACCAGGCACCAAGGATTCGCTTGTTGGACCTTCCGGCCACTCTCGGAGACCATGATTCCGTAATGGACGAGCCCTATAATAAAGACGCCGGAGGGTTACTGCCGTTGGATGATGAACCTGCGACTGTCGTACCCCACCCCTTTACGCAAGTTACAAAGAATTGGTCAGGAACCGCGGGAGGTGTAGGATGTTTTGGCTCAAACAAGCACCACGAGCTACTGCATGAACTTGCAAAACATACTGGAACTCAGATAACTTCCACCAATGGTTTTGAGAGCCTTCAAGTCTCTGGTCGTATGGAAGACGATGTAAACGACGCCTTGGAGAGGCTGTCACGAATTGAGAAGCCGCTGGTACGTTACTTTTAACCTTCCTGTTTTATCTTACTGACTCTCGAGGAAGTCTTATCTATGCGACCGAAAAACTGAAAATCTCGCTCTCGATGTCACCATACCTGGCAGTCGATTGTTGATACAAAAGTTTGACGACATTCATTCCGATGTGCCTCGCCACGTCTTGGCTGATTCGTCTATGAAACAAATATTCGTCACTTGCTTTTATTGCCTAGACAAGGACACTGGGAACTACAACCCTTCAAACAGCCTCCTTCAGCCACCGGTGTGCAGAGGTGAGAACAGTGAATCGCGCATTTGGAATCCCTTTGTCTTTCAAGAGATTGGCAAAGAGGATGAGTTTACTGCGCTGGGCTCGCCGGCGGAAACCAATGATGCCGAAACCCAGTTGATGCTCCGTACTTCTAATCTCTCTCCAGAGAAAGAAAAAGAAGTCAGGCAATGGACGGAACATTTAGAGCTGAATGTGGAAGCCCCCAAGAAATTACCGGGAATCAAGTTGCGAAGGCCAATCCAGTCACAAGCTGGCGCAAAGCAAAGCCTCGAGATCGAAACGCCTAGGACTGCCCCTTCTGTGTCGCAGCTGAGCTCACCTGAAACGAGGAACTCGCCTCGAGAGCGTTCGGTGATGGACTGCTCAAACCCGAGTAGCTCTCCCAATACACACTCCCCCATCGCCAAAGTCGCCAAATCTCTGAGCAACTGTAACACATCATCCGGGGGGTCTGCTATGTGCTTCACCAAACCCAATATTATCTCACGACCAGCCGCATCGTTAGTAACCCAGAATTCCAGTAGCAATTCGAAACTCAAAAGGTCCAATGAGAACGTCACAAACATACAAAGCAGGCCGCCCAGCGAGGCTCGTAATGGGCTTGCTGTTAAGCAAGGGCAGCTAATTGACGTGATGACGTCGGTCGAACCCATTGAGATTGAGCGCTTGCAGGCACAGATCACGATGACTGGTCTTCATCCACCACCGTCCTCCGCTAGCGAAGCACCAAATCTTCTAAGCTCATCTGGTGCCCAGCTTACGGCACCAACTGAGGGTCAATCCGCTGATTTTCGGGGGCTGCACATAGTCGGGCCCGCGAGCTCCAGCGGCTCAATTACTTCAAACTCTGAGGTATTCGAGGCCTCGAAGGAGAAGCAGGAGACGCGGTTGAAAAATCTGTATCTTTCGTATAATAGCTCGGCCGAAACACCCTCAACCCCAGCTAGGCCATGCCAACGGGACTACAGCAGATTGCTTGAGAATCGGATACTTGGTGACCTCGAAAGGGCCACCAAATCCGAAACCGTACAAGGCAATGATGAGGCAACGACCAGGAAGTACCATCGAATCATGGGTCAGAAAGCCTCGAAGCCTGCCCAAAAGACAACCAGCAAAGCTGCCGCCTCAGCTAAAAAACAAGCTACACTTGATGATGCATGGGGGAAGCCGAAGAAGAAGAAGCCCGTAGACGATGCGGAGAAGAAAGGAACAACCGAGAAACTTCGGAAGACAAGCGTCGATAAAGACACTGAGCGCTTGTTCGCAGTGTTGCAGCCAATACTCGAAGCAGCCGAGTCATTTCCTGGCCCGGTCACTTTTGACATCCAGTTCGGGCTCGTGTTGATTCCGCTCATGCCCCGGACGCAGAATGCCAACTTGATGTCTCCGGCCGAATGGTCAAAGATATTCCAACCCCGAAACGGAGTTTCCGCGCCCTCTACCGAGTTTGTGAACAAGCTCACCGCTTGTGGTTCTGAAATTGATCATATTATTGACCTTCGAACGTCCAAGGCTGAAGGAAAGTCGCAACTATTTGAACAGCGGTATGACGAGTACTGTGTGCAATACGAGTTCCACTGTCGGCCAAGCGCAGACGAACTGCTTATTGTTGTCATTGACGAGCAGGGACGCTCCTCCATCGAAAACCCGAAAGCAACCCTAGGAGCAGTAAATATGCATTTTCCCAGAAGTATCTGGGACGCACGCGCAGTGATTGAGGCTACCACTCAGTATCAACCTGGATCTCATCCGGACGTCGAAGAATGTGCGAAGCATATTGCCGAGCATCTTTGGATTCCAGGGGGTAAAAACATTTGTATACACACTTCGCTGCCAAAGGGAAGCAAGATCAGCGTAGAAAAGGTGGTCATGAGACGCTGGACCAGACATCGGTACCTTCCTTCTGGCGAATACACGCGTGGTGACAACCAGGATATCCTTCTCCAAGTTACGGAGGTGCAGGACTTGTTCGTCGGTTTCGTGGCTAAGTCGTCCTTGGACAATCAATATGTCAGAGCCCGCTACACCAACCCGGAGGAGATGATCCAAAGGCAAAAAGCGTGGTACGAGCTCTCACTTGTTAGCCGTCCGATCGAGACCATTCTCGCTACAAATGCAGCCCTCGAAGTAGGTCATAAGACCGAGGAGTGGTGCAGCGCCGACTTGCTCGGGAATACCGGTCTGTCTCTCAAGGAATCATCACCCAAGAGCCCTGCAGCGGCAGCAGTCGGTGCGGCGGGTATAGCCCAGATGGTAGGACTGGCCAAAGAAGTTGTCAAAAGGATGGATATTGTTGGAGCCTGCAATCATGGCCCGGTGACACAGGGTACTTTGCAGACTAGCAAAGGTTTCGACTACTACCAAATCCAGAGTGTCAAGGAAGTTGAGAGTGTCAAGGAAGTTGAGAGCGTCAAGGAGACGATGAACGCCGACGCCTTTGACATCGTTGCGCATCAGAAAGCGGAGAAAGAGAAGAAGGAGAAGGAGTTCTGGTAGTTTACGGTAGGAACGTTGGAAGGTAGGGCACGGAAAGCAATCTCGACTCCGACCTCGGAGCAAGTCACCACCCCCATCCACGTTTGTCCTTCGATTTGACGGTCCACGTTGATCCTGTTTATTCTCGATCTATGCCAACGCGGTCCAACCAACGTGATTTACCCTTCCCCATGTTCCGTCCTCGGTTTAAGGTTCATATTGAAATAGTTCATCCTTGATCTATCCTACGTGGATTGACCTAATTCATGTACCAAACTCTCTAATGTCAGATCCGAAGTCCGTGACGGGGGACACAGACTGTGAAATAGCTAGACATTGCTTTGAAGACAAGAAAGACACTAATCAAACAATGATGCTTTCGTACAGCTCCGAGCATGATTCTAATGACGCCCCTTTCGTAGGGTCTGAAAATAATAGACGCGTATGCATAAACTACAGTAGCCTCGTGAATTTAGGATCAGGGTCTACGGTTAAGTAGCTCAAGAAAATAACGTATTCCTCTATTTATCTATCTATATAGGCGGGAGAAGATCTTCGATACGCCATCCTTCTTCTTCAATCATCATCCTCTGTATCCTCAATACTCCTCAGCCAAGCGCCCCTCGCATCAACAGCAGCCTTCCTAACATCCCGCTTCGGATCATCAAGAACAAACCTCAGCGCGCGGAGAACCTGGCTTCGAACGGGCAGAAACGGCGATAGCTTCCCGGCCCTTGCTACTGCAGGAGCATTCTCCGCGGAAGGAGGCTGAGCGAGCAAGTAAAGGCACCGGAGGGCGTCAACGCGAAGGCGGGGGGCGTTTACGGCTCCACCGCCACTAGCGGAGGCAGAACGATTATGCTCGGCAGTCTTGAGGAGTCGGGTGACGAGGCTCTGGACGTGTCCGCATTCTTCTATGACGCCGACGCCGTTTTCGCGGATAATCACGGAGAGGGTTTGCAGCGTGGCGGCGCGGACGGCGAAAGAGTCGCGGGTTGCTGCTTGGAGATCGAGAGATTGTAGGAGGAGAGGAAGGAGGGTGGGGAGTTCGGGCATGACGAGGGTGGGGGAGATGGTTGAGAGGATGCCTGAGAGGGCTGCAAGGTGGGCGGGTTTGATGTGGTCATGTTCTTTTGGTGTGGTGGCTGCATCGCTGTTTTGAATGTTGATTTCACGGATCTTGGAAGAGATGAGGGGGATCAGAGTAGTGAAGACGCGTTGTTTGGAGAGGAGGCGGATGTTTGCGCCGTTTGTGGGGGAAAGGATGTCGTCGTCTTTGAGAAGGATGGCGAAGCCGCGGGAGGCCGTTGTGCTTGTTTGTTCGGAGGGGGAAGAAAGGAGAGAGAGAAGAGAAGCAAGGATTTGTGTTGTTGTTGGAGCGAGGCGGAGGATGAGGGCTTTGGAGAGCCAGAAGACGGTTTTGATGGTTTCTGGCGTGGTCTCTGACGCCGGCGTAGAGTCTGTAGGGAGAAGGGAGTTCAGTAAGGTATTTGCGACACCGAGGTCCGACTTGGGAAGGAATTTGTTCACGAGGAGGGCAATGTGGCGGAGGATGGCGAGCTGGGTAGGTGGTGAGGTCTCGGCTATGGACAGCTTCACAAGATCTGCGAGAAGGTCGGCCATGTTGGCGGCGCTGTGGGGAAGTGTTGAGTCTGCCGGCAATCCGGCCAGGAGGAAGGTCGACAGGATCATCGTACGTCGCCGGTCATCAGATGGTGACTGACTCAATGGGACAGGCTGAAAGTCATCGGCTGAGGCAAACAGAGTGTAAATGTTGTTTGTAACTTCATCCTGCTTTGCCCTTGGAAGCGACCTAACGATGAGGTTGCAGAGCCGTCCCAGTATGTCGAGCACCGTGGGGTCGCTTAGAATATTGCTCATCGATTTACCAGAAGCGGTTGCTGCGGCAGCCTGACACAGAGTTACCACTATTTTATCATAGTACATCTCTAGGTTGGGATCGCCTTCCAATTTCCTCTGGTTCATGACATAGAAGATGGTCAGGAGGATAGCCTTTGGGTAAGCCGCGGAACCTGGCTGTTCTTTCTGCAACAGTAGGGACAGCTTGGTTAGAAGTCGGCGTACTAGCGTCTCAAAAATGGCTTTCTCAACACTGATTTGAGCCAGTGTTTCTAGGGTCGACAGATAGCTGGTATCTGTGCCCTCATCGGAGTCAGGAAGAGTGGCCACAAAGGCCGGGAAGGTGATGTCCATTATCAGTTGTGGCTGATGCTTGGAAATCTCAGCTAGTGCGGTTATGGCTTCTTTTTTCAAGTCATCACGGCCCTCTGACTCTTCCTTCAGAAGAATCTCGTTGAGATATTGCACAAACAAGCCGATCTCAGACTCATGAAAGTAACCCCGCAGGGCCGACAGGCGCAAGAATCCTTTCAGGGCAGAAATGCGGAAGGAGACCTCTTCTTTGACTGTACCCATCAAGGCCTGTCCAAATATATCCGAAAACTGATCCTTGAACTCTACCAAAGGGTTCTCATCCGGTATTTCGGGGCTCCGCGTTGTCCATTCCCCGAACACAGTGATCGCTGACTCAAAAAGTAGTGTCAACGTTTCCAGAAGAGCACGTTGTTTCGTGATACCGTCAGCCCCCTGGTAGAGCGTCAAAAGAGGCGCAACAACGACTTGCACGATCAAGGTAAAGGAGGCTGCGGAGGCTTCTGATACAGCCTTTAGGATATTTTGCGCGGGCTTGGCTTGTTTCTGCTGAGGTTCCCGTAGTTGCTCGTTGCACTCTTTGGTGATAGGTCGCAGATACTGAGCGAGAGGCAGCTGGTCATGTATCTGCGCCACACCCTCCGATAGACGCTTTGCTATATCGTGCAACGCCTTGAGAGAGAGGTCGGACAGAAACTCTTCTTGAGCGTTGAGGATCTCGAATTTGAGCGTCTCCCATATCGTGATCGAATGCGTTGAAACGGTGTCTGGGTTATACGAGTTGATGCAGGCAATCAAAGCGTTCAGTGCGTCTTTCTTTTGGAATGTTAGTGCGTAAGCACGTGGATATTGGCGCTAATTGCGTACCTTGACATTTTGAGAAGTCGAATCTAACTTGTCCAGTAATGCTGGGATAGAGTGCGGAGCAAAGTGGCTCGTTGAGGATATGCAGTCCTGCAGGCGATCTTTCAGATCTTGCGCGGTGATCCCATAAGGGTCGTTTGGTGGCGGCTTGAACGTAATGGGAAAGTAGTTGTAGACAGAATCGAACAGGAGCTTTCACAGTCAGCTACTGATTGGGAACCCATGTAGTCAAAGAAACCCTACCTCGACGTGTCTCGAAATATCCCACTCAACCATGATCACCTTGAGGATAGAAAACACCAACATGAGATTGCGCGGGTCCTTCTCACCCGTCATGAGATCCACTGTTCCAACAAGAGAAGTATCACCCATGTTGTGTAGGACTAACCGGTCAGCATAAGATAGCGGCGAAAGCAGGATGCGACGTACCGGATCGGTGGTTAGACATCAGCTCATTGAGCAGCTGGTAGACCTGGAACCTCTGAGACTGCGCACGGGATTGCAAGGTATTGAAGTTCTCGAATAGTCTGTATACTCGCATGTTAGCCCTAACAAATGCGGGGCGATGCGGCCATCCGGATAGATGGATCAGCACTCACGCTATCGCCAATTCCTCAGCCATCTCCTTGGTGAATCTGTCCAGCTTCTGCAGCGTCTCGAGCCCAGCAACAGCGCCTGCATCTTCAATCCGATCGCAGAAGAACGTCGTCAGGACCTGGACTTGTTGTCTCGTGAGGAATTTCGGAGGAAGCGCCTTTATGACAGCGCTCAAGTAGGAAACGGCCTTGCCCCGGAGTAGTGGATCTTCGTCATTTACATAGTCTCCAAGCGACTGTACGATTTCAACGAGTGTCGTCTTCTTGCTTTCGACGTCTATTCGTCCGCAACTGTTAGCGCGTGGTCTCGGTAACTCATAGAGGGGTATTCAGTACCTTGAGCAATTCGCTCGGCAATCTGCCTAGCTTCCTGTTTGTCATGGTCAACGACCAGCATAAACGTCTGCAAGGCCGACATCTTCACAATCAACCTTATCAACGACGCGCGAAAGCAATTGGCATGATCATGACGCTTTTTTGTGGTCCCCCAAATGGCCCTTATCGATGCCGATCACGTGCCGTCTATCCCACTCTCTACCGTATCGGGTCTCCGCGGAGTCACGTGGGGGCGCCGCCCGCCATCGAAGGGGGTTGCGTCATGGGTCCAAACTCCGATCCCGATGGACAGAAGCCAACTGCAGAGGACTGAGAAACAGGTTGGCAAAACGTCAGCTTTATTGTCTAGTTGAAAATGCGACCGTTATCTACTACAATAATTTTTCTCTTCCTATTCCTGTATTGCACACTTTCGATAGCGTGGGGCTTACCATTCTTTATCTCCCGCAAACGTATCCCGCAGCCGCTACTTAACAACCCTCGTGCACGCCGCGCGCGAAGCCTAGAGGACCTCGACGGCCTCAAAGAGTGGCTAAGCAACCAGCAGCCCTTGAGAGGAGCAGCGATGGCATCTTCATCAGAAGATACTAGTGCGGCGGCGGCGCAAGGCGGCAATAATGACCTTATCATATCTGACGTCCTACCCAAGACCCGCGGCATCAACATCTTTGCATCACTCACTCGGCAGTTTGAATCAGTTGAGGCTCGGCTGAATGACCGCTCGCAGAATGTGACGGTTTTAGCGCCTCGCAATAGCGCTATACAAGACCTTCCGCGCAAGCCTTGGGAGAATCCCGATGATTACGAGAGGTTTGGAGAGATGCAGGCGTATGAAGGTGACGAAGGGCAAGACCGAGCGAAGCATAATTTGGAACGGTTTGTTACTGCTCATGTTGTCACTCAGAGTCCGTGGAAAGAGGGAGAAGAGGCGGAGACACTTGGTGGAGATAAGTTGAAGTGGAGGAAGGACGGGGATAAGATATACGTGAGTGCTTCTGCGTAAAGAATGGAGGACAACTATTTCGGTGCTGACTGACGCTTCTCAGATTGAGCCGAGCGGCATTCAAGTTGGCAGTATCGCAGAGCAAGTCTCAAACGGCGAGGTATGGGTCTTGGACGGAGTTATCAACTATACTTCCTAAGTACGACATGGATTACGACTTTATTGACTTCATGAAATGGCTACAGAAATGACAGGCCCAGGTTTTCTAGTGTATGACTTTCATGATCCTATGCATCAAGTTAAGGTCCCAATGTATTTGGATCATCGTAAACGTCTATTTACTATATTTCTTGTTCAGCCCAATATATCAAAACACCCAAAGTTCCAGGAAATGCAGAGAAGCATATCGGAAGGCACTATTTGACCCGCTATTGAGCAGCACCATACTTGCGCAGAACTCTCTCCTCAATGCCGTCGAGGATGGAGAAATGCTCAAACACCTCCAGGTTCTCCGCTTCATTCAGATACATCTTGTGCGGATCTTGGCCAGGCTGAAACGGGTTCACTCCAGCAGGAGGGCCCATCTGCTGGGCCATATGGTTGGCAGCTAGCAATAGTTAGCCAGGGGAATGACTCGAGTGCAATATAAGGGGCGGAAAGGGGTAGACAAACCGTTATCACTGCCAAGAATGAATCCGAAAACAGACTGCAGTCCCATCAAGTTAAGGAAATACCATGACAAACTAGACACCCATCGCACATCTAAGTCACGAGTCATGACACCAGACTGCAGCATCGACTTGAAGCGAATGGTAAGAGGGAAAGGGAGTTTCACTGCACCGAGTCGTTAGCACCCGGCATGCGAATGCCACAAAGGCGAAGTGGATCACTCACAAATGACGAAGCCTGAGAAGAAGGCATTAATCCAGCTCATTATTAAAGTCTGCGGAATCATCATCATCATGTTTCCCTTCATCATGCCCATCATGCCCTCCATGGCCGCAGGATCCGACATCGGGTTCGCGGGGGGTTGGCCGCGACTGTTGGGATCCTTTAGGAAAGCGCCATTCTGATAGCCCGTAACGAGATAGTTCTTTCGCATCTCAAAGGCCTCTTTCGAGAGCACGGCGGGTGCATGGTTACGCAGGTTGACGCCTCGGAAGAGGGAGAGACGCTCCCGGGATTCTGCTAGGGTCGCGGGAGGCTTCGGGGGCGAGTTCATCAGGACTGTGGCATAGTGACGGAGCATCCCAGTCAAGATCTATTAAGCTAGTTAGAGTTGTTCATATCACCGCTCGGAGGGTTAAGCTTACCATGACAATGGAGATGGGGATCAAGATCCAGTAGCTGCGCGTTTTAGGTCAGTCTCTCGTCTGAGATGGGGAGAGTAGTGAACAGAGTACACACAATAGAGCCGGATCCCGGAGGATCGTCTGCTCTACGCCTTGCAATGCCATCTTGGTGGAAGGAATTGGCCCGGTGCAAGCTGTAGCTGGTGGTGACAAGAGAAGTGCTGGAGGCTAGAGCATGGATCCCCACAAGATCCGACAAGGCGGCGGGACTTAATCTACGTACTGCCGCTTTAGCTCCGAAAGGGACAGCTCGCCGCAACTGCATACACCAGCGACAAACATACCACGCTGGACCATTACTTCTTTTTCTGCTTTTGTCACCGTCGCGTCTTCCTGGGTCCAGCTACACCATTCCCTACGTATAACAAACCTTACAATGGCCTCAGAAGCTGCACCAAAGGTGCCCGTCTACTCTCCCAATGGTAAGCTCACGAACATCTAGTCTAACAATCCATATTTCTATATGCAGTCTATGAATTACATTCTTTCAACTGTCAACGCACAAACTAACTGCATGATTCAAACACAGACCTCAAGTCAACAACCGACGATGCTCTAGTCCCCTACCTCAGCACCCTCCCGCAACCCTACACCTTCAAGCAAGACCACTTTAAGACAAATGTCCGCTTCGCCCTCGGCTACAGCGCAGTAGCAATCGCCGCATTTACATTCTACGCAGATCGCAAGCTAGGCTGGGAGGCGACAACGTCGTCATGGGTTATTGCCGCCGTGGTCTCGTACTTTATCTTGAACTCCCTGCTCACGTACTGGATTTGGGCTGTTGAGGCGAGCGAGGTCTTCCGGGGGAAGCGCAAGTCTGGCGAGACGGTATGTGGCTATCCCATCTCTATCTGTCTACTTGCTGCGCTACTTGAAAGCAAGATTGAGGCCGTCATTGACAGTTTGGGCTATTGCTGATTTCGTGAGGGAATAGATATCGATTCGCTCGTCTGCCAAGAAACATACGCCTCTTTACAAGCTAAAGATCCAGTATAAATCGGCTTCAGACAGCATTCTCGAGGAGAAGGAGATCGAGTCACCCTTTACAGCTTGGTTCTCCGCCGACGGGACGTTTCACCCGGAGCCTTTGCGCAAGTGGTTGGCCAAGGAGATCAACGTGCTGCGTTTGGCCGCTCAGGAAACTCAGAAGAAGACCGGTGGCATGGCTAGCGTCGTGGGAGTCGAAGAGACTGATAGCAAGGAAACCAAGAGTGCGAAGAAGCGAAGGTAGTCAGAGACATGAAATGCGCCAAATCCAGCTGCTTTATATGAATCTCGAATGACCGATCCATGTTCTCTGGCACTTTCAAGAGTTGTCATTTTCTCACCAACTCTGCGGTACGGGTTCGACCATGGTCGGTTTACGAGCCCGGCATGACTGCGCTCGAGCCGTTGATGTATGTACCAGCGGCGTTTATACCTTTTTTGCGTTCTATCTAGGTTATCAGCATGACAAGCGGAATTTATGCAGGTTTAAGAAATAAAAGCTTAACATAGGAACAGGGAAATCTATGTCTGTATGCGCTCGGTAACATATTTTGACAGGTCAGTCCATGGGAAAAACGAGGCCTCCCTATGAAGCAGCCTCAAGAGTGCCAGGTCGCTCAGTAGCAGCAGCGGGCTTGATGTCATCCATTCTCTTGTTCTGAATGAGACGCTGCGAGAAACGTGGTTAGCCTTTGGGGTATGTTTAGCTTAAAAGTCTTGCGACTTACCAGCAAGTTCCGGAGAAGAACGACGATTGTGACTTTTCCGATTGAAGGCACAAAGAGGGAGGCCTTTTGCTTAACTTCAGGTCCAAAGTTCTACTCATGCCTGTATGAGCATATGTCCAAGGAGTCGTCATATAAAGGAAACATACCTTCTCACTTGAGAAGTTAATGCACACGGCACCGTCCCTCAGCAAGCTAGTATCAAACTTGTACTTGTCCCCAGGTACACCAGAGATAACGGTATCGCACAGAGGAACAATATCCTTCAACTCCATGCCCTCAACTTCCTCAACCTCGTGTCTGCCCAACTTAAGGCCGGTGCCGCGGTAGAACTTCTGAATACCTGTGATATCGACACTGTAGACACAAGCACCATCGTTCGCCAACAACGCAGCAAGCGGCCGACCAACAACCTCAGAGCGGTTGACAACGCAGATTGTGTGGCCGTGCAGCCGGTTGCCATACGGCAGAACAGTGTTGTAAATGTTCAGGTACTCGAGGATCTTGACGATGGCAAGAGGCGTGCAAGGCAGGATGCACTTTTGGCGCTTGGTCTCCGGGTCCAGGAAGCGGATGTTCTGGTACATGTTGAAGATATAGCGATGGCTGAGGCCCTCTACATCCTTGGACACGTCGACGATCTGCTGCAAGTACTGGTCTTGTCGGTTGTTGAAGATGGGGTAGTATACGATGATGCCGTCGACGTCGGAATCGACGTTCGCGGCTAGGATGGCTTCCTCGAGGTTATCGCGGTGCACTTCGCGGAGGGAGTAGCGGAATCCACTATGTGCAGAGAAGGGACTACGTTAGCTACGAGATACAAGTAGGCACCGGGCTGTAGTGATTGTAGAGGAACGCAGCGCAACGGACGGCCAGGTCGAGGCTTGAACTGCACCGCACTGGGCTGCGCGCGGGGCCATGGGCATTGTAGAACAAGATACGAACGAAAGAATGCTCACTTTTCATGACATGTCTTCTCGGTCCATTGCGCGTACATCAGCGCCGCGGGGTCATTGTTCGCCAGGAATCCAACTAGGTGAGGCGGCTTCTCTAGGGTCTTGACACCCTCTGAGACTTCCTCAAGCAGGCGGTTCGCGACATGCTTCGAGAGCATAACCTTACAATTGGAAGGTGCGGGTTCTGAAGGGGTAGCCATCGTTGCGCAATGAGGTTATTACTAGAGAGAAGATCTGGGAATGAGTCAATGCCGTTTCATAAGTGGTGGAGGGGCCTTGAAATTTTAGGGCGGGAAAACTTCGCTTATCGATAACCAGCATCCCGCATTCAGCCAGCTCGCCATATTTAGCTGTGACCTCATTCAGCTATATGGCATTGAAAGCTTGATCAAATCATGGGCGCAGAGGCATTGATCGGCAGAGATTGACCTGCTGCATCTACGTGGCATGTCCACAGTTTGTAAATTCCACTACTGTCCATACTGGTTCGTGGAGAAGGCAAATAGAGCAGACGTTGCTTCATTGATATAGGTATAGAAACAAACAAAGGAAATCATATTCGAGTGCATATATGTAGACAAAGGAATCCCAGCCGAAGACCAACCATAGAGCATGCAACTCCTTTTCCCATGGACTTGCCATTACTCAATTGTTCGTCCGATGCAGTCCTCTGCCGCGCAAAAAACATCTAAACGTACAGGATATTATTCATATTTTGAGACCTTCCTCTCGGCCCACCGGTTCGTTTGCTTCACAGCTACAAGTAAGAAGCCTCGGTGAAGAAGAAACAAAACAGTGGATCAATTGTACAAGCTATCTTGTCTATACACACAGAGTCAGGATATTGAAACAATACATGGTAGGCTAATCAACAAATATGTCGCTTGCTCACCTATGCGTTGAAGGACTTGTTGAAGTTGGGGATAATGTCCTTGAGCTTAGCCTCAAGCTCCTTGCTGACCTGGCCGTCCTTCTCGATGGTCTCCTGGACCTCAGGGTGGTTGCTCTTGAGGTGAGCAAGGAAGTCAGACTCCCACTGGAGGATCTTGGCGACGGGGATGTTGTCGAGGTAGCCGTTGACACCAGCGAAGATGAGGGGAACCATGTCGGAGACGGCCATGGGAGAGTACTGCTTCTGCTTGAGCAGCTCAGTGAGACGCTGACCACGGTTGAGGGTCTGCTTGGTGGAGGCATCGAGATCGGAACCGAATTGAGCGAAAGCGGCGACCTCACGGTACTGAGCCAAGAAGAGCTTCAGGGAACCGGCAACCTGCTTCATGGCCTTGACCTGGGCAGCGGAACCGACACGGGAGACGGAAAGACCGACGTTGATAGCGGGACGGATACCCTTGTAGAAGAGCTCAGCCTCCAAGAAGATCTGACCGTCGGTAATGGAAATGACGTTGGTGGGAATGTAGGCGGAGACATCACCACCCTGGGTCTCAATGACGGGAAGGGCAGTGAGGGAACCACCACCGTGCTTCTCGTTCATCTTGGCAGCACGCTCGAGGAGACGAGAGTGGAGGTAGAAAACGTCACCGGGGTAGGCCTCACGTCCAGGGGGACGACGGAGCAGAAGAGACATCTGACGGTAGGCCACGGCCTGCTTGGAAAGATCATCGTAGATGATCAGGGCGTGCTTTCCACTATCTCTAAAGAACTCCCCAATAGCTTCCGAACGTGGTCAGTTTGCTTGAAATAATGAAGAAAATCACGAGTACGTACCGGTACCAGTGAAGGGAGCGAGGTACTGGAGGGGAGCAGCCTCGGAAGCGGTGGCAGCGACGACGATGGAGTACTTCATGGCGTCGTTCTCCTCAAGAGTCTTGACGAGCTGAGCGACGGTGGAACGCTTCTGACCGACGGCAACGTAGATACAGTAGAGCTTCTTGGTCTCGTCGTTGGTGCTGTTCCAGCGCTTCTGGTTGAGCATGGCATCGAGAGCGACAGCGGTCTTACCGGTCTGACGGTCACCGATGATCAACTCACGCTGACCACGACCAATGGGCACCATGGAGTCGACACACTTCAGACCAGTCTGCACGGGCTGGTTGACGGAGCGACGGGGAAGGATACCGGGGGCCTTGAGCTGGGCACGGCTCTTGCCAGAAGCGTTGAGGGGACCCTTGCCATCGATGGGGTTACCGAGAGCGTCGACGACACGGCCGAGAAGCTCAGGGCCGACGGGGACATCGACCTGGTGGATTGTAAGTATGCGAGAAGATATACAACGGTAGTAAACGACATACAATCTCTCCGGTACGCTTGACGGTCTCACCCTCACGGACGAGACGGTCGGAACCGAACAGCACAACACCGACCTGACCGGCCTCCAGGTTCATGCACATACCCTTAACGCCAGAGGCGAACCTGCCTAGATGTTAGCCATTGCGTTCGAAACAAGTGATGTCAGGAAACCATACTCAACCAGCTCCTCAGCCTGGACGTTGGTCATGCCATGGACACGAGCGATACCGTCACTGTTCGATGATATTCGAGTCAGTCAACGGTACCAAGGATAATAACAGCGATTTCGAGATGGTTTTCGGTGATTTGTTCGACGAATCGAGCGTTGTTGTAGTCGGCACCAAATTTTTCCACTCGGCAAAGGCGACGACGTACCCGACGGAAAGGACACGTCCTGTCTCAGCAAGACCAGACTCCTCCTGAACACCACGGATTCTCTGCTCGAGGATGGAAGAAACCTCGGTGGGCGAAGCCTTGGCCTCAGCAGCGTAGGTACGGACCTGCTTGGAAGCAGCAGAGAGGGGGCCGGGAACAGCCGCGCGAACCTGTTGACCGGAAGCAAATTTTGTTAGCTCGGATGCAGCGCAACCACAACGCGTCTAGGTGGTATATAATCGAGGGCGATATCGAGAAAGGCGATTGACCATCTCATTGAGATGACTTTCGGATGGGAATCGGGTAAATCGAGTCGTCGTCGTCGACCTAGGCAGGGATACAACTCACCGAGGCGATCCTGCCAGTGGCAGTGGCAGCCGCAACGGTGCGGCTAGACTGCCGTAAAGCGTTCCTGAACATTGTGAAAAGGGTTCAGAGGAGTGGGAGAGAGGTTTCTCTGAATAAGAGATGTAATTGGGGGAAGAGGTGAGAGGAGAGGAGGAGTGTGGATGGATGGAAGGAGAGCTTTGTCGTCGGGGTTGGGAGGATTCTCTGGACTGAGACTAAGCCTATTTTTGCCGAGTGCCAGCATCCTCCGAACCCGCCCTAGTGCGCTCACGGGACACCCCATGAAAACGACATCCCGCGGATAGAGCTGCGTTACCACGGCCTGGCGCTTTGTGAAGTATAAATCTATTGGAAAAGTTACATTTAACTCTGTTCTTAATTGACTTCTCTACGCAGCTTCTCCCACAGACCCGTGGTGTTGCCGTGGTCGGGAGGTTTCCCGGGCCGGACAGCTGGCAGTCCCAGTTCCCTTTGGGTCACCGTGTTTGTATTTTTCGGATCTCCGGATATTCTCGTAGCCTTAGTCATTCGTTGCTATAACCACCGCAGACGACCTGCAGGCGCTCTTTTTAGCCTGATATTCTCCTTCAACGATGATTGCTTTACGGACTATTACTTAAAGAATGGACTGTTGGATTGCGCAGAGTATATCTTGCGCTTAAGAGCCCGCCGCGACCCCTTCCAAGGTTCTAAGCTCTCATTCCGCCAAGTTTCGCCAGGTTTACATCACCACCTTTGCTAACCACCACCCTGTACAGAGTAGCATTCCCAGCATATACCTCCAACCTTGTGGATTCATCTCGATCACAAACAGGACTAATGCCTTGAGCAATATTGAAGCACTAAGAATGAAAGCCTGCAAAACCAAGGAGATTATCGATGATCAGTTCGTGAACGCTGCAATAAAAATGACGGTACCAAGTCCAGCCGTATAGAGGTCGACACTTCCGCCTAGCTCTCTGCGCTACCTCACTTCGATGCTTTGTTCTTCTTCTCCTTGAACGCGGCGATTTCCTTCTGCACGCTTGTCTCATATCGTGCCCTCAGCTCAGGACGATAACCGAAGAAGAAGAGGATCTCCATCCAGACGAATAGTGGCGCGAGGAGCAAGGCTTGAACCAGGTTGTCTAGCAGCGCCGGTGCACGGCCTTCAAAGACACCGTGGCCGACAAACTGCAGCAGCCAGGATACGACATGAATTCCACCAAACCAGTAGTTTGCTGTCATTCCGTACGTAGCTAGGAGGTGGTTACCAAGAGCTGCGGCGCCGAGTAGGAGCGGTGCGACGAGAGCGCCTGCGACTGGCTCCAAGAGGATATAAAATGCCGCATAGACCAGTGCTGCGATCGTTCCGACGTTGGGAGGTAGGTTTTCGAACTGAAGAACCTCAGGTAGCTTGAAGAGAGGGGGCGAGTTCGATGCCTAGACATTGACGGTAAGAACTGTCAGTGATACTGGATTTCCGGAGGCACCCGGGAAGCATACCATCGCGATTCCAGTGAATAAGAGTATGGGCACACATGTTATATGGATTGCAACGTTTACCTAGAAGCCAGTCAGTAGAAGCCAACTGACAAGAAGGGGAATACATACTGGGTTGTTATGGTATGCGCCGTACTAGAGACGTGAGCAAATCTCTCCTGTGGCTTCAAAACCCTGCCACATTGATACTTACAAAGAGGAGCTGCTTTTCAAGGTTCAACGCCATCATGGAGCAGTCGGGTATAAAAATGGTGAGCGGCTGGACTGGAAAAAGCGTGGGTTGTAAAAGACAAGCCGCCAGTCTCCGCAAGATTAATGAAGGGTAGTGATGGTATGAGCCAACCCCAGATCATCAAAACGGCTATCGTATGAATGGGGCCGACCGTTTTACTGCCTACTCTGGAGTAGTGCACTCGTGCTGCTAACCATAACTTATTACTGGCTGTATGCATTTAAAACCCCGACTGGCTGCCATAACGGCCTAATTATAGTCTACAATCAACGGGTTTATTGGTGTATATTGTTCTGACTGCATAAACGTCATGTGCAAGCCGAGGTTCTGCGCAGGAAAGCACAATCTGGTATTACCAGTACGGAATTGCCGATTCTCGGCGTACTTAAGACTCAGTAGCTCATACGGTACTGTAAGCGGGTACTCGGATCACATGATCGGGCGGTCAGCTCTGGGCTCGAACCAGACCAGACTCCGGCTACGTGAGAGCTTCATTGTTACTCTTTCGACAACAAGTTGCCTCTTTAGAGGACTCTGGTCGCGACAGGACGCACGACCTTTCGCTCCTTCTCAGATCTTATCGGCAAACTCTTTTGTTGCGCGACCGGCCATGAGTTGTTGAGTTTTCAGTCGTTAATCATTTTTGCCGGCACTTCCAGTCAATCGGCCTTTGCGCCTCGCTGCGGCTTTATATCCATCTGTCCGAGTCGCCCTTCTAGAGCCCTGCTGCAAATACAGACCTACGGCCCTTGAGGCTGAATAGCGACTTCGAGTTATCCTTCAAACTCGCCTCATACGTCTACTATCACACCCCCGAATTTGACGAGCCTTCACGATGTTTTTCCTCAAAGAAGAGACAAAAGTCATCGCGTTACATCCCTCATACTTCGGACCGAATGTGCGAGAATATCTTATCAACCGCCTAAACGAGGAAGAAGAGGGACGGTGTACCGGAGACCACTTTGTGATATGTGTCATGGACATGGTCGATATCGGCGAGGGGCGAGTGCTGCCGGGGAACGGACAAGCTGAATATACAATCAAGTACCGGGCGATTATCTGGAAGCCTTTCCGAGGAGAGACTGTATGCGCGCCTTCGACGCGGCCATGGATAGCGTCTAACTTGCTTATAGGTTGATGCTCTTGTCACATCAGTCAAGCCTACGGGTATTTTCACCCTGGCTGGCCCACTGTCCGTTTTCATTGCGCGCAAAGTACGTTCCTCCTGGCGGCGGTGGCGCATTTGTCGTTTTTGACACTAATTGATTTGAAGAACATCCCATCCGACATCAAGTGGGAGCCCAACACAGTGCCGCCACAATACACCGATCATGCGGACCAGGTAATTGAGAAAGGCACATGTCTGCGACTCAAGATTCTCGGCGTCAAGCCGGATGTTGCGGCGATTAATGCGATCGGAACTATCAAAGAAGATTATCTAGGGTGAGCTTTGCTTTGCGCTTAGTGTTTATCAGTACTAATATGCGCTACCTTATCGCAGACCACTATAAGAATACAAGGCTCTCGAGCTTATGACGATTACGACCACTGAAACATACCCCGAAAGGGAGCGCTGGAGAATCACTATTCTATTCGCAGGTACCAAGCTTATCGAGTCGCGAGAGTCGTCCCAGAAATTGCTCAGCAGTAGCATGCGAGGCGCGCTGGCTTTTCACGAATTATCTGGGTCAGGCATACGCTGAAGCTGAACAATCTACTCTCTCTGCAGTTCTGGCGATGGCCAAAGACTGTTGTTTGCAGAAGGGCGATTCTGCTTTGGCTGATGCAGATCTATTTCACGGACATCGCTCGAGGAGGATGAAGTGGTGGCCTGAGAGCAGTGGCTGCGGAGACTATCTAGAGGCAATATACCGATACACAATAAGATATTTGGAGGCAAGGAGAACTGAAGCATCTTCTAGTCTATAGAGCATAATGACAGCAATTCATTATTATTATGGCGATACAGTTATGCTTGTTTTTATACAGTTGCCTGAGAGACGCGGCCTCGGAGGGGGCGTGGTGGTGAAACACTGGTGCGTCCGTCGCATGTGGGATCCCCAGTCCTGGCCTCCTTGGCCATTATTTGGGTAATTATCCAGGAACCCTTGATGTCGATGAGCCGCCGTCACGCTGCAATTCGGACGTCTTATTATTGTGATTGACCAGACCCGTGGCATTGTTATTGCTCAGAGGCCAGAGCGGCCGAAATACCGCGTGGCGCCCTGTGCTGTAGTCCTTGTGTTGGAAGCCTCCTTGAGAGTCGAGGCCTTGAACCTTCCCGTCAGAGTGTCTTACTCTTGAATCTTGTAAATAAAGGAAGCAGAGACAAGACAATCCCAGATTTTCCCTGCATTCTTCTTCCACCCGTCCTTTCTCTGTGCTAGTACATTACTCGTGGTGACGGTCATCCGTGGTTCGCCTCTTGCGCAACCAAACAAATCCTCATTTGCCTCTTTCTTTTATTTACTTTCCTGTCAAGGACATTTCTCTCCATAGTCAAATCCTCATACTCACCATGTCGTTGCTGAACGTGTACCAGAAGTTCCTAGTGAGCCCCAGCGCGGCTCCGCTGGCGTCTGATGTCTCCTTGATCTATATCACGACTACCACTGAGATCAAGGGCGCCGACAAAGTCATCAAACATCTCACCAAGCAGCAGGAGCTCAAGATCAATTCTCAGACTGTTCTTGACAGTGTACAAGGCTCCAACGCTCTGTCTCTGGATATTGAGATCAACCTTCAGTTCCTTACCGGAGGTGGAGCTTACCTCCCTAACCTAGACGAGACGTTCCTGTTCGATCACGTCGCGAAGTTCCCCACGGTGGGCGCTCTCCCATGAACAAATTCTCCGATGGTGGACTGCGTGCTAATGCGGGTGGTCGCTTCTGTAGATCCATATCGTCCGATTCAATGCGCAGAATGAAATCCAAACCGTCAGGATTTACTGGGACCAGGCTTCGCTCCTCAAACAGGTCGAGGTTATTGGAAACCGCTCTCGCAACTGGCCCGTTCGCGACGCGGATAAGCAGACTCGCCTGATCAAATCCGCTTCCGCTTCAGCACCAGCCGACAATGGACCTCCCCCAGCAGCTCAGCCTGAGCCATCAACCACAGCGAAAGAGACCCGCGCAGGCTCTCCCGGAAAGAAACACATCAAGGACCCCTACGCCGCCGAATCGCTGTACGAGCTCCTTTCTCCCAGCAAAGATCGCGGCCAGGCCGTACACGCACCTCGCGCCCCTGCCTCCGCGCAGCCTCCACCCCGTGACTACAGTGAGCTGTTTGTAGGAGATGAAGGAATTGACGACGTGCCCGAGACGCCCTCGCGAAACCGTGCCATCGCCCCGAAGGCTGGCGCTGGCAAGAACTTCGCCCCGTCCCGCATCTTCGAACCCGAGGAGGTCCAGGCTTCTCCCATGGTGCCCAAGCTCGGCGCCGGCAGGAAATTCGCGCCCTCTCGCATCTTCGATGACGACGATGAGACCGCCTCTCGCGAGAAGCCAGAGCAGATTGCCTACCGCGCGCACCCCAAGCGATTCGACCACTTCGAGCTAGGCGGTGATAACAGCAGTCGCGAGGTCAAGCCGACTGCCTCCCGCCCTGGTTCTCGTCACGTTAACAACTGGGACTTTGAAGACTTCTCGACTCCTCAGAAGCCGAAGCGCGGACCCCGAGGCGAGGAGATCCGCCACTTCGGTTGGAGCGACGACGAACCTGAGCAGGACACACCTCCCGCTAAGCCTCGCGTCGTGCAGCCCCGACGTGACGCCGAAACACACTTCCAGATCGCCGATGGCGAAGAGCAAGGCAACAAGCGCATCATCCGATCACATGGAAACAAGGGCCTAGGTCTCTACAAAGACACGCTATACGCCGGAGAGGGGGAAGACGCCGAGGCAGAGGAGAAAGCCAAGCAGCAAGCCGGCAAAGAACGTCCCCTCTCAGTTGTGCATAACGGTCCCAACCGCAAGAAGGACTTCGAGAGCCACTGGGATGAACCAGAGACCAACGTAAGCCACGAGAACAAGAAGCCCACGGGGGATAGAGTCAAGGCTGCTAAGGCGTTAGAGTCATCATGGCATTTTGACAAGTCGCCTGAGCCGAGCAAGGTAGCGCGTCCTCCCCAGCGTCGGACATTGCAGAATGTCAACCAGCGGAGCTGGGGATTTGATGACGAGGAGTAGGATCACACCGACGCGAATCAGAACCTTAACCATGATTAACCGGGGAAACAAACTTTGAGACCGAAATCCCGGGATCCCCAGTGATATCAACGGCTACTCTGTTTGGTAAACGCCTGCATGGATCTATGACTGTCATTGTTTATTATGCTTCTTTTTCTTCTTTCCATCTCAATTGGTGGCGGACCAACTGTACGTTTCCTGTACCTTATATTTCTTCTCCCTGTACTACTCACCAGGCACCTTTCTCCTGTTTCATTCAAAACTCTTTTTGCTTTTGCTTCTTCCATCCTCCGTACTTTCTTTATCTTCAGTCTTGTTATGTTCCTGTCAAATATCATACCCAATATTTAACGTCAATTGTCAACCCTTCCACTATGCTTCAGTAGTCAGTGGTCTTGGGCAGTCCCCTAGATCTTTGTAGAAATGTAAATCAAACCAACTTCAGCAATGTACATAAATCCTTCACTTTTACTGCCCAAATACTGAAATGTTATGTTCTTGAAAAGAAGCGAGCGGGTAATCCGTGAGCAAATATATATTCTAGTAGGACAAACAAATTCTTCATTCTGTTAACTATGTACGTCTTCCCGAAATTGGTGTAAGAATGACCATCTAGCTAGTGATTGCTCAAAGCCAAAAGTTCCTATAGTTACACCAGTTCCAAGCACACGTTTGAGCATCAGGAGGGTTCCAAGTAATCATCTAGGGTCCAAAACCGTTGCATATCATATTCTCGAGGTTAGCCAAAACAAGCCAAAAAGAACGACATGAACAGAGTATCTTAAATATAGAACATCGTATCCCGGACGTTTGGATGAATCAGCACATCATTACTATCGACCATGACGGTTGGATCGCTAGAACCTATGACGCTACCGGTGGGCGTAGCCGGTTCGAATGCGCTGCTTAGGTAGCAACGGGCACGCGTGCAGACGAGATCAGCGTAGTAGGCTGGTGGACAGATGCTGACGGCCTTGGTTGCCCTACCATACAAGTAGCACATATGGTGAGTCATTGCCTCGAGCATATCAGCTGCATTCTTCGCGGGGGGCGTAATCTTCTGCTTGAGGAAAATCTCGTCCCATACGGTGTAATAATGGGCTGGACGAGCCGTCCCCTTGAGCGCAGTATGGGCCTGCAGGAAGAAGTCCCAGTTGCGAGCTTCTGTCACACCGCGGTCGACAACTGTGCCGTTGACAGTATTATTAGAGCGGTCTGAATCGTCCTGGCGGGTCGGATAGAAGCGGGTATGGTGACGTTTGCCGACAATGATAATGGAAATCCGCGGGAGATTCTTCGCTGTGTCCGGAGCAGGATAGATGTCCTTGCAGGCATTCCTTAGTAGAGGCAGTTCCTGTTCTGTGACCAGATCGTACTGGCCTTCTGAGACTCCATCGCGGTAGACTATAATGTTCTCCGGGTAAGCGCCTTTGTGGTTAGCCGCCCAGCGGCGTAGGTGTGCTTGGAGCATGGAGTCTAGGGCGTCTACCATCTCCGTCCTGGATTCCCTTTGGATGCGAATTTCAGCGGGCCACTGGCCAAGAAGAGAGTCGATAGATGCTACCATGGCTGCGACGCTGGGTGCACCTTTGGCGGAACCAGGCGATGGGTGGGTAACATCAATACCAACAAGCATTGTTTTACCCTCACCGATGATGCCCAATTGGTTCGGTCGGACAACCTGGTTCACACCTCCGAGTTTCAGATTGAACTTCAGGCCGACATTAGCAAAGTACTGCTCATTGCGCTTGGCAAACTGCTCGGCGAGAACGTTGATGTTGCGCACGCCATGGCGGATGTCACAGGACTTCTTGACACAGTTGTATATCGCAGTGTCGCTCCAGGGCAGAATCGTTAATATCAATTTTGGTTGATGTTGACGCATTACCTCAGCGATTTTGGCGTCGATGAGAGTCTCAGCACTTTGTCCAGTAATATCAAGGCGAGTCATGGACACTGGGGGGTTCGCATTCACGCCAACCTCTCTAAGCTTCTGTGTGAACCGCTGTAGACACTCCTGGAGGTCGGCAGGAGCTGAGAAGTATTGCCTGCCTCCAGCATTGATAAGAATGCATGCCCATTTTTGGAGGTTGGAGCTTGTCGAGAATCGGATAGACTTCATGTTCCAGCTGCCATACATGGGTGTAATCTGCTTGTCCTTTGACTTCTCATCTTTGTAGTAAACATTGGGTGAAGGAAGAACTCGCCCGGGCACTGTGATAAGGCTGGAGCTCGTTTGAATGCCGAAATCCATCTGTCAAGGCCATTGGATTAGCGATCGTACTGATGTTGGGGAATAGTGCACGTACCAGGGTAGGATTGGCATGATCCCCGAGACCCAACGTTTTCGTTCCGTTGGTGACAATTGACCGGGCATTTTGCGCTGGGCTTCGCACTGCGAAGTTCAACATTTGCCGTGTTTGTTTAGACGATAGCTTCGTCTTTGCTGGTTGGCCCGACACAACTTGACAGACTTCCACGGGCAGGTATGATGGCTTGGCTATGCTTCCGACGTTTACCACAGGCATGTTAAAGTCTACCTGGATATTGTAGTCTTCGGAATGTTAGTTCTGTTGTGAAAAGAGCGATCTGTAGTAAGAGACACTTACTTCGCTTGAAAAACTCGGCAACAGTGATGTATGATCCTGAGGGCTTCGGACCAGCAATGTTTTTGCTTTTCTTGCCCTGTTCAGGAGCATCCAGAAAGAACGAAACGTCGTTCGGGCCAGCCCCAAGGCAATTGACCCTTGGTGGCTTCTCGAGCGACTTTCCATCGTTGGGAGTGGCGACACCGAGGATGGTCTTAATTCTTGGAATATCCTCCCCTTTTTTGTTCGTCCTTTTGATATGGGTAACCCGTACTCTGAGCTTGTCAAGGAGTTTTTTCAACGCAGGGACACCTCTTCCGTTATCGTACTGGTACTCGCGAATAACGTGACCCAGAGGGCCTTCCTGGTAACACGCAACGTATTTGACTTGAACATTAACAAGCAGACGCGCCGTCGCCGCTCTGACGCTGACAAAGTAGCCTCGAAGCGCTTCAAGCCCGGCTCCCAGATTGAACTTCTCTGTAACGGCATCCTGGATTGCAAAGTGCTTGTTCGCTCCAACCGAGGCAATGGAGTTAGATGATTTAGGGTGATGACCGAAAACGATGTTAAGAGCTTGCAGGATCTCTGCCTTTTCATGGAGCATGTTGGCTGCGTTGGAAGAAGTCAGGTAGTTGAGAAGCTCAGCAGGGTCAACCCGACCTGTGAACTGGCATGTTACACGGTAGGTTTCCGGGTTTTCTCGAGGACCGTCTTCCTTCTCCCCGCGGTAGGTCACGGTGTACTTGACTGGCACCTGGTCCTGCTCCATGATCTTCACATGCGAAATCATGTTCGACTTGTAGTCCGTCACAATGCTGCGACGAAACTGTGGGAAATGATCATCGAGGAACAGGCTAATAATCTGCTTCGCTTTCCTCCCGGGAGGTTTGCGGGGGCCCCCATCGATATCAATGTGGTACCGGAATAGACTCTTTCCGACAGACTTGAGCTCGAAATAATTTGCAAAGAGCTGAACGGACCGTCCCTGGGTGCCATAACCTGGCCGTTCGGGATATCCAACAGACCGCTCTTTCTTGACGAGAGATGATGCTTGGGCATTTTCCGCCTGCGTGACTCTGGCACTGGGTTGCGGCGCACCACCGGGAGGGCTAATAAGATAAATTTTAGTATATGACAGCCAAACCTGGATATCTCTAGGGGAAAATAAAGGCGACATACGAGTGGATAGGAGGGCCTTGATCAGAGCCTCCTTGACCACCACCACGTCCACCACGACCACCGCGACCTCTGAAGTCTCCTCGTCCAGAATCGCCCTGAGCAGGACGATGGGGCAGATCCTGGAACAAGCCACGACCTCCTCCGCGGCCTCCCCCACGATCACCACGGTATCCTCCGCGTCCTCTACCTTCCCCAGGTCCTCTACCGCGGTCACTGCCTCTTCCGCGGCCGCCCCGCTGGGGTGGGCCTCCGGCGCTCGACATGGTGGATGGATAGAGAAATGAGAATATTGAAGCGAGTGGCTCGGTGTGTGCCGATGCTGAACAATGATGTTTAGGATGAAATCAAGTTAAGATAAATGACTTTAAGAGCTGGAGGAGGCGAAGTTAGGGAACGCTGGGAGAAGAGGAGCTTAAATGGAGACGCGGTTGCTGAGGGGATCTTATACGTCCAGCCTGCTCCTTCCCCCACCACACAAAGATGGAGCTTTGTTCAAAGGGAAAAAAAGGCTTCACAACAGGGATGTTTGTGCATGATGTCTTGTGGGACTTACAAGTATGATAGGCTGAGTGCTGTTTCCTGCTTTGACTGCAGCCTGGTTTCGCCAGTCAGTCCTGGACGTAGGCGAGAATGTTTCGACAAGCTGCCTGTCCGTGGACGGGATCATACAGGTAGAAGAGCAACAATTGGATGGAAAGCAAGCTGCGGACGCCGGAGACAAATATTGACAAGCCACAAGCCGCCGAGAAGCTCAAGGCTGACTTCCTTATGGCAGAGATAGATTGAGTTGCGGGAAGGTGAGGGATTGTCACTGCAGCCTCGCAGGCACATCCTCTGATCAGTCGACATCACCACTCAACCCTTGTTGATCAATCGATTACTCAATGTTTTATTCAAACAGATAGACTGCTCCGCGTAACTATTATTGCCCCAATATGTTTCGGAATTATCTAGATAGATCACGCGGTCGGCATATCCGGAGAAAAGTACAGTAAAAGTTTATTACTTTGATAGCTTTTCTTGGTCAGATCGCTTTCTACGGCGTATCTACATATTACATTCCAGCCGTTGCATGCAGTCTTTTGCTGGTTAGGAGGATGATGTCTCTTCTAAATCTGACGGTTGTCTGAAGGCACGAAGCTTGGTCATGAAGCTTGGGTATGGTACTATGATTGCGACCCGCCTCCGCTTTGATGCAGTGGACCAGGGATCTCCAGTCTGAGGGCTCCAACCCATCCATGATCCGTGACGCCGTCTGACACTTCAGGACCAAGGTCCAAAGCTTCCACTCAACCTCATAATCCTGCACAGCATTGAGCAAGCACTCCAATGCTGGTGGACTCCGTATGGCTCCAAGATGGAAGTGGGTGTGAAATGCCAGACCAAACCACCTCACTGTCTGCCCTCCTTGTTGGAGTGGACGTGAGATGTGACTCAACCATCCAGCAAAGCCACAGCCTAACGCGACTCTGCAATCGAACTAGCAAATGAAAGATGAGGTCTCGACCGGGATCCGACTAACAAGACGAGGCGGTTCAGAGAGCATTTTCAGCCCCCGGGCTAGCGCCTGATTCCTGTGGCATGGTGACGAAGGCTGTGGCAGCCTATGATGGGCGCTTGTCGGACATTGCTGATTATAATTGGCGATGATGAGCGTAGGAGGAGCGGTCCATGTCATAGCCGATCTTCTGGATCATCCACGAACAAAGAAAGGCCAGAGGCCATCCCACAGTCGCAGGTCAGTCCTGGTCCATGAAACACAGTCTGGCAGGCGGAACTGACCAAAAGGGCAGGAGTTTGACCGCCTTTGCCTCATGGTGATAACGGAGATAACGTCTCCTCCTCACTAAGCAGAGCCAAGCTAGGAAGTCTCAAGAGTCAAGACTCCCGTTTGCGGTCCTTCTCTTCTTCTCTGCTGGGACTGTGTTGCCCGTCCGGATTCAACACCAGAGACACCGGGATAGCGCGTGCTTTTAACTTGTTGATAGACGTTACGAGTCAAGACTGGCTCTGCCCACGCAACTCTGTACCTCACCACCGTTCGCGATCGATCTTGGCACTATCGAGTCAGAGACGATTCCCACGTTTGTTGTTGCACCTTGATCCTCGCTCCTGCTATATATATAGCATTGCTGGCGGGTAGCCGAGTACCAATACCACATACACTATCAGTCTCGTCGCCTCTTCCCTCCAGCTTGCATTTCGACATCGTGCCAGGTATTCGTCCTCACCCCGCCCTTAGCCCTTACCTGCCCGCCAACACGTATCAGGTGCATTTCAGCTTCTCGCACAAACCGACCGCCACATACTCGAATAAACCAAAGTCCCATTATACACCTCATTCATCTAAGGTATCGCTATCGGCGACCGATCTCAGCTATTTTGACTGGCAGGTGTGACTGGGAATCGTTGCAGCTGGACACTCGTCGAACATTGTGCCTCTTGTCAGTGGGCCGGCACCTCATTAATTAAGTAGGCGCTGGCACTGAGGCTTCGTCTGGAGTGGTGACTGGTCAAGCATCATCGGCATCCTCGGTTGATTATTCTCAGCACTTTCTCAGGCCCTGGGCTGTCGCTCGATATACTCGAATTCTCGGTAAACACTTTTACATCAACATGAGCCCGACGCCTCCCTCCACAACCTCTTCAAGCAACGGTCCTTCCCCCGAAGGTCAGTACAGAGTCGTTCGAAAACGAAATCGAGTGCCTTTGTCCTGCGGTCCTTGTCGGCATAGGAAGTATGTTTAAAGCCCCCCTTCCCTTCATGCCAGTGGATTCTTAACGTCCGACAGGTTGAAATGCAACCGTGCGCACCCCTGTGAGAACTGCGTCAAACGCGGGGATGCCCATTCCTGCACATACGCTCAGACCAATTCTCGAAGGAAGAACTCCGCGAACCAAGCTGCTTCGACCTCCCCTGATGACATGCAGAACAGAATCGACCGACTAGAGGGTCTGGTATTATCACTGATGACCAATGGGTCGCAATCCGAAGGCCCTGCAGCCGCCATGGCAGCAATATCCGGAACGAGCAGTAGCACGGGATCTGGACAGCATGTCCATGATTTGGACATTGACGATGATGCTCCTATTCAGGAGGAAAGCGAAACCGAGCAAGTTACCAAGTCATTTGGTATCATGAAAGTGGATAACAACAAGTCGTATTACATCAGCGATGCGCACTGGGCGTCTGTCCTTAGTGAGGTAATTCATCATCTTGAGGACCTCAATGTCTGTGTACTCACCCCATCGCCTAGATATCCGAGGTGAAGAATTACTTCCACACGCATAAGAAGCAATATGAAGAGCAAGCGGAGAAATTGAAGGCAACCAAACTTCCCACTGACGTTCCTGGCTCTACCCTGCTTTTCGGGGCCATGAAAGTTACCAGCAGAGCTGAAATCATGTCTTCGTTCCCTTCGAAATACACTACAGATATGCTCATAGCGCGTTATTTCAACTGCTACGATCCTGCTACCCGTATGTGCTCAACCAAACCCGCTGACGCTCTACGTTCAACATCGGACGCTAACAAAAAGGGTCAGACTTTCTTCACGGCCCTACTTTTCAGGCCCAGGTAGGCAAGTCCTAGGCACATCCTTTACGGTATCGTCGATTAATCTGGATCTAGTACAATAAACATTGGGAAGACCCTTCCCAGACCTGCATTGTCTGGATCGGAATGCTCTTTGCCATGATGCGGCTCTCCATGCTGTCGTATTATCGAGAGGGTGATGAACCTCCTGAGTTCAGGGGCAAATCACTAGATATGGCTGGCACATTTCGAAACCTTGTGGCGATGTGTCTCACGCTGGCTGATTATACGAAACCCTATCCGTACCTAATTGAGTGCTTGGCATTCCACCTCCATGGAGATTTCTGCCAAACAAAGGAGGCGGACATCTCGGTTTGGGTTCTCAATGGCGTTATCGTTCGATTGGCGATGAGGATGGGGTATCACCGTGACTCAAAAGCATTCCCAAACATCACGCCTTTCCAGGGCGAAATGCGCCGTAGGGTGTGGTCTTTCGTTCGACAGGCCGATCTTCTCTTTTCCTGCCAAGTTGGGTTGCCTAGTATGATCCGTATGGCGGACAGTGACACTGAGCTTCCACGCAACCTCTACGATGATGATTTTGACGAAAACTGCAAAGAGCTTCCCCCTTCGCGGCCGCCGGGCGAGCCCACCCCACTTTCCTACCTTATCACCAAGTCACGATTAGCGAACGTTCTGGGCCAGGCGATTGAGCAGACTGCCTCTCTCCAGAATCCGTCATATGACAAAGTTATGGAGATGGACTCGGAGCTTCGCCGAGCGCGCGATATGATACCGGAACACCTTCTTATGCGGCCCTTCGAAGAGTCCCCGCTCGATCCTCTTGTGCTTATCATGTCTCGCTTTTCTGTAAGTCCCTTGACTTTTGGACCCGACTAGCCTTTCCCATTCTGACGGCATATAGGTGATGAGTGTTTACCACCGAGCGCAATGTGTGCTCCATCGAAAATATCTTCTTCGGGCTCGGGAAAACCCGCGGTTCACACACTCGCGCCGAACATGCATTGACTCAGCCTTGGAGTTATTACGGTTTCAGTCGATGCTCCATGTGGAAACACGGCCGACGGGTCGATTACGCAGTCGACAGAATCGAGTAACAACGCTCAGCTCTAGTGATTTTCTGCAAGCCGCCACGATTCTGTGTCTCGATCTCTACCATGGATACAATTTGCCAAGTGCTTCCAGGACATCTTCTGATACCTATGCCTGGGGTAGAGAAAGGCGGGAAGAGATGATGGCTGCTGTGCAACGAAGCAAAGATATTTGGGACGAGCTTCGGGACGAAACAATGGATGCATGGAAAGCCAGCGGCGTTCTTGGCGTGATGCTGACTGGCCTCCAGCAGCGGGGAAAGCTTGAAGGCACACCCGTGACTCCGGCGTTCGAGCCTCAAGATGAGAAGCAAAGCGCCGCGATGACCTTGGGGCTGCTCAGCAGTGGAATGACCCCGATCGGCCAGGGTGCAGCGTTTAATGATGCGTCCTTGAAATCTACAGAACCTGCACTGCCTAGTCTCGGGGGATTCGGAGTGCCAGAGGCAACCTCTGGTGCCTCCTCTATATTCAACAACATGTTTGGCCAGATGCCGGATATGCAGGTCAATCTTGACTGGGTACGTTAATCTACTTACATTCGCCTTTAACCTACAGGACTAACATGGCCTAGGATGCTTGGGACAACTACATTCAAGGCGGGACGCTCGACCCTTCGGGCACCTGGTGGTCTCCCATGGATATACAACAAACCCCTGGTCCCTTATCACCCCCACAACTAGCAGCGGCGCAGGGAAGCACTGCGGATAGAATCCGACCCCTACCCCGCACCACAAACTTGTTCCCCAACAATGGGTACGAAAACGACGGCCCATCATGAACATCGACACAAGCCATTATCAAGGGCTTAATCCAGTTTTTGCCCGAAATACCGTGGGGTTGCATCTATCGCAGGCATGAGACGTCAACGTTTAGGTATCTATAGTATATGACTTTCCTATTCAGCACTGTCTTTTCCAGTGCATTTTCTTTATATTACCCACCCGGTGGATTTGACAGCGTTATATTTGATACCTGATATCCATGATTCTTTTCCCCCACTGTTTGAATTTTCTTATCCCTGGACCTTGTGGACATTGTACCAATATGCTCTCCATCTCCGCTCCTGGCGTGTATATGATGATTATGACGAAATATAGCATTTCTATGGCCGGTGTGAAAATAAGTCTGGCGTCGGCTGACGATGGGAATCTTCACTTGTATACTTATGAAACAATATATTTTTACTTCCATGCTTTATCAATCAGTGTAGGTACTCGGCCTAGACCATGCGTTGCGGCGCGCACTATCGTTATCAGCACGTGACTAGCATTGTCCGCTGCCATCAACTTTTCATACAGATCTTTTGATTGGCACTGCCAATCGTGGAAAGTCGGAAATGTTTGATGTCTAGAAAGAAGTAGACATGTGTGCTTCCCTCCCAGACTGACATTCTAGAACTCGTGCTTACTTCGATGCCATGTAGGTATTCCCTCCGCCGCGCCGCTTGTCGCCTTCTGGCGTCACCAGCTCCGATAGTCCGATCGAGATTGACCGCAGTACCGCGCGCCCATCGGCCCGTGATTGCCCGTCGAACATTTCTATACAGTAGATCGACGGCAGAGGAGGCGAAAGGCCCGTTGGAACCGAAAGATGTCGCCGCGCCAAGTACAACGACGAATACGCCTACAGTGACGAATACGGGCGGTGCGACTACGATAAAGAGAGCCACAGATGACACGCTGGATTCGCCATCTCCAGTCGAGACTCCAGAGGCGACTGCTGCTGAGAAGGAAGTTGTGAAAGGGGATCTGGAAGATGGACTGGAGTCGAACACTTCGGATACTGCGACTACGAGTAGCGTTCTAACAGAAGAGACATCAGAAGAGACTGAGGAGAAGGAGCAAGAAGATGGAGCAGCTAGTGGAAACACATATTCCACGGACTCGAACCAAACGACTCTCGCTGACAGTGTCCCAGCGGCACCCGGGTACAAGGTTGCGGCGGAAAAGAAGCCAGAAGAGCTTGAGCGGAGCTCGGCTATTGGAGCTATGCTTGCCCAAATAACAAAGATGGCCACAAGAGATGATGACGAATATGACGCCGACCAAAATTTCGACATCTCGCAAATTAGGGAAGCAGCCGCTAAAGAAGCGATGGCCGTTGCTTCAAATAAACATATGACCCATAGCGAGAAACTGGAGTTGTTGAGGCGATTGCAATATGAACCCAGGGAAACAGTATTCATCGGGAACCTCTTTTACGACGTCACGGCGGAGGACCTCAGGAGACAGATGGCCAAGTACGGCGTTGTGGAAGGCGTGAACATTATCTACGACAACCGGGGCATTAGCAAAGGGTAAGTCATTGACACATTTTTCATGATTTTGGCTGGCTCTTTGGGTCTTCGTGGCTAATGCATAACCTATGTGGTGCTCCAGGTATGGCTACGTACAATTTAGTAGCAACGCTGCGGCAAAACGCGCCATCGATGCGATGCATATGCGAGTATTTGAGGGACGCCGTGTGACCCTGTACTATGCACAGGCCAACCTCAAGAACAGCTGGAAGAATCCCAAACCCACGAACACGCTCTATATCGGCAATATGCCGTTTGAGATGACGGACCGAGACCTTCACGATCTCGTCAAGGATCTAGTTGGTCTAATTGACGTGCGGGTAACGGTAGACCGCGAAACAGGTGCGCTCCGTGGATATATTCACGCAGAATTCCTTGATATCCAGAGTGCGATGGTCGCACACGAAAAGCTTGCGCACCGGAAGCCTTACGGGCGGCGGCTGTTGGTGACTTTTAGCAACAATACGAAGACGGCCCAAGGAGGCTTTCCTGTTGCTGTTTGATCTTGGCACTTTGGAGTTGGGACAATTATACCTATGCATCTGGATTGATTGAATGTATTCTTAGCGTATAAACTGTACTATATATTCATGCATATCATCGAAGATACCACTACAAACCTACCATACCAGTATTCTTGCCCGTACGGAGACATGTATCCCACGTGACTACTCGGGGGACCTCGGCAGGTTTTTGCGTTTCCGCGCCGAACCCCACGTTTCAGAGCATCTGGGCTGTCAACTTGAACCTCCAACTTCTCCTCACTCGTCCATCCTATCCTTATTCACGACGCCCGTGTATTTCTCACAGCCTTTTCCGAATCAGTCTTTCTATTCTATCTTTCTGCCGTAACAGTTGTTGCGGCTTTTCCCACAATGTCATTCCTTGGTGGCGCTGAATGTTCCACCGCGGGAAACCCACTGACACAGTTCACGAAGCATGTCCAAGATGACAAGTCGCTTCAGCGAGACCGGCTTGTTGGGCGCGGTCCCGGAATGCAAGAGGGTATGCGCTCGCAGGGGATGATGGGGGGTCACGACCAGGTACATGCGCTCCCCCCGGACTTTCTTCTTGAACAGCTGCTTAATAATGTGCTGTTTAGATGATGGACGAGTTCGCCCAACAGTCTGCCCAGCTCCCGGGCGGCCCACAGCAACATATGAGGATGGAGATGGAACAAGTGAGGCAACAACTAGAGCAGATGCACACAACGCCACGAACGGGCTCCCCGGGGTGGGCTGCGGAGTTCGACCCAGGAGAGCAAGCTCGTATGGAGGCTGCCTTTGCCGGGCCTAAGGGTCCCATGTTGAACAACGGATCGGGATTTACGCCGGCCGAGTTTGCCCGTTTCCAACAGCAAAGTACAATGAGCGTCCCGCAATCCGCTAGTCCAGTTACCGCCGGGCAGACTCCGATGATGGGTGGTTACCAGCGGCCAATGGGTATGGGGTACATGGGTTACGGCGGGATGGGAATGATGCAGCCTGGCTTTGGCCCTATGGGTATGCAACAACAGCAGCCAGCTGAGGCTGCAACGCAAGATAAAGGGAAGGGGCGGATGATTGAGCTCGACGACGAGAATTGGGAGGCTCAGTTTAAGGAGATTGAGACGGCGGATCAGGGCAAGCTAGACGATGAGGCCAATGCAGCCATAGAGGCGGAGTTGAATGATCTTGACAGGTCAGTCCCCATCACCAGTTCCGATGACCACAGTCATTTTGAGAGCGTATGGGAGAGAGTTCAAGCTGAGACGGCAACGAATAGGAAATTGGCGGAGGACGTCGATTACAATATTGATGATAATCTACACATGGGTGATATGGCCGAGTGGGACGGTTTCGACAATCTAAATACTCGGTTCAGGGAGCCTCGGTTGGGCGATTACTCGTTCGAGCAGGAGAATGTCTTCCGCGACGTCACCAATCCATTTGAAGAGGGTATGAAGATCATGCACGAGGGCGGTAATCTGTCCCTGGCAGCCCTGGCATTTGAGGCCGCGGTGCAGAAAGACCCTAAACATGTGAAGGCTTGGACTATGCTGGGGACCGCTCAGGCCCAGAATGAGAAGGAACTCCCTGCCATCCGGGCACTCGAGCAGGCTCTCAAGGCCGACCCAAACAATCTCGATGCCCTCATGGGACTTGCTGTGTCATACACAAACGAAGGGTATGACTCGACAGCTTACCGCACACTCGAGCGCTGGCTCTCGGTCAAATACCCTCAAATCATCAACCCCGATAACCTATCCTCAGACGCCGACCTGGGCTTCACTGACCGCCAAATTCTTCATGAACGTGTCACGGACCTCTTTATCCAGGCGGCTCAATTATCGCCGTCGGGGGCGCAAATGGATCCCGATGTTCAGGTTGGCCTGGGAGTGCTCTTCTACTGCGCAGAAGAATACGAGAAGGCTGTGGACTGCTTTACAACAGCCCTGGCCAGCACCGAATCCGGAACCACGAACCAGAGAGAGCAGCTTCACCTGCTTTGGAACCGCCTAGGAGCTACGCTCGCCAACTCTGGCCGATCGGAGGAGGCTATTGAGGCCTACGAACAAGCTTTGACTATTAACCCTAATTTTGTCCGAGCACGATACAATCTAGGTGTATCGTGCATCAACATCGGTTGCTACCCAGAAGCAGCGCAACACCTGCTGGGAGCTTTATCGATGCATCGCGTGGTCGAGGAAGAAGGAAAAGAGCGCGCCCGGGAGATCGTGGGCGGCAAGGACGGATCCATTAACGAAGCGGAACTCAACCGCATGATTGTTGCGAACCAAAGCACTAACCTCTACGACACCCTGCGACGAGTCTTCAGCCAAATGGGCCGACGGGATCTGGCCGATTCGGTCGAAGCGGGCATGGATGTCAATATATTCCGCAAGGAGTTTGAGTTCTAAAGCGTGAGGGCATGAATCGGGCTGGGCCTAGATACTATTGGATATCTGTAAATACTAGCGACAGACTCCCATCTAGAATGTACGCTGTTGCATGAAGCCACTTGGATCATGGATGACCTCATCTCTTTGCCTCGGCACTGGAGTCCCGCATTCTCTCCGCTCCAGCCGTTGCCTTCTCCACTCTTGTCTAGGCTACCATCGTGCACATGGTCAATTCCAGTCCATGAAACCATCTGAAATAATGCAGAAATGGCTGTGAAAACAGGCGCTCAGCTCATCGCGCGCACCCTGCGCGACCTCGGGGTGACAGTCATCTTCGGCATCGTCGGCATCCCCGTTGTCGAGATTGCAGAAGAGGCAATCAACCTAGGCATCCGATTCGTGGCATTCCGGAACGAGCAAGCTTGCAGCTATGCAGCCAGTGTCTATGGATACATGACAGGACGCCCTGGTGTCTGTCTTGTCGTCGGGGGGCCTGGAGTCCTCCATGCCTTGGCCGGAGTAAGGCTGCCTACTTCGATCACTTGAATACCATCATAATTGACGCCCGCATAGATTGGAAATGCCACGGCAAACAACTTCCCTCTCCTTGTGCTTGCTGGGTCAGCTGAGACCACCGCCGTCACAAAGGGCGCTTTCCAGGAGTTAGACGCCATCACCCTCTTGGCCCCTCACACAAAGTTCGCTGCGCGCGCTTCATCACTCGACTTCATCCCAAATGCTGTCAAGAATGCTTATCGGACATGCTGGTATGGTCGGCCGGGGCCGACCTTCGTCGATCTGCCTGCCGATATTATCCAAGGGAAGCTGGCACGGGGATTCGAGGTACCGCAGCCAGAGAACCTGCTCGTCTCGGCACCACCTAAAGCGAGCGGTGATCCAGCGTTGATCTTGAAGGCCACCCAGCTGCTGAAGGCTGCTAGCGCACCTCTCATAATCATTGGCAAGGGCGCAGCGTATGCGCGTGCAGAGTTGGGTATTCGCCAACTGGTCGAGCAGACACAAATCCCGTTCTTGCCTACGCCGATGGGCAAGGGAGTGGTACCGGACTCACATCCTCTGAATGCATCAAGCGCACGAAGCGCCGCACTGAAAAATGCAGATGTCGTGCTTGTTCTCGGCGCACGCTTGAACTGGATCCTACACTTTGGTGAGCCGCCGAAGTGGTCCCCTGGCGCGAAGATAATCCAGGTAGACATCTGCGCGGAGGAGATCGGGCGCAACGCTGGGGCCTCCGAGCTCGGCATCCTCGGAGATATCAGTCTAGTCGTTGATCAGATCACGGCATCCCTATCCAACTGGAAATACTCGGCCTCTGCAAAGTTCCCGTCACTCCTCGCCGAATCGGCCAACAAGAATGAAGACAAGGCGGAAAAGGCAGCGCTCAGACAGACGGCCCCCGGCTCGCCACTAACATATCAACGCGCCTATCACATCATAAAAACGACTCTCAACTTCTTGACGCCAGTCGATGATGGGGACATTGTCTATGTCTCCGAAGGCGCCAACACAATGGACATTTCTCGCTCCATCTTCCCGCTATACCACCCGCGCCAGCGTCTGGACGCAGGGACCTACGCCACCATGGGCGTCGGAATGGGCTACATTGTCGCCGCACACGAGGCCTTCAACGCGACACCCGAAACCAGCACATCGCGGCCCAAGAAAATCGTCGCCTTCGAAGGCGACAGCGCGTTTGGCTTCAGCGCGATGGAGATCGAGACACTGGCGCGGTACCGTATCCCAGCACTGATCTTTGTCGTCAATAACTCGGGCATCTACCACGGTGATAGTACCTCGGAAGATGCGTGGAGGACACTACAAGACCAAACTGTGGCCAACGACACCAAGAAGTCCGAGCCCACCGCGTCGGATGCCCAGGGTACAACCAAGGGCCTGCGCTCGACTAGTCTGCTCTACGAGACGCGGTACGAAATGCTCGCCACGATGTGTGGTGGGAAGGGGTACTTTGTTCGGAATGAGGAGGAGCTCGAGAGGGCTACGAGGGAGGGCTTCGCGAGCGATACCGTTACGATTGTGAATGTTATTGTTGAGCCTGGGATTGGCAAGGAGATTGGGTTCGCCTGGCAGAATCAGCCGAAGGAGGGGAAGGCGAAGTTGTAGTGTTCTATTCTTCGCTTGTTGGGTCTTCTTTTGGATATAGTTCTCTAAGCCTCTAAGCTCTAAGGCTGTTACTTTATATGCATGTGTACTCCGTACTTCATGCCTACTGTCTTACATACAATGCCTATCCACAATGCCTATCTGCTCACCAATTAAATCCTGCGGAGTAAAATCCGCCTTGTATAAAATTCCTTTTCTTTTTGGACAGAGCTCCACCTAAGCCTCAAGGCTGGTACTTTATATGCATGTATACTTCACGCCTACTTTCTTACAATGCCCATCCGCCCACCAATTAGCACTTGCGGAGGAACTTCCGCCTCGTATAATATTTCTTGAGAGGTCGTTTGTGGCGTAGGTGATAACAAGCCATAGATGCGCCGGGTGATGTATATCTTGCAGCCACAGCTCGTATGATGTATCAAGGAAAAGGTGCTCCGTACACGCTCAGTTTGAACTCACGCGTCACAGGGATAACCCATTACTGAGTCTGAGGCAAACACGGATACTCTGGTTTACGAGGCTTGGCCAGCACATTCGTACTTTAGGCTTCTAAGTCTGAGTCTGAGATGACCGGGAAGTGCATCGTCATACGCAGGCTCAGGGCATACTTCATAGAAGTGGCAGTGAACACACTAGGCCTAAAGAACAGCGCCGTAGGCTTAGCTGGCAGCTCGGGAGTCTGCTGATCAACAGCTCGAATCGATCACCAAATCGCGGCCCTTCAATTGGCCCGCGCGTAAGGAGCTGGGCCACCGTCAAGTTCAACTTGGCAACTCGCAAGTTAATTTTATGGGGCCGTCACGGCCCCGTGAGTCTAGTCTAGAGTAAACCAGGTCCACGGCCGAGATAGCCTTGAATTGCGTCGTTGTTGGGGGCCGGATTATTATGGAGTCTTGCCGTCTTTCGCCCTCGCTCGTGAGTCCGAGCTCTCCTTGCTTCTGGGTCTCTCTGAGTCTGGACTCCCACTCTGGACAAGCTCTTGCAAGGTATGATATTAAGGACATAAAAACCGAAAACATAGTGCTTTCATTCTCAGCCTCAGTGGCCTGGCTCAGCTATGGCCCAGCACATAGGCGCCGGCCGCTATCGGCCGCTGGTGGAGCAGATGCCCATGTCACGATAGTAAATCCGGCCCATGGTGGTGACATGGAAGACATGAAATCGTGAGCAAGACTGGTCGATCATACCCCTCTGCTCAACTGGAAAACAAATCCGTGTGGGATTGTGGGAGGGAAACCAATGCATAAGTTCTATAAGTTCGTGTATTATATATTGTCTATACCCCGTAGGTAGAGAGGAAAAAGCAGTGTAATCAAATATACATGGATGCAGGCTTGGATATCAACATAACACCAGACTGAACAAGAATAGACATACACATGTGTCCCCGTACCCATGCAATAAATGCGAATAAACAGAAAGAGGAATAGGCGGAATGATATATCGTGCACATGTCGCATAAGACGGTTGAATTGTCCGTATCGAGATTGATATCGTCAATCGCACCGTCGTCATTGCAGATTATTATTTCTTGGGTTGGTCAGCTCGCATAGATATTAGGTAGCAACTACCGTCCATGATGCGAATAAAGTCCACTCGCATCCAACTCAACAGGCGGCCGTTGAGAGTCAACACCAGCATCCATCTCTCCCGCATGGTCTCCCGCCAACTCAGACATTGGGACAACCGTAGCAGGCGGGGCTGCATGCATACTCTTGGCCATCGCTGGGTCAGCAAAGTACCCTTGATGAGCCTGGCTGTATCCCCCATTGGCGCCCTCAGGCCCAGTTGCTTTGGTATTCGGTAAGGCTCTGATGCGCCGCCAGAGGAGGAAGGCCAGAGCGGCGAGGATGATAAAGCCCGCGCTGACGCCGACACCGATGCCGGCTTTGGCACCTGTGGAAAGACCATCATTATTTGAGTTTGACTCTGACGTGGTGCCGTCGCTATCGGTGGCATTTTCGGGGGTTGTGGACGTTGGGTCGGCCGTGGGGGACGTGGTTGTTGTCGTTGAGGTAGAGGTGGAGGTCGATGCTGCGGTAGAAGTGGAAGTAGTCGACGTTGAGGTAGAGGTGGTAGTTGAGGATGAGCTGCTGTCGGATTTGGGCAGGAGATTGAATTTGGCAGAGGAGATTTCCTCCTGATTATCGCCCCATGAGACGTCGGCAGGAAGGAAGCGGAATGTCCACTCCGTTGAGGCCTCGACATCCGCGTCGTCCAGATTAATCGTCCATTCGTAACTTGTTGACTCGTTGACATTCACCCCAGCTGGATTCGCTGTGTTAGCAGAGCTTCTTAACATGAACAAAAGAGAGAAGACATACCCTCAAGCTTACGAGTATAACTGCTCCCCGTCACCCACAAGTCCACATTCGTGATATCGCAGGATTCGCAAAAGAACTGAAACTGTGTAGCAAGGGCATGTTGCCAGCTGATCTCGATTGTCGTACCGGCTGTGTAGTTGGTGGTGTAATCGGGATACTGTGGGGAGTTCCAGAGATCCTGCACCGTCCCTTCCGCTCTAGCCAGTGGCAGGAGAACTGCCAGAGGGACAAGTCTGGCAAGATTTCGCAGCATATCGCCGGAAGTGCGATAGACGTGGTCGCGGTCGAGAGCACGAATGCACGAAGCGAAAAAGTAAACGTAGCCCACAGAACAACGTCAGGTCAGAAAAAGACGAAGCGTCAGCGACAGCGCGGGCGGCCGCAGATCAGACTCTTAAAAGAAAGTTGAGGGGACGGGAAACCCGCTGCGAGCTTTGGGTTGTGGCTGGACTCCTGTCAGACCTGGCCCTGGCAGGCTGAGCTTGGAGATGAGGGCCAAAATGAGCTGAGCCTGTCGCGATGTCGGCCGTCGCGTCACTAACTGCGCTAGCAAGGACTAAGCCATATTGCAGGAGGCTGTCACCGACCACTGACAGCGGGAGGCTCTCTTACTTCCTAACCCGAAACAGAGGCTTTCAGGCTCATCACAAGCCGTCTTGCTCGTTGGCTGGCCGTGGGCATTATGCAGACCTTGACTGATAGCCTCATCCGTCTAGCCAACCATCGACTCCGCTGTTGAATGTTTGTTGGAACTTTGGTGTGAACCGTGACAGACGGGTCGGTCCCGGATCCCGTGTGGACTCATCCAACTGTGGGCACTGACTGGACTCAGTGCGGAGTCCGAAGCCATGACAGGCTGAGCCGCGCCCGCCCGTAACGTGAATAATATCAACAGCGAAAAAATGGAGAAAATAGCTGTCGTTAGTCTATCTAAAGCGATAAAGATTGTCAGTAGAACACCAAGCCTGTAAGCCACTGCACCAACCCCTATTAATAGGACCCTGAGTAAGGCATGGCCTACTGAGGGATCAATCACACTGAAACACAGCCCTGTTGATGGGCATGGGTTGTCCTGCCAGTCGCTGACAGAAGAAGTCAGACCATTGGCATCAGAAACCGTCCGCAAATATATTTCCGAGATGCCAAAGCGATGGAGTATGGACTGATTGTTGGGTTCTTCACGGGACACGTGGGTTAGTGGATAGGTCTACCGTTTTGACGGGACAGACAAAGACATTCTTGTCAAGACTCAAGAGTCGGAGAAGCTGGAGAGTCCAAGGCAAAAGTCACGTTCTTGCCAAAACCGCAACCACAACCACGACCACATGAATCTTAATTCTGAAACCCGAGACCTCCGTCCACGTCCACAGAGTAATCTATTTCCTGAAGCTGTCAGGTGCAGACGCTCTTGTATCTCCAACGGTGGCAAGTGCCACTCGTTACATCATCCTGCATCCATCCCAGTTCCCAGCACCCCGACCCTCGCACCTGCATCGGCAGTTGGAATCGAAGCTAGACTAAGACCAGATACTCCGTAGACCTCGACCCTTTCAGCCGATAATGGAGGAGCGGTGCACTGTCGCACTGATCATCAAGGCCGGTTGGGATCGCAATACGGGTAGTCAGCACAAAACCCAAGCCAGTAGCACGGCGAGGAGGAAGAAGTCAAGTAAGGAGCCAACGGAGGTTACAGTCGTACATGGACGCGAGTCAGTTGGACAGTTTCGGCTCTCTGGGATACTAACGGAACTACTTGATTGGCATCGAAAAGGACATTGGTGTATCTATCTCGGCTGTTGGTTGTACTGAACAGGAGTATGGGGAAGTGCGACAGCGGGTCGGACTACGGAGTTACCAAGATGGATATACAACTGTAGTGCGCCCCGTACTCTACTCCGTTGACATCTGGCATCTGATGATCCGACAGATCTTCTCAAGATTTCAAGATTGAAATCGGGCATACCGCTTCAAGGCACTATCGAGACGATCCGCAATCACGACTCATGTCCAGATCCTTCCCCGTCACTATTGACCCTAGCACCACTTAAGATAGGTTATGAACCTTAAACTTAGGTTTCGATAATCCCATTCAACTTCCAAGTTTCTCCTTCGTGCCTGGATCCTATTCACGAATGGGTTGCCTTCCGATTCGTGGGGGTTTCATACCCAACCCTTCTGTGCACTCGATTTGGAATCACTCAAACCTAACCCTCCCCTGTTCTCCGGTAGACGGGGTTTCCCCGCATGCTGGTTTGGCGTTGGCGTTCCGTGTTCCCCTGGTTCGCGGAAAAGCTACGTCGGTATTTGTCGTGTGCACCTTTGTGCGACCGTCCAGAGAAGGCGGAGCAACCTGCATTGGATGTCTGGGTCCCAAGATCCGGGTTACCCCCGGTGTTTGTTTGCCGCGGCTGCATTGCGTAACATAGGCCTAGATTCGTGCAGGCGTGTGGTATGATTCCTCCAGTTGTTTCATGGCTGCCCAGTGCTTGTTTGGTTGTTGCAAGACGCAGCTTTCAAAGAACGGAGGTTGGACTTATTGATGGCGAGCATGATTTGTGTTTTCTGATTCAAGGACTTTTGCGAAAGTTAGATCTTTGGTAAGCCCTAGGCTTAAAGTCGATCGTCCAGCTTTGGTCCGTGCTTGAGATCCGATGAATGACCGCCATATTACCTAATTTGGTGCGATGATCGGAAGTCGAACTTGTATACTATCGCCAATTTGCCAAACTGCCAGGATGTTCAGGTGTAAGAGTAGGTCTATACAACTCGTTCATCGTCAAGGCCGGGAATAAAGTCCTGATGGGCGTTGTCACCGGCTCGCCAGCCATGGAGACCGACAAGGCTGTGGCTGCGATCTGATCTCGCCTCAAATCCCTCATTGCAGCTTGCCTCGCAGAAGTATGTAGCGATATGCTGTAATTTGCACCGGGATTCGGTCTCCGTCCAGTGGATGCTGAGGAAGGAGCAAAACAGGCCCGACCCAGTGGGTCGATCGTTCCTTGGGGCTTGAAGGGCTCAGGCATATGGGCCACCAATCTTGGTTCTCGGGGGTCGATCATAGGACCTAGACCATTGGGTCCGCTAGTTCGATGCCCGACGAGGCAGACTTGACGTGTGCACGTAGGAAAAGAAGCAGTGTATGATGGCGTCTGGTAATCTACCGTGCTGCGAGGATCCCTCGGTCCAGGGTCTCTTGGACCAGAGACTGACCTGGACTGGTAGAGGGAAATTCTATAATCGCGATTAGACATAAGGTATCATCCGAATCAAGTTGGTGGAAATCATTTGTCTCCAGCCTTGATGCTGTCATCGCATCATCTTTTTGCCCTCTGGTTAACTCAAAATACATTCAAGCCCATGCGTGCTCTATAACCAACACATTGTGAAGAAATGGGGGAGAGCGAATAAATGTGCCGAGCAGACCCTCCTTGAAGAGAAATGGTACATTACAGAGCAATAGTAGACCACTTGGCCTAGAAGCAAGAAAATGAGGCAACAGTATCAGTTTCTGGTCCGTCTGTCTACCATTGAGGCAGATAGAATTCATGATTGCGGCTTTCTAAGACTGTTTAACAGCATCCCTGATCGTTAACAGTCCTAGACTCAAAACGTCGATTGTGTTTGGTCGTCACTAGGTTTCCGCCATCCTTCTGTATCCTTTTCGAGCTGTGCGCCGAGCGCCAAAATGTACTGATTGTACATAGTGTATGCACCGTGTGGATCACTGGCTATCGGTGGAATGGGTTTGAGGTTGCCATCTTTAGTGAACTTCTCGTACTCCTTCTTCAATCCGGGAGGGAGGGTCGCGTCATCGTCCTCTCCGAAGTCGGTAATAGTATTTAAGGAATCATCTAAGTGTTTCTTCTGATTAACAGCGGCCTTTGTGCCAGAAGCCTTGGAACCGGGCGTCTCACAGGAATGTGGAGGGTTCTCTGGATGAGGAGACAGCGACAGCGAAGTAGGCCGTTCGTCTGGCTCGGGAGTATAATAACTCATATCTGAAGGAGTCGCTGTTCAAAGGTCAATTTCTATACCAGAAGGAACAGCTCGTGGAAACATACATGGCTCGGGGCTCTCTTCGCCGTCTCGAGAGGCTCCAGCAGAGCGAGACTCGCTGTCGAAATTCGGTCCGTACCTGCGGACGAAACGCGCAATGCGTTTTGAATCGACTTTCTGACCAGCCACTCGGAAAACTGTCTGCTTGCCTATGGCGGCCCTTTTCTGCTGCTTGCGATACATGATTTTGACCTCCTTGTTCTTGATATTCTTGCGGACATTCCAGGAATGCAGGCGGTCTTTATATTGTTTCTCCCTGCCGAGTGTTAGATGTGATCTGACTGTCTGACTGCATTCAAAGGATGAAAAGGATGCGAGTAAAAAGCAATACGGGTATAGTTTGAGGTAGCAAACAACCCAAACCGGATGCAGAGAAGAGGGGCAGGAGACCAAGGAAGGAGGACAGACGATGCTTTGAAATTGTGGTGCCGCAACATGTTCATCTGGACATCCTTGAGCTTGAGCTGATCATTGCGGTAGTACTGCTCGATGAAAGGGCGGTACTTGTTCCAGTCCTCGGACCTGCGAGGCGTGAATGGGGTTTGGCCAGAGGGCGTGGCAGGTGATGAGGAGGAAGCAGGCGTGGGAGTTGACAAGCTTGAAGGAGGAAAGGAACCTTCCATCATGAACGACAAATACTGCAATCAGACGGGCGATGGTGGGCTGCTCATAGCATGCACAGCGAGGTCGATTGATGAAGGGTTGTAGTAAGTAAAGAGGCGGGTCGATTGGGGATGGAGGTGCGAAAGTACGAAGGTGGGGGGACGGGAAAAGAGACGTGGGAAGAGGTGGCAGAAGAGAGTTTGAAAGAGCAGGGGGGAAGAAACAAGAGCCCTTCTGCGGTCACTTGTCAGAGAAGAAGCGATGGAGGGAGAGTCCAGGCGTGAGGTGGTCAGAGCAGCAGATAATAATCGCTCAAGGCCAGAGGAGGAGGTGGAAACAGCGGGAAACAGCAGAGAAGAGTAGAGTCGCTCGCTGATCGGGATTATTGTTTGGTAGGCAATGGGCGAGTGTCCAGTTAATAGTGGTCAGGTACTTAGAGAGGCATCATAATCATAGTAATAATAATAATAATAGCAGGTATGCATGCATCCATTTTCTTTTTCGATCGCGAGAGTCGGGTCGGGTGTTGTTCAGGACCAAGCCCAGTACTTTCTGCAGGTGGGCCGGGGGGCGCCCCCCAAAGTCTGACACCCCAAGCGCCCAAAGTACGCGCTCCCAGCAGTGGACCTAGCGCTGCCTCTTGGGGCGACCTGCTGCTGGCCCTCTCTGACACCCATGCTTCCCCGGCCCAATCATGGCCCCCGGGGAAGGGGCCCGTGTGTACTGTTGTCGTACTTCTTATTGTTGGAACAATGATCTTAATATCGACGCTATGAGCTGACAATGAGCAGGGACGTGCCGGAAGACGAGAACTGTTGCCCCGAGTTCTCAGAGGGCAGCTGGAAAGATGCTCTGGCGCAAAGGCAAGGGTAGCAGAGGTACGTCCGGTCAGTGCATGCGCCATCTTCTGCAGGTGCATCATATGCCTACCATCCCAAGCTTAGTGTCCACAAACTCTTTGCTTTTTCTTCCAATCTTGGGCGAGCGCCCTCGTTGCTTTTTGCCCTCTGGTCTGACAGCGCCGCGCTATTGCAGGGATCGGACGAGATCTTAGTGAGCGCCTGAAAGGCCGTACTTTATCGCTTCCTTCACCCGACGTTCCGACTCCGAGAGGTTGTGGACTTGTGGTTACGCTGCTGTCTGTTCCTGCGGCTCCCAGGCCCATCATGCCTGTCAGTGTGTCACTGTCAACTGTCGATGCCAATCCCAATCCATCCGCGTCTCCACAGCCTCATCAATCTCGCAACCTAATTAAAATTTGCGTTTTTCCCCAACCCGTTTCATCAACGCCAACGGCGACCTGGCGGAAGAGGCTGACAGTTCCGCGAGGTTGACGAAGTGAAGGCAAGAGGCCTGAGCTCAGTGGCGCCAACCGATCGTTTACGATATTAGCTGTTCCAAGGTACCTATAACTGCCGTGATATTAAGTCCGATCGGAATCAGATTATCTATGGAGTTGACCCTGTCGACTCGCATGGCATTATCAATAATTGATAGGAAACCTCGGCCCGCGATGACAGACCTCTGACCAGCAGCCTAGCATTAGCATGACCCGCTGCTAATGGCATGGGATGGATATAGAACGGCACAGATATTAATTCGATCCCGACTGAAAAATAATAATAAACGACTTCATCGCTTCATCGCGCGGGCGCCACGTCGCTGGATCCCTTTTCCACTCTCCGCGGCCAATACCCGCTCGGATATACCGCCTGCATCCGGACCAAGGTACTGGATGGACTACCTCTGCTGTATGTACGATTGTACATACATAGTACATACATAGAAAATCATCTTGGGTAGCACATGCCCAATTTTGCTATACGCCAACCGGCTTGCTTCCCGCCGATCGACCCTGAGATGCGGGCGTAGGCAAGGGTAGGGATGAGGTATAGGCGTTGTTATCTTGTGCTAGACGCGCTGAAAGCGTGCTAGATGATATTCATCGTGGAATATGGTACGGACATCATGGAAATATTGACATTCGAGAAATAATCAGGTTGGGATCTATCTACGGGGCAGTTCGTATCTACTTCGATGCGAAAGATCGAACAATCAGGCTCTGATCGAACGACGGACACGGTCTCCGATTAACTACACACCACGGAGTACCCCGAAGAGTATCGACCTACGGAGTACTCTGGATGGAGTACCATATCCAGCCTCGGTAGCAGCGGCTAGTCGAACATGGAGACTCGCACGAATCCATGCATCGACTCGGTACTCCGTACCCAGAATCTAGACTCGCTTCCCCGGACAGCAGCATCTAAATTGTAAAGCTAACCTACGGTTCCCTACCTAACCCATAATCGATCTTACTGGGCTAGACCAAACGACAGAGAACCCACTCCGGATTTCCAGACTGGAGACGTCAACGTGCCCTAAGGGTGGAACTGGCTGCCAACCTGGGCGGGAACTGGAACAGCCGGGTGGAACTACATACATCATTTGGAGCTCCGGCAGTTTATGTATCAACTTTCAATAGACCTAATGTATCTAGTGCACGTACAAGCCTCAGCAGTGGGTCCCTCATCGATGAACAGTTAATCAGAACGATGAATGGACAGAGTCCCTTGATGCGGCGCAAGGGATGGATGATGGAATGGATGTGTGGAGGGATGTATGTGCCTCTAACTTTGGCCAAGTCTTAGCCTCAGCCTACCATGGACTAATGTTCTGCTGAGACGACGGAGCAGGAGACGACTACAGTCGAGCAAGTCTGAGACTAGAACGGTCAACACCCTGATCTGTGGAATGAATATTTGAAATCCTGCCGTTCTAGAAGTCGGTGTTGGATGGGAGGGTGGACGATCGCGGTGGCGGCAGGCTGTCAGACAGGGCGATCATCTTGATTAGAGTCTGACTCGGGTGCAGGTGATCCTTCGTAGTCAAACGATCAAAGTCTTAACTTGTCTCTCCCTGACGTCGGCGGAGGCCAGATCGGGACACTTTGTGATGCGCCAAGGTCTCATGATCCAACGTCCTCCGGCCTGACATGTCACTGGTACCTCTGGCCCCTGCAAAATAGCCTGCATGGATAAGGTACCCTGTACTCCAAACCTAAGACATGCTTCGCGCCCATCAAGAATGGAACAGGTTCGGGAAACGATGCCAGAGACAAAAGTACGAAAGTACGAAAGCAGCAAGTCACTTATATTATTGACGCACTCTTATGGAGTAGTTAGGTACCTGGCCCGGGCCTGACCAACGAGTCGATGCATGGCAGACCGCAAAAGGCCAACCTTGTTTCGCATTGGAATCACGGAGTCAGAGGAATGTTGCACTGGGGCCAGGGCCTGCCAATGCCATGCTTGCTGACTGCTGACTGCGGACGGACACTGGCAGCCCAGCCTGACTGACTCGCGACACTCAAGGCTCACCGGGGCTGATCTTGACACCACGCGTTCGCGACTGTCATTCGCGGGGATGGCTAGCCTCGATGCATCCAGCAATTCGCAGGTTGAGGTGCCCTCTCTATCCCACCGCCAGCCAGTGTAGCAGGTCTCATTGCGGACTAATTGGCCAAGAGTACGAGATACGAAGGAATGGGCTAAAGAGACGAAAGATGGATGCTCGCGGGTAACCCGGGAGCGGGCCGAACAAAGGGAGTCTAAGGGGGATCCTGGCTGACGTGTAGGATCATGGATGATACGATCAACACCAATATTGCTTGGAAAGGAACGGACAGGATCAAGGATCTGGATTTGTTGAGGACATGCGGAGTAAAGTCTGGACTTTCAGGCCGGGACGTAAATCCGCCTTCCGTGCCAGAGTACTAAACTGGTTATTTCGCAGGCAAAGCAATGAGCCGCAGGGAGCTCCACTGTGGGTGCATTCTTTAGCTTCCTTCTTTGTTGTTTCTTTGTTCTCATCCAGGTCCACTCCATCCTTCAGGAAGCAGGACCTGAAATCCGCCCCTTTTGCTTCCTTTTTCTGCGACCCCGGACAATAGACGTTGTGCGGCAAGCAGGTAGGCAGTAAGCCACCAAGCGTGGGGTGATAAGCCCTCGCCAGCCATCCCCCGGGGGCGAATTCGGAGGTCGCGCGGTATCAGGGGTGAAGGACGGAAGCTGGCCCTGGCCCGGGCAAGCCGCAGCAGCCACTGCATCAGACCGATCCCTTTGTCTCTTGCTGTTTGCCTTCCAGCCGTCGAGCTGTTCGGTCTGAGACAGCCTAAATGATGATCTCCCGCCGCCGGTTGTCATCTTTGTTCATCAAGTCCGGCCAAGCCAACAAGGAGAACCAGACGACCGGGCCTGGACCTGTGATGCTGACATACTGCATGGTCTTCTATTCGGATTCGAAATTGTACCCCGTAGCAAAATTGGATCATCCCTCAGTCTATACCATTCACCGTTAATGCAAGGCCCTCGGATATTATAGACACCAAACAGTATAAACACCGCCCTGGCGGGTCGGAGAAAAACGAAAATCACCCCTCGTCATAGGTCCTCGGCTAGCGCGTACTGTTGATTATCTGCGGTTCCACAGGCAAGGGGCGCTCTGTGCAGCTAACCCATGACAATCCAATTTCAATGCCGGCTTAGGAATATGCAAACGCGGTTCAGATGGTAGTACTTGCGAGCTGAGGTTGGACAGAAGATGCCCAGACAGCCCACCCGCCGTCTAAACAAGTACTTCATTGGTCGGGGATCAGAGAGGCGCAAAGTACGATCCAAAGGGCCCCAGAGGGCCTAAGCATCATGCCGGATGCCAAAAGCGGGAGGCATGAGGTGGCATTCTGTGAGATGACATCTGCGACATGAAGCTCCAGGTAGCTAACTAGCTCTATTTCTTGGAAGGACTGGTGGCAAGTCTCGCTTGCTCGGCAACGGCTGCAGCTGCCATGGCGGCTGAGTTGGTCGAGCGTGCGCCAGCAACGTTGCTAGCATGGGCCAGCAGGAATTTGCAACACGTCAAGGTATACTTGCAAGCACGCGTCCAGGTCTCGTCGTTCTGATTGAAGCCTAACTTGATACTGGCGTCGCCAATCTTGTCTCGTTTGATAGCGTATGGCAGTTTCATCCCGGGTACGACGGCTCCAGGCTGGTCTCGAGGCTGGTCTCGGCGGGTTGGGCGTACGGGTGCTTTCTCCACAAGTTCTCCTAGTTGGCGTACACAGTCTAGAAAGGCCACCATTCCTGCATCGAATCGGCGGTGAAGCCATGGAATATGAAGCGGCAGGTCTCCTGAAGAGAATAGGTCCAGGCTGGTGATTTTGGGGGCCGCTGATAGGTTGGCGTTATTGGCCCCGTCGACGGTCGATTGCGCCGGTGACGGTCGCGGATACTCGATCTTGTCGATTTTGGACATCGATCCCATCGGCCGTATACGGTACCCGTGAAACTGAAAGTTTAGTTTCTCGGCTATGATAGCCAGCAGCAGCGCCGTCTGGCCCCAGGCAGCGTTGATTTCAGGCCATTCGACCGAGGGATTAGCCAGCCGGCCGAGACGGAGGCTGTTGATTGTTCCAAAATAGCCGTCGTGACCGATACAGAAGGCATCGTTGTAAACGTTGGTTCGCTGTAACCGTTCCAGTTGGCGAGAGTCGTGGTTGAATTTCATATTCAACGCATCCCGCTCGTTCTGGAAATCGGCAAGCACCAACGAGAACGCATTCCGATCGCGCCAGAACTTCTCCTCTTCGTAATCTAGTTGGCGAGACTCCTCTTCTAGCTGCGCAATCTCCTCATCCAGGTCAACTTTCTCCTTTTCCAACGCGACCAGCTCCGCATATGCCGCCTCCTCGGCCTCCAGCGTCTCTTTGAGGGACTTTTCAGCGGCTTCTAGCTCCTCCTGCGTCGGGACCGACGAGTTTAGGTTCCGTAGAAATGTGATGTATGCGTCGCGCTCTTTCGTCGCTTCCACAAGCCGCTGTTGTAGCCCTTCCACCAGCATATCCGTGCATTCCGTACATATCGGATGATCAATGTCAGAGCGAGCCGAGATAATATCAAACAATCGACTCGTCCGCTCGACCTGGTCAGCAAATGACCCATTATCCGCGCCCGGATCATCGCTTTGTACGCCGGATGCACGTTTGCTCCTCGACGACGCGCCATCGCCATTTACTCCAGGGGTGGCATGCGGTGGGCCGAGTTGGGACTCTGTGAGCATAACAAAGGACATATTGCCACTATCTCCTCGCCCGAGTCGTGACGGCGTAGTCGAACTGCCTCCAACCTGCCGGGGCGCCGGGATTGACCTCCGATAAACTGGGGACGATGCATTCTTCGAAACGCGGTCGTAGAGCTCCCGGCGCTCTTGCGGGTAGGATAGACTAGACGAGCTGGATGGGTGGTCTTGTACGGTTTTACCTGTAGAGCCTGATATTGTTTGTGTCGTTTGGTTAGTCTGCGATTGTTTCCTTAGGAGGTGGGGATGCAGGTACCGATAAGCAAGTCAAAGGCTGCTGGATTAAGCGCCTCAAGCGAGCCGTCCAGTTTCAATGGGGTGCGACACTTCTGGCAATGCATCTTGAGTGAAGAGCGTTGACAGAGTATCTATGCGCATTCTGGTGGTGGGAGGTGAAAGGGAGGTCAAGGTGAAGCAGTTGATGCGGGCTTGGGGGAGGTCGGGGAACGTCATGCGGCGGTCCGCTGGGAATGTTTTTTGGTCCGCCTTTGCTTCCAGCATTCACAATCCATTCGAGACTATCAAAATCCTCTCGAAGCCGGGATGAATAGAGAGCTCTACAATGTGGGCTAGCCCATTGCTATTCTTGTGTTCATTCTTCCGATAGAAGTTTTGCATCTTTGGCCGAGGCTTCAGCTCTTGTCCAGATATTGTTCGTCGCAGTGGCAACCCTCAACATTGTTCCGCTGGTTTTTCTAATTTAGCATCCAGTATCGCTACATGACTCTATTCCCTACATTTGTCGCGTTTACCGTGCTGCATCGCGTATAAACCCTCCTTCGGCCGCGCGATACTCTTTCCTCTATGCTTTCCCGTTGAAGCGCCGACGAACCCTAATTGCGCAGAACTATGGAGGCACCGTTGAAGCGAAAACGCACATCCGTGTCGCCAGTGTCAGGGAATGAATACGAGCCAAGCGAGGTCGATTTACAAGAAGCACGTGCCCAGAACGACCTGCGCCTGAAATCCATCTTCGAGGGTATTTTCGAAAAGTACGGTCGGGACTTTACAGACGTCGGTGACGAGATCGACCTACAGACAGGGAAAATCACGGTAAACAATGGGCACATTGACGCACTCGACCGGGAAGGCAGTGGTTCCGAGAACTGGATGTCGGATGCGGAGTCACAGGCCTCGACAGCAGAGGCAAATGAGGGCGAACAAGCACGCCTTGCCCATGAGCCTGACGCGTGGGGTGCAGACGATAGTGTCCTGGAAGGGCAAGGCGACCGCGTCCTGAACCAGGACCATCCCGGCCGCAGGGCGGTCTCCATACTATCACACATGCGACCATACCCCCAGAAGAGATTGGACGGAATCAAGGAAGGTGGTTCGGATCGGGAGGAGCAGGGTGACGAAGAGGGCGCTACGTCGGAGGCTGAAGGCGACAGGTTAAGTGTGGATTCTCTGATGGATTCGGCGCTATCACTGCACGCCCAGGGCACCCGGAAAGTTGGTAAAACCGTCACGGGCGAGACTCGCAACGAAAAAGCAATTCCTCACAACCACGCTTTCCACCAATCTCCGACCACGCGTACTAAGAGTCTCGATGAGACTGTGGAACCGATTTGGCGTGTTCCTGAAATCGGTGCGAAGTTTGCAACTCCGACTCTGCTTAGCCGATCTAGACCAAAAGCAAAACCTGTCAATAAGGCAATACGTTCGCAGTCTCCACCCGGAGCAGGCTCCCTTTGGGCTTTACCATGGACAACGAGGCGGAACACGGATGTGATCAAGAAGAAAAGCAAGCAAAAAGACAGTCCGAAAAAGCGAAAAATGAACCATTCTAGCCCTGTTCTCGCTTGGGACTGGTCATTCGCCGATGCTCCAGATGGAAGCGAATCCGACGATCCATTACAGGAGGACTACGAGCCCTCGCCCATGCCAAAGAGATCACTCTACATTCGGGAGAAGCGCAAAGGCCCTTTCTCGGCAAGCGGTGCGCAGAAGACCTGCACCTTCTGCAAAAGGACCTTTTCTAAACAAGATTATGTCATGCATATGAAGGCCGTGATGGCGGATCCTGCAGACAACGAACATGACTTGGTAGAACTCAGAAGGCAGCTAGCCACAGTCACCGATAACAGCGCTACTGGGCGGGCGCCTGACGCCACTCCCACTGGCACAGCCTCTGCACCTGCCTCTGAAGTTATTGTTCGTCCAACAAATACACCAAAAGAACCCGAGTCAAACGCGGGTCAAGAGACGAACCACGAATCAACGCCAACAGGTCACAAACGCGCTAGGACAGTCCTAGGGCCGCAGGAAGCCAGACTAATCATCCAGTTGCGACAAGTTCAAGGGCTGAAATGGAAGGAAATCTCAGACCACTTCCCGCAAAAGAAACCCACGAATATCCAAGCGTGGCACCATGTTCATTGGAATCAGCGTAAGGCGAATCCTCCTCAATTATCCGGACCCTGGTCAAACGCTGAACTCGAGAAATTGGAGAATCTCAAAGACCAACCAGAGCTGACTTGGCCTGATATTCGTGTTGAGTTCCCGGGGCGCTTGCTTCCGGAGATTGAGTTCAAACTGTTGCAAATTTGGGCGGGCGACGACGTCTCACAGGCTACACGGTCACTCAGTCCAGCAGAGTAATTTGAGCGTAGCCTGCAGAGGCGTGACAGCAAGGCAACGGACTTATATTCCAGTACTTTTAGCACTACCTATATTTTAATTAGTAATCTTTCCATGGCCGCGCAGGTATGAAGCAGCGCAGGCATACGGACCTTATGCTTGGTACAACGCTTGAAAATACCGATAACTGACGGACCTCGGTTTTCAAAGACCAGTGCAAAGGTTCTGCTGGGATATTATTCAAAGTATGCAGGGCAGTAACCTGATGGTTACTGTTCGTCTTTCGCATTCAAAACGTCCTCCAATCTTGTGTCCACGGCGCCGCCGACATTCCCAGCCTTAGCCCAGAATCTTGAAAGATGCCTTGAGCCTGAATCGGACAGCATGGTGACAATTCTGTGACCCGGTCCCAGTTTCAAGGCGGTTTTGACAGCGGCAAAACCTTATTGGAATGTGAGTGAAGCGGATAGTTTAGTATCAGGTTGGAACTCACAGTTGACAGCACTGCTACTCCCAGCAAAGATGCCGTCCTTCTCAACGAGCCATCTAGCCATCGCCAATGCCTGTGCATCTGTCACTCTAACAGCGTCATCAACGAGCTCCCTTCCCGCTTCGAAGTTCGCCGTGACGCGGTTGATTCCGATACCCTCCACGATAGTATCAACCTGTCTCCGACGGCGGGTTCCTTCCTTCTCCTTCGTGTCAAACATGACCCCGTAACGCACTCGGTTATACAATCCGCTACCCTGAGGATCGGCTACTACCACGGTCAAGTTGGGGATCTTTGGCTTGAGAAACAGGGCCACGCCGGAAATTGTGCCTCCAGTCCCAGCGCCCGCGACGAAGGCGTCTAGGGTTCCATTGCACTGGGCGTAGATCTCCGGGCCGGTGCCATTGTAGTGGGCTCGCCAGTTTGCCTCGTTCTCAAATTGGTCTGCAAAGTATCCCCTACCACGTTGGGACGGTGTACCTGCTGATGACTCGGGTGCTGTTGAATGGGTATGGGCTTGAGCAAGTGCTCGCGCCCGGTTAACAAAGTTGTCCTTCTCAACTATAGGTGCTGGGGGCACGCGATCGACTACTGCGCCCAGCTTCAGGAGCAGATTTGACTTCTCGATGGCCTGGTCTGATGGCATACAGCTGGTACAGGGTTAATTAGGCTCGGTTGGTGTTGAAGAGGCACGTACATATGCGCAAGGTAGCCCTTCGCCCTGGCCAATGTGGCCAATGAAATCCCCGTCGACCCAGATGTCCCTTCGTAGATCGTATCTCCCGAATGCGGAGTCATCAATCCTTTCTCTTCAGCCTGTGGATGTTAGTGTCATCAGGCAATAGTTATATGTCACGTACTATCTCAATCATGCTCAGCGCTACTCGGTCTTTTGAGCTCTGGCCAGCTCCATTCAGGAACTAGGTTTTGTGTTAGAGAATCCAACATATGATAGACACATGGACGATGACGTACTTCAGCCTTCGCTAGGATTTCACACCCGGTGGCCTCGGACAATGACTTGATTCGAAGGAGAGGAGTATTCCCTATACAACCCTCAATTCCATCAACGATAGCGGGAGGCCCATGCCTCGCAGCCAGGGACTCTGGTAATGTGCCTTGAGCTGATTCCAAAGACTGTGATCGGCGTGCTCGGTATTCTCTGATGCGCTCCTCGATCTCGGGGTAGAATAGATGCTTGAAAGCTATCGAGAGGACAACTCCCGCCACAAAGGCGGAGCCAATATACACATGTGAGTTATCAGGCATCTTTAGACGTATGGGCAAAGAAAAAGGCCCATTTGAAGCAGTGACGGCAAGATAAAAGTAAAGTCGTTGGAGTTGAAGCTGGAGCTACGTCGAAGGAGAAAAGCTCGGGCCACCTGCCAACGTCCGCCCGCAATCGATCGAGATTCCGCTCCTCACTATCCAGCTTCCTCCTCCACGCTTTTACCCTCATCTCCCCAGCTAAAGACCGTCCTGCTATGGACTCTCCGGTCCTGAATCAGCTGTTTCGACAGCTGTTTCGTCACCCAGCGTGTCAATCCGTTCGTTCATCACCTTCGTCGCACACATTTCGCCTATCTCGGTCTCAACAACAGTGCCGGCCGTTCCTCACGCGTCGGGCGGCGGCCAAGCGCAAGTGTACCGACGATGGCTTGAATTGGACAAAGCGCGGCGATTATCCGAAGAATATAGATGAGGAATTGAAGACATACCCGTTAATGACGGCGAAGCAATTGCGGCATCGGCAAGACCGGCCACGCCAGGTACAGATGTTGACGAGAGAATTTATCGATGGTGAGCCTTCGGATCCGTTGCGCAACATGTGCATGTTTGCTGACAGTATTGTTTTCTCATTATCAGATAGTTTGTATAACCCGCATTACGGCTATTTCTCCAAGCACGCGACCATCTTTAGCCCTGGGGAGCCATTTAATTTTAATGATATCGAGGACGGGCCAGCTTTCCACCGGATGCTAGGGGAGCGCTACACAGAATTCGAGGATATACTGGATGAGAAAAGTCCGGACGAGGCCCGTCAGTTGTGGCATACACCGACCGAGCTGTTTCGGCCTTACTATGGGGAGACCATTGCCCGCTATCTAGTGTCGAATTACAAACTGACGCTGTACCCCTACCACGATCTTATCATATACGAAATGGGTGCAGGAAATGGAACCCTCATGATCAATATCCTCGATTTCATACGCGACACAGACTACGAGGTCTACCAACGAACCAAGTTCCGCATTATTGAAATCTCCCCGGCGCTGGCTGGGCTTCAGATGAAGAACTTGACCGACTCGCTCTATGCTGCCGGCCATCTGGACCATGTGGAGATTATCAACAAATCCATCTTCGAGTGGGACACCTATGTGCACTCGCCCTGCTTTTTTCTTGCGCTCGAGGTGTTTGACAACTTCGCTCATGATGCCATTCGCTACGACACTAAGACAGAGATGCCGCAACAGGGCGGGGTGTTGATCGATGGAGATGGCGAATTTCACGAGTTTTGGACTCCCAAGCTGGACCCTGTGGCTTCCCGATTCCTGCGTGTTCGTCAAGCCGCAGCTCGGCGCGAATTCCCTAGTCCGTTGGGACCGCGGCTTACACGGCAAGTCCGTGGAGCTCTACCCTTCCAGAAGCCTTACACAATTCCTGAGTACATTCCTACTCGACTGATGCAATTCTTCGACATACTCGACAATTACTTCCCTGGCCACCGACTCTTGGCCAGTGACTTCAGCAGCCTTCCGGACGCGGTTCTGGGGATCAATGCGCCGGTGGTACAAACACGGTACAAGAGGAGGACAGTACCAGTCACCACTCCTTTTGTAAGTGACCATGGCCCTAAAGGAGCGTGCAACCAGCTTACATCCTACAGGTCCACCAAGGTTATTTCGATATCTTTTTTCCCACAGACTTCAATGTCATCGAGGACATCTACCGAGCTGTCACCGGGAAGCTCACACAAGTAGCGAGCCACGAAGATTTCATCCGACGCTGGGCGTACGTTGAAGACACAGAGACCAGGAGCGGCGAGAATCCGCTTTTGACGTGGTATAAGAACGCCAGCATGTTGATAACTGTCTAATGTACATGTTACGGCCAGGAATGTAATTATAGAACCGTGATAACACGCCAGGAACAATGATGAACAAGCATTCATATCTCCAAATTCAGGCTTATCTCTAAGTCATTCGGTTAAGACTTAGAGAGTTGACCCCTCTTTCTCCGCAGATAACCATTCTTCCTTCATAACGCCCGAAACAAGCGCCCCAACATTCTCAGAAAGAGTCCCCAAGGAAACGCAATCTGGCAAGAAAGTGAAGATGACAGAACCTCACTGGAAACCCATCGTGCACCGAAAGCGCCTTACCCAGCTGCAGTCCATCCCCCAGCCCTGGCGCCTGCCCGCATCAACCCTCACCTCCACCAAAACTCCCCTAGAAACAATCCAGACTTGTGGCATTCTGAACTCCGAAGAGCTTCAATGGACAGAGATCGCCGGCATCACCGAGCTAGTTCGCCTGCTCACCTCGCGCTCCGTGACCTCCGTGCAACTGACAACCGCATTCTGTAAGCGCGCCGCCATCGCGCAGCAGTTGACGGGCTGCCTAACGGAAATATTCTTTGACCGGGCGCTGCAGAGGGCAAAGCGTCTAGATGAGGAGTTCGAGAGGACTGGGAAGGTCGCGGGGCCTCTGCATGGCATACCAGTTTCTGTTAAGGATCGGTTTGATGTGGAGGGGTTTGATACTACTGTTGGTACGTCCTACTATGCCTCTGCGATTGACTTTGCGGTAGACTAAATGGGGCTGGCTTATTTCAGGCTGGGTAGGACTGGCCAACAAACCAGCAGCAAAGTCGGACTCCGTTGTGCAATTGCTGGAATCCATGGGAGCTGTTCTGTACGTTAAGACAAATGTTCCTCAGTCTTTGATGGTGAGTATTCTCCATCTCTTACTGAGCGAGCTTGAACTGACTAAGGGTAGATGTCCGACTCGTACAACCACGTCTTTGGACAGTCCGTCAACGCCTTCAACACCGCGCTCATCTCGGGCGGTAGTTCCGGAGGCGAAGGCGCGCTCGTTGGTGCTGGGGGAAGCATCTTGGGGATCGGGACGGACATAGGAGGCTCGATCCGCGTGCCATCCAACCTCCAGGGCCTGTACTCGATCTGCCCTACAACGGGGCGGGTCCCGTGGAATTGCTCTTTGTAAGTGCGCTCTCCCCAGTGATTCACACGTGAGACTCGGTGGTGTACTGACGCATACCAGCATGCATCAGCACTACCTTGTTCCACCGGTGGCAGGTCCCATGGCCAGAAGTCTTCCAACGATCGAGTACTTCATGCAGAGCCTCCTAGACTCGAATCCATGGAATCTTGATCCAGGATGTATCCCCATCCCCTGGCGGAGAGAGATGGCGGCTTTGCCAACCAAGAAGCTGAAGCTAGGTATTGTCTATGACGACGGCGTCGTACGGCCCCAGCCTCCTGTTATGCGGGCTATGCGGGAGGTTGCAAAGAGATTGACCGATGCCGGTCACGAAGGTAACCCTAATAATGATCCTGACCTGGACCCGTAACAACCGTCTAACTAACAACGCAGTGGTCGAATGGGACACATCCCTCCACACAGCCGGCACAAACCTCTGGACAAAATCCGTCCTCTCCGACGGCGGCCATCACTGCCGGCAGCTTTGCGCTATCGTCGACGAACCCTTAATCCAGGGTATGGTTGTCGGAACAGCAGCAGACGAGCTGTCGAGCGTCGAGAAGGAAAAGGTACCCATCCCGCCCATCCCAACACGCAAGTCGTATCTAACCTAGTCCACATCCAGCTCGAAGAAGAAAAATACACCTTCCAAGAAGCGTACCTCGCGCAATGGCTCTCCAGCGGCATCGACGCGCTCGTCCTCCCCGTAACGCCCTGGGTCGGGTATAAGCCGAAGCAATGGGTGCAAAGCAGCCAGTGGCTGGGCTATACGGCGCTGTACAATCTGCTAAACTACGCGGCTGTTACTGTGCCCGTGGCGAAGGCGGATGAGCAGCTTGACCATCCTGTTTCCGGGATCGACGAGGAGTGGAAGACTTATGCTCCCAGGAACGAGGCGGATCGGTTTAATTATGGCCAGTGTATGTTTTCTTCCTCGTCTTTGTTTTGTCTCTCAGGGGACATGTTCGAAGGACTGGTCTAATAGTGTTGTGCGCTTCTAGACGTTATCGATTTGGTCAAAGAGATGCCCGTGACTGTGCAGATTGTTGGGGGGCGGTTTGGAGAGGAGAAGGCGGTTTCGGTTGCGAAGGTTGTGGATGGGCTTTTTGGCCGCTGAGTTGGTTTCTTCTTGAGCTTTTCTCTCCTTGCTATATTGTCGAGCTCACTTGACCCTAGCGTCATTGCAGGATAGACAACCAAATTTTACTTATAGGAATACTCTGGTCTACATTAGGAGGCTCCAGAGTGGAAACGAATGCACATACTAACAAAATCTCGGACATGCAGTAAACCATGCTTTTTGGGATAAATGTCTAGCATTGGATATCATACGTGCCACAGACACGGTAAAAGAAAGATAAGAAGCAAAGAATAAGAAATAAAGCCTATACACGCCGCTGAAACAAGAACAAAAAGCAAGGGAAAAGAACACCGCGTGGATTAAGAGCGTGGTGATGGTCCGCTTCATAACATCCAAACAAACTAAATGGATCGAAAGACATTCATGAGTAGAACGCGCCCTTCTGGAAACTCTCTGGCGAGATATCGCCCATCTTTCCCTTGAGCTCGGGCTTCTGGCCCGCGACAGCCTCCGCGGCCACCTGCGTCTGACTCTGCATCGTGTTACTGCGGCTGCCCGCCTCACTGCCTGTCGTAATAGCCTGCTGCTGCGGCTTGCGTTGGATGGTTTCAAGATACGGGCCTGGGAGGTACCCGACCCGGCCGTCACGAGCGCGGCAGCGCCACCATTCCGACGCATTGCCCATCGGGTCGGATTTGCTGAGCACAGCGACGATGTCGCCCTTCTTCACGGCCAGGTCGATTCCGTTGGCCTCTTGTGATTCGGGTGTGTAGTCGTAGAGCACGCGGCAGAAGTCGAGCTTGGACGGGTCCAAGACACCTTGTTGCTCGCCGTTGGCGACCATCATCTTCTGGCGCTGCTCCTCCTGTGAGCGTGCGAGGGATTTAATCAGCTTGCCCATCAGGTATGGAAGACCGAAAAGGGCGACGAGGAACATCAGGAACGGCTTCCGCGACGGCCGCGGAGGAGCCGGAGAACCATCTGGGAGCGAAGCACGGCCGCCCATGAACGCGGCAAAAGCCGCCGGAGTGAGGGCCGTGGCATCCGCTGGTGGCGGACGGCCAGTGATCTTCGCAATCAACGTTCTGAACCATCGGATTAATGTGAAAATGCCTAATGCGGAGCCAAGAGTGTTGCGCAGGTTTCCGAACTGCTCAGCGACAGAGACCATGGCTGCAATTGTTAGCCCAACATCCTAGCCATCATAGACGGTCGCACTCACCAAAAAACGAACTATGCGTCGCCATGTAAGTACTCTCGAGCATCTGCGCGAACCCGCCAAAAGCCCCAACAATGCTTTCAATCATCTGAAATGTTGCCTGGGTGCTCTGGCTGAATGAATTCGTTAAACTGTTCGGGTCATTGGGGTCGCCAGGCATGCCGCCGCCGTACATGCCTCCATACCCGCCCATACCACCGTACATCCCTCCCATACCGCCATATCCACCATACATCGAGCCCATACCGCCAAACCGCGAATACGGGGACGAGTAGCTTCCGTAGCCGCCGTAGCCGCCGTAGGGCGATGTTCCGAATCGTGAGGCGCCGTATGGTGAGTAGTTTGAGGCGTTCTGATTCGCAACGGTGCTAAGTGTACTAGGTCGAGAGGGTAGAGAGGGGGCGGTCGTTGCGTTTGTTGTGGAGGCCGCTGCGGTCGGGGCCGCCGATGTTGTTGATGCTGGAGTCATGGCTGTGGATGTGGTCACGGATGATGATAAAGCGGTGCCTTGAGGAGTTTTATTGTCAGTAAATAATTCCTTGCACTGAGGAGGTTATTCTAGGCTCTTACCAGCATTGGCGCCGGCTCTCTCCCAAGGCTTGGGTGGCGATACGGACGCCATGGGAAACGCGAGGAAAACTCAGTGCCGCATGAAGGGGTATGCAGGAAGAACGAGACCTGCTCAAAGGCTCTAGTTCAGACCTTCAGGGTCGAAAGGAGATAAAAGCCGAGTCTGCGGATGAAGGCGTGGGGAGAGAGGAGAGGATGTCACAAAGGAACGCAGCGGTGGAGAAATCGATGGCGATTGAGGCAAAGGCAAAGCGCATGTGGCCGGAAATGCCGAGGCCCCGAGGACCTCCACACCCGGCGGTTATCGCCACTCCACTACGGAGTACCCTCACGTTCGTACGAATGGTCAATGCAATAAACCTTGATATAGACGTCTATCCCGTATATACAATACTATGCGATTATGCAATGACCAACTCCAGCCGAACGCCATGCCCAAATGAAATAGAACCACCTTGACCGGTTACTACAGCTCATCGCGAAAAGAAGGAGGCGGTCGCTGTGGAAGCTGGATGCTCCAACTGCGTGGCGGCACTGGAAGACCTAGCCAATAACTCCAAAGGCGGTTGGCTTCGAGGACACCGATCTCCCACCTAGAAATACATTAGAACAGCCAATCTATATCTTGAGGGAGAAACTTACAATGTCCAGGGTATATTAACCCAGCTCTTGAAGACAAACATGAGAGTATCCCATACAACGGAGAACTCGGCCTTGAGGTCGTCCATGAAAGTGTCGTCCTTGTGCCTCACTCGCCGTCTCTCCCAGGGGCGCGTCTGGGTGATATACTGCCAATTTTCGCTGTCGTCACCTTCGTAGTAGAAGGTCGAGCCACCGTCTTTGACGAGACGACGCACTTTCTTGCCGCCCGCGCGGCTCTGTCCTGCGTTCGATCCGGCGGGGATGGCGAATACCTGGCCGTCGGTGACCTCCATTGCACGGTGGAAGCTTCGGACGGCGGCGATACTGTGAGAGATACGACCGAGCGTGTTGATCAAGGCTACTAGTTCTGTTCGGCGCAGCGCAGGATTCTCGCCGTTCTTGGTCTCGTCGTACTCGAAAAGGACCTTCAAAGCGGTTCCGTAGCCGTTGACCTGAAGCTTTCCCCAGAGACGGCACTTGTCGCAGCCGACGCAATCCATCAATCGGCTGACGTTGCGGAAACGGTTACGGAAGTCTTCCTTAAGATCAATGGCGCTGGGGTCTTGGAACATGACGTTCTCATCGAAGATCTGGGGACGCTCGGCGAGAGTGGAAGTCAGGAGCGAAACTTTCTCTTTAGTTTCTTGGTCTTGTGCCGGATCGCCCATACAGTACGTGTAGCCCTCCAGGTGCTTCCGCAGCTTGGATACAGCGCGCGATACCAGCGCATAGTTGAAGTACAGGTTCGAAATACGTTCCGGATGGTTGTGGAGTCGCTCCTTGAAACATTGAAGGTTAGGGTGCCACTGTCCCGTGGTTTGGTTGAGATAGTCCCAGCATAGATGTGTCGAGATAGACGCATGCATTCCACTAATGAGCCGATGGAAGACCCGCTTCTCAACACACTCATTATCCAGTGGCAATATATCCGGCCGCTTCGACTCTTTCTGGAGGACATTCTGGAAGTCCTGAATAGCCTGGAGCCCACCCAGCGGAGCAAAGGACGACTGCTCAAGCTCGGGGACCGGCTTGAGGAAACAGTTCTCACGGTAGATGGCATCCCAGACTTGGTTTGCGCCTGCTCCTGCATATCCCGTAAATCGCTCAGGGTTGTCAACCAAACTCACGTAATCACCCTTTCCGCTAGTCCCTTCGTCCTCTGGGATACAGTAGTCCCGCTCATCGCACTCATCATCGTATTCCACCACGCAACTCTCCCCAACACCCTCTCCCAGCATTCCCTGCAACGGTCGATCCCGCGGCCTCTCATGCTGCTGCTTGCGCCCCGGATGTCCGGCTTTCGGCCCCTCCAGTTTACTCAGCTCCTCCGCGCGCCACGTTAACGGGATATCGTCTTCATTGTCTATAGTATTCACGGCGCACGCAATGTTGCCGCACATGCCTTCGGAGTCGGACCAGAACGGACACACTTTATTGAAGAGGTTGAGGCGATAGTATGAAAAGAAATCGGTTTCTTGTGTGATGGACTGGACGAGGGAGTAGACTTGGTCATTAAGGGCATCGATTGTGTGGTAGGAAACGCAGGCGTCGGAGACCACAGCATTGTGGTCGATCTAGAAACAAAACTGTCAGACCATGTCTGTAGGTATTATACACAAGGGATAGCTTACCGCGCAAGTGTCGTAGCCATGCATGGACATTTGCTCTTGTTCCTTAGCATTGGCCAGGCTCATGAGGCCAAACACGGCCAGGTAGAAGAACTTGGCCGCGGAGCGCATCTTCACGGCCATTCAAGCGCACAAGACCGAGTTCGATGTTGAATGGGAGAAAAGCTAATCTAGATAGGCCACCGATAATAAATCAATGAGGGCGAGGAGCTGTGGGAGCTTCACATGAAAAGAATGGCAAATCGGAACGTGGCCATAAGTATACGCTGGAGAAAGTTGAGCTCAAAGCGCAAGTCGCAGAAGAGATCGCGATGCTATGAAAGACGAAGAAGAGGCCAGCAGCGAAGGTATGAAGGAGTGGCAGCTGGAAAGTGGACAAGCTGTCCTTGGTGGCGGAGTGTATGGGGAGACCAACCAAAGGATCATCCGATCGGTTTCTTATTGATAAACGGCCGGGTCTTGGCGTTTATTGATAGCGATCAGGTCACCTACAGCTCTACTGTCTGTACTGCTTTTCGGTTTCCCAGTAATTCAGTGTACTGTAGAATCAAGTTCACGGTACTTGTCGAGACCATAATCAACACTCTAAAGCTTACGCCTGAGGAATGTCAGCGACTCCGCAATACCCGGCCATTATTAATCAACGTCAAACAGTCCCTTCGACTTGCATTGTCCAGTATCTAATATCTTCTCCCTTTATTCAATTCAAACCCTTTTCCTCTGCCCCGTGACCCCGTCGCGTCCCGTTTGCTTACACTCTAGCAGAATCGGGCACGGCACCAGACTCCCGGTACGGGCTACGGCAACCCGCCAGACGTACACGGTACAGAGTATAGTCCGAACCTGAAACATCGCCAGGGACCCGGGCCCTGTCAGGCCACCAGGGTCCAAGGCTTATGCACCATGGTGATTGTGCCCGGGCTATGTTATGCAGTGCCTGATCTGACCTGGTCTTGGCTAGCCCTTGATCAATCTAGCTGACCTTGAGTACAGCGCTCCTCGCTCCGTATCTTTTCTGTCTGCAGGCAGCATGGGTTTTTGAGACCTCCACTAGAGTCTCCATGCACAGTACGACAGCTGCTTTCCATGTCTGATCAACTGCGCTTCGACGAAGACAACTGGCGAGGCAGCGCAATATGCGCAGTCACGCTACAGTTCCAGTTGTTGGCAGTTACGTATGAACATTCTTGGCCCTGTAGGCTCCCTAAATAATTGAAGACACCCGTACAGACGGATTACAAGGTAGGAGTGTATTCCTTTCTTCGCGCTCCTGCATTGGCTATAGCTTACTGGCACTTGCCAAGCCTTTTGAGTCCGTAGTCCACTATGCAGCATGCTTTACGGCCAAGAGATATACGTTCACGACGGCAGGTTATGAGATGCATTCAATAGGATGGTCTGTCGATAGCTCACTCCCAGTCTAGCTGCCTAATTACGGTGGTCACACATATCGCTGATCAATGTGTTTAAAGGGAGTACAAAACTGAAAACATATATATGCCCAACTAGGGCCCGAACACGAGCAACAAAGTCAAATAGGCTGTGTAAGTTGACGAGCCTTCTAGGCGTCCAATGAATCATCCGAGCAGAAAACATAACTCAGTCCGAAAAGCGCCTCAATTCAGATACGAAATTCGAGACAGATGGTCCAAGTCAACTCCACCAACTCCGTACAGATGGGTATTGGGCACAAAAAATCATCCAATCAGCAAAGAACAAAAAGCCAAAAAGCAAACTAAGTCGAGGCCCTGTGCTTTCGTCGGAAGACGTTGCGGATTGGAGCAAAGGGTTTCGCCGGCGTGCTTGTGTAAAAGGGATCATTCCGGAAGTCCTCATCGGTGTATTTCTGAAGGAATGTCAGTATCTACACTGAAGAGAAAAGCTAGATAGGCAACTTACCTGGCGAGGATGCCAAGGAAAGTCAGCCATCATATTATGGCCCTCTTCGTAGTCGTACGTCTGGCCCTCTCGATCGGTATAGCCAGAAGGGTAGAAAGCGATTCCGTCAAGAGGTCGGCGACGGTTGATAGCGTCGGCGATCTTGTGGTGGGGAGTTGCCTTCAGAGCCTCTTCGTTAGACTCTCGGACGGCATCAAGAGGCGAATGAAGGCTGATCCTATTGCGCTCTGGGTAGACGGCATCATATGGCCCTTCATGGTGATATGAGAACTGAGAGGCCGTGTCCAAGCGGTCGATAACGTCGGGGCTGACTAGTTGGGAATGCCGGAGATTTCGTCCGGGGCGTCGGGAGCGTCTTCCGCGGCTGTGCTGGGAAGCGTCGAAGAGACATTCGGCGTAGGCGAAGTCGGCAGGCGGGACTGAAGGAGAGCGGCCCAGTCTTCTGGTGGATCGAGTTGGTGAAGGTGATGGCGAGAGGAAGCGCTGGTATGGGCTTGCACTGCCTATAGAAGATGAGGAACTCATGCTTTTTGGACTTTGAGAGCCAAGCGCGGGGTATGCGTAATCCATTTGATATGGCTGCATTTTTGGATGTTGAGAAGGGAGAAGTCGATGAATATATCTGAGAAAAAAAGTGTTTCCGACAATGGCGCCCGCAGGAGGATTTGCTGCAAGGTGTCAGCAGGCTGCAATAGTACAAGGCACTATTGAAGCCTTACGTACCTGTCGCGAGGCCGTTGGTGGGGCTTGCAGCTATTGATGCGAGGAGGTATATAGACTCGATATGTCACTTGTGTTGACACTTTGACAGCTCGTTGCTATGAGGTGAGGTGGTTGTACGCGGGAGAAAGAAATCTGGGCAAGCGACGAGGCGAGGAAAGCATATTTATGGCTCTCTGGCTTAGAACAGTGGCCGTACTCTTAGTCTGAGTTGCTCACGGTCATTGCCTCCGGGCTGTGTGAGTGACGTGAGAGACTCCGGGCTGACGCATGATGGCTCCGCTGAGATCCGCACCACCATCTTTATCAATCACGAACATTGCCTATCCTGGTCTAGGTGGTTGCCCGTTTGGGTATGGTCTACGGAATTTGCGGGAGCACTAGGCTGCTTCAAGTGGGACAGGGTCCAGACCTATGATGAAAAAATGGGGCACGATCACTTCCATCGAACCCGAGCGGCTGTAGACTCCGATTCTGAGTCTAGATAGGCAAGAATACGAATATTGGCTGAATCTGACTTCTCTAATTGAAGTCTGCTTCACCGCAAATTCTCTCTTTGTATCATAAGGTTAGAGTCAGCTGACTCGGCACCCGATTCTGGGCGCCACGCAGCTGACGGAATGAAGAATGTATATGTTAGCCGAGGCGCGTCTTAGAGCTGGAACTCAATCTGTCTTTTACAAGTTATAGTGCTTTTCGGCGGTAGCAAAGACAGATACTTGCAACTTCTCTCAACCTCAATTTATTGAGCTGTTCTCTCAAGAATTGCGCTACAATTTAAGGTTATTCTTAGTATAGTTGCTAGCAAGTTAGCAACGGGCAACGGCGGGGCCGGCTCGGTCTAGCCCATCAGCCCTACACGTTTCCGGTCTTCCAGAACACCCAGAACACCCGCGACTATGACGGCGACACTTTTAATCACTAAACCAAGCTCATACATAAACATCCCCAACAGATATATTATCTTCTCACACCAGTGAGGAATGTAAGGACAGCCCCTCCATTGCCCGACAATACGGCACTTCCAGCTTGAGACTCTAACACCCCTCAACCACCCCATCTTAACTCAATTGTACTAGCCAGTTTGATAGGTAATACTGACTCCACTGCAGTCAAGAGTATTCTTAGATGTTTTGATACGGATTGAAGTCCAGCTTCTTTCTCCCGAATTATGTGATCTTTGCAACGAGTCAATGGATGGATACATACTCCTCAGGTTGGTGGTAACATGTGGTGCAGCAGGGAAGCGTCTCATTATCAACGGGGCCAGTATCACCAGTTTCCATGACGACCTAGCTTGCAGAGTGATAATCAAAAGAACTTGGCATAGCCAATTCAAGGAGCACGTCCATTGCCAGAGCCAATACAGCGGAGAAGCAGTTGCGAGCTTCATTGTGTCAAATGCGAGGTTCGTGATCTGTTTAGAGTCTTATCTGCCTTAGTCAAGTTGAATCTGGTCAAGACGGCCTTTGCCAGTCTTTTATGACCATCTCTCTAATACACAAATGGCCGAAACCCCCCAGGGCTACAGCGATACCTATCCAGATGCTGTGAACAATAGGTTTCGCGCTCATATTGTTTTATGTGGTACTCATCATTTCTCAGACCCCATTGATATTCATTATATGCTCACAAAGGCAAAAAGAAATATGGCCCTGAAAAGCATATACACGAGCAATCCGAGTCCAGAGGATTGACAGGGTGCTTCAAGCGGGACCATTACCTACTAACTCATGGAACGACCCTCGGGAAACATGGCTCGTTGCTGGAAATGGCTGCGCCACCAAGTTGTGAGCTCCTGGGCCTATGGCCACTTATTCGGTGAAAAAAACTTGAGAAATGAAATACGACACGAAACAGGGCACAATGAACAAACTTCTAGTCTCAAGTCAGCGTCCAATCCCATATCATCAGAGGAAGGACTCTGATCGCTGGGCAAATCATGGTGAGACTAGTGTTCCGGTGCCGATCTGGTCAGTATCGGGGCGAAAAGCAATAGAGATGACTGTGATTACTGGCGCCTCCGCGCTGACAAGATCAGCAGAATGTAGGCTCACTGCAAGTTATCAAAGATTGAGTAAGTACATTCTCATGCCAAAATCACCTGCAATGTCGTCGATCATAGCAACATGTCACAGCAACATGACACGGATCTATCGTTTTCTGCATATATTAGTTGTTCAGACCGTCTGGTAAACAAATCGTGTGCCTTGAGATGGTTACTTGACGATTTCGACCACAAGCCAATGAAGTGAAGCAAAGCGTAAGTGAGCCAAGAAGCAGTTCTCCTCCCAATCTACCTGGGAAAACGCAAAGGGGCCGACTGTATGGTTCAAAGATTTTCGTCGATCGAGCTGTTTTTGCAAGAACTCTTCTGCCGCCGTAAGAACTTAGTGAGTTTTTTTTCCGTCAGCCGCATGATCATGTACTTGGCGCAGAGTATGACATGCAAAAATGGGCGGATCAAGATTGGAAGAGGGATCTGAAATTGAGATCAAGATGGAATGTTGTGGTGAGAGAGAGTTGAGTGGATAACTATAGGTACCATTGCTGACTAACTCACTTTGCTCTTGGTCACGTGCACATAAATATATTTTGACTTGTGCCTAAAGCTGCAGATCTCCACGAGTCAAACTGGGGGCGATGCTCTGCTTCGACAGCATGCGCCATGGCTTTGGTGCAATACTCTGACTCGGAATCGGACTCGGAGAAGGAAGCCCCTCCCAGGAAACTCAACAAACCAAGCCAAGAGGCCCCAGGTCGTAACCCAGCCTCATTGCTCCCGCCGTTGCCTGCATCATTCCACGACCTTTATGCTTCTAGCGTCAAGGTCAGTGTCAGAGACGATCCGAGCCTTCATGGCGGCCGAAAGAGAGCGATTCCTCATATTGAGGGCAACTGGCCTACTCATATATATCTAGAATGTGAGTCTTATATACGGACTGCTTGTTTAGTCTACTCACTAAGAAGTGCAGGGTATCCGTCAAAAGATGAACTCGAGGTTCTGGGCAATGTAATCATTGAAGCTAAGCATGTACTCCAAGGGGAGCAAGCGAAACTCCATAGCTTCTTACATAGTGATCTTGGCGCACGACTTCCCCTTCACATCAGCCTTTCGCGACCGGTGGTCCTTAGAACCGATGAGAGGCAGCTATTTATGGACACTTTCGAAGCTGCGCTGAAAGACTCTGATATCTTGCCGTTCGTGCCATCTCTTGGGCCCTATGATGCAAACTAATTTCTCGAATCAGATTTGAGGTCCAGGTCGAGAGTCTGGACTGGGTGTCTAATTTTGAGAAAACGCGGTGGTTTTATGTGCTCCGTGCAAAACGGCCGGACAAAGATTGTCTAAATCGTCTTCTGCATATCTCCAATCGCTCACTCAGCCGGTTTGGTCAGCCGCCACTATATGCATCGGCGTTGGACTCTTCAGTATCTGAAGGGACCCAGCCGCATGCCAAAAGCAGTAAGCTTACTTCAACCAGCGACTACTCCGAGTGCTTCCATGTCTCCATAGCATGGAGCTTGACGGGGCCATCTGCTGAGGATAAGAAACGCATGGAAAGTATAGATCTTCATCCGCTTCGTGCCCTCAAGATCAAATTTGATTGTGTGAAGGCCAAGATCGGCAACAATGTCTCAAGCATACCGCTGTAATGCGGACATTGTCTGTGAGCGGGAAAGCTATCTTTTCAAAGCGTCAGAAAAGCTTGCCTATAAACTCGCGCTTGGATATGCGCCAGCAGCGGTCCATAGAGCGTGGTGAATACGGTGCGAATGTGCTAGTCTGTCCCAGTCCAAGTTATAGAGACGATTTGTAGAAATACCGAGAAGCCCCTGTGCTCCTTGTTTCTTTCACAACATCCATTCATAGGGAAACTATTATGATACCCAAATCTAAATTTCAATCTTGAACAGTCTATTACTCTCTGTCGTAAATAATGAACTACCGACTTGTTGTTCGGTTGCCAAAGAGTTGGTAATGATATGTGTAATTTACCGTTTTATTACATGTTGAATGACGCGCTCCTTTAGCTTCAGCTTCAGCTTCAGCCTTCATGTTTTTTACCTTCCATACCACCACGCGTCCAGCGAACCCTTGGTCCGCTAGTGGCTCTACACACTCTCGGAAACATGTCTTATCATGTCCCTCCCGTGACCCTCGTGAGTACTCCACCTAACAACCACCATTCCCCGATCTCTGTCAAGCTAACTGAACTCCTAGGAAGACCTCCAAGCCTTTCAAGCCAAACACTTCCCTGCGACCCTGAAGCCCCCCGCAATCCCACCCCTCGACACATACACCGAAAACCACTATTCTAACGACGAAGCCGACGAAGAAGACAACAAGGATGACGATCTCGGCTACTACCCCGACGGCGTAAAGCGCACGCTTACAGACGAGCAGATCCGCATCTTCCGCCATAGTGAGGTCCACGCGCTTCTACGCGAAAGGCAGATCGCGAAAGAAAATGAGGAGTATGAGAGGCAATATGGCAGTGGCGCTGAACCTGGACCTCGGGTCGATCCTCAGGTTCAGGCTAGTGGGGACCGAAGTGGGAGTTCGAAGGAGATGGAAGCCCTCTCTGGCTCTGCCTCTCCCAAGCTTCGCACGGCAGCAGTAGCCGGCAGAAAACGCTCCGCGGAGGATGCTGGATATGGAGCTGGCGTTGGTTCGCATGCTACAGCCAGGAGGAAGTCGCTGTCAAAGCCGTCAACGAAGTCGAGTGCCCCGAGGGATGTGCACATGGATTACAACGAGGAAAGTCCTGCTGCTGCTACAGCTACCAGTCAGCCTAGGGGGAGGCAGGCGGCTTCTCAGTTCATGGGTCGCAGAATCATTTCGTATGATGATTGATTTGGGCACCAAACCTGAAGCATTCCGCCCGACATTGCCTATTGATGAGCTATAATGAGCGTCCATCTCTGCGGTGAGTCTCTCACTTTCTTTATCTGCTACTGTTCCCCGCTATATGATGAAATCATCGTATCAGTCATCCTTAGTCGGAACGCCATACCATGAGGTACATGCGTAAGGCATTGACGACTTCAATCTTCTCTCTGAGCTAGTTGATTCTATTTGATTTCTTGAGTGCTTCTAAATCTCATAAGCTGACAATCTTATTGAACAAGGTCTTCCGCTTTATCTATACCCAGCAAGACGCTCAACAACTCGAAACGAGAACGCGAACGAGAACGCGAGCGCCATATGCTTATATGTGGCCCTCAATGGGGTTGGTATTTTGCTAACATAGCGCAGATGTTGCTTGCTTATAGTTATCTTTGTCATCAAGTCAACTGTATGCGCCCGGGCTTTGGAACTATAGCCCAAAAGAACGCTACGCCAATGAGCAAGCCTACCATTATCGGCTGCAGAACTATGACACCCGCTCGAGAAGCTATCGCTCCCGTCAAAAATGGGAATGCAGCACAGCCAACTGATCCAAAGCTGGCGGCGAACCCTGATGGAGTGTCAGTACTCAATGATATATATTATCTGTCTCGTCACGCACCTATCGCCCCGAGATGGAGCTCCTGTGGAACCACTTGGGTGAGGACATAGAGCCCCACTGGGTAGAAGGGGCCGATGAAGAATCCTGTTGAGCCAAGGTCAGACATCTCATTCCTGTAATGAGTTTAGCACTGCCTACCTAGCAAACAAACCGAGATGGCATTGACCAGAATGTTTGGGATTAGCCAGAACATCAGCTGGAAACCGAGTGCCAGCGTGATGTATACGAAGACCATGCGTCTCTCGCCGAACCGATGCGTGATGTCTGCCAGAGCAACGCGACCCAGGGTGAAGCCGCACCAGAAGACGGATGCAACGTAGCCAACCTTTTCAGGGTCTCCATGACGTACCCCGACTAGAAACTGCACCAGCCATCCTACCAACCGTTAGCTATACGCCCAATCTGCCGTTGAGTATAGGGTATGGTTTACCGCCCAGGGTTATCTCAGCTCCCGAATAAAGAAAGAAGAACATGGTGAGAAACCAAAGCGACCGATGTGCCAGCGTCTCGCGCAACTCTCTCCCCGCAGCCTCCTTAGCCCCTTCACTATTTGGCTTGAACAGCCCATGCCGGAACGCCCAAGCCGCAAACGAAGCGTTCGTCGCACCCAGCACAAGCGAGATGAGATAGTAAAGCTGCCACCGCGGCACCCGCGCCGCAATTGTATTCGCAACAAGCGGAGCCAGAATTGTTCCCACCCCATACATCGCATGAAGGATCCCCAGCCAGCGATGCGAGTTACGCACTGTCACCGTGAAGCTATTCGCCTGGGCGTTGGCAATCCCGCAGCCGAAACCCGTGAAGAGGAACGCCGCCAAGAAGAAGGGGAACGAGGGCGCCCAAAACAACAGTGCGAAGCCGATGCATTGTATTGCGATCCCGAGGAGCAGCGTCCCGCCAGTGCCTAGATGCGAGCAGATGTGGATGTTTGCGAAGGAGGCGCTGAAACTGCCGGCGAAGCTGACGAGGTAGATGTATGAGATTTCTAACAGGCCGATATGGAACCAAGGCTGGATGTAGGGAATTAGAGGGCCAAGGCAGGCGTCTGTAATCCCCGAGTCAGTTTCGACTCTGGTAAGTAAGAGTGCGAGGTAGAGAGATAAGGTACCGTTGAAGCCACCGCACAAGATCGAGAAGTTAGTGCTGGCTATCTTGCCATACACTTCTCGTGCATCGCTGTATGTCCCCTTGACTGGTGAGTCGGAGTCGGCCTCACTCTCGTCTTCGGGCGTAGTTGTGCTCTCTAGGTAGGGAGGCGGGTCGTCGTGGTCTATCAAAGTCATGGTCGGCGTTCAATCACGGGGACCTGATTGACCTGATGTTGAGCAGTTGTCTACGTCTAACTGCTCAGTCTCCGGGATAAACAGCTCTTATCATGTCTTCCTGCAGCGTACTTTTGCTGCACCGCACTGTTTCAAGTCGAGCTCAGATTATGAATCCTGGAGGGGGTAAAGCCAGCCAAGGGCCTTAGCAACAAAAAGCCGATGATCTGCCGAAGAGATAACAGACAGTGAGTGTGTGGTAGGTGCTCAGGCCTATACTCCGAGCGATATGCATGGACGTTACAGTGGCACGGTGCGGTGTCACCGTGGATGCTTCTCCAACTGCTGCACGTTCAACCCCGCATCGCTCCTTGACGTAAATGGACTGCTCCGCTCGCTCCGGCTTCCTCTTTGGGGCTGATGGGTATAGCTTATTTTATGACATGAATAATGTTTTTAATAATTTACAGTCGCGGGCTCACCACGCCGAGTCTCCGACCAACCCGAGCAGTGGGGACTGTCAGACTCAAAGTCAGAAGGCTTCCAGAAGGCGGCCGGAGTTGGGAGCTGGTTCCGGCCTCGGCCTCTGAGTCTGAGTCCTTGAGGCTTGAGGCTTGAGGCTGCACGCCACAATCTAAATTCCGAGCTTGTTCTGCCTCGACCAATGCGCGCGACTGCTGCGAGCGTCACGCTGCCGATCGCAGATATACCTCTTTCCAGCCCACAGAAATAACCTCACCATGTGGTTGACGTTTCTGACCTCCAGTCTGCAAATTAATAATGAGCGGCTGATGACTTGCCAGTAGCCCCCGGCATCGGAGGTCTTGAAGAAAATTTCCCCAGTTTCTTCAAGTTTCTGTTACGTCGCAGCTCGCAATTCGCTGTGCGGTCCACCAGAACCACTCGATCTGGTCCGCAGATGGCCCGGTGGCGGACGTGAGTTTCATGTCAAACTGCTCAGAGCAGTATCAGCGCCGTTGAGCTTCATCGGGCGCCTCCGAGGCTGGAACTTTCTTTTCACGTCGCCATCTGTCATCCCATTCTCTTCTTCTTCCTCATATACTCCGGCCGACGACAACCTCTCTCCTACACTTTCCCTCCCCATCCCGTCTGCTACTCGATCGATACTCTCTATCTGCCGATCTTTCCCATCAATCGATGTCCTCGTCGTCAAACATGACTCAGAACGCTGAGTCGCCAGTCCCCTACGGCCACGATGAATCGGGCCCAGAGAAGAACGTGACGGCCGACGAGGCTGCTTTTCCACAAGACGAGAAGAAGGGGAACGAAACGATGCCGCCTCCATACACGCAGTCCCCGTACACGTCAGATGCCTTTGGTGATGAGGAGTTTGCTGAAGTCAAATACAAGACTTTGAAGTGGTGGTACGCATCAATCGTCCAGTAAAACGGTTAGAGGATCATTCTGACTTTTTGTCTATAGGCAATGCGGTCTGCTCATGGTGGCCGAAACAGTGTCCTTGGGTGTCCTTTCGCTGCCTGCCGCCGTGGCAGGTTTGGGTTTCGTTCCGTACGTCTCCGATTTGATATAGCCCTATCAGACCACCAGAACCGCACGCTGACAGAGTACATAGAGCCATTATCATTCTCGTTGCGCTGGGTCTCTTTGCGACATACACAGGTTACGTCATTGGACAGTTCAAGAACCGATTCCCGCATGTAACGAACATGGCGGACGCGGGTGAGGTTGTGGCAGGAAAATTCGGCCGCGAGTTCATGGGCGTTGCGCAGATGCTGTTCTTCGTCTTCGTCATGGCGAGCCATCTGCTCACGTTTACCGTGGCTATGAACACCATCACTGAGCACGGCACGTGCTCGATTGTCTTTGGAGTTGTCGGAATGGTCGTCTCGTTCATTCTGTGCTTGCCTCGCACTCTGGAGAAGATGTCATGGCTCTCTCTAGTTTGTATGTCTGCCTCGTCCGTCATATTCATGAATAGTGCTAACCCTTCGAAACAGCATTTATCAGTATCTTTTCGGCCGTCATGATTTGCATGATTGGTGTTGGCATTTCTAAACCAGGAGTCAACAATGTTGTAGCAGTCGTTGACACCGACCTCTACCACGGTTTCACTGCTGTGACTAACATCGTCTTCGCCTTCTGTATGTTCTATGCATCCTCTATTCCAAAGATACCAAGCTAATGGGTGTCACCAGGCGGACACGCCGCTTTCTTCGGCCTCGCCGCCGAACTGAAAGACCCCCGCGACTTCCCTAAGGGTCTCTGCCTCCTCCAAGGAATCGACATCTGTCTCTACCTTGTCGCAGCTGTTGTAATTTACCGCTACGGTGGTGCCGACGTCACCTCGCCCGCTTTGGGATCTGCAAGCCCAATTGTCAGCAAGGTCGCCTACGGCATTGCCCTTCCTACTGTATGTCCCTCGAATATCACGCCTCTCTCCTCAAAGACTAATAGGAACTAGATCCTCATCGCCGGTGTTATTTACGGCCACGTTGCCTCCAAATACATCTACGTCCGCATTTTCCGCGGCACAGACCGCATGCACAAGCGCGATGCCGTCGCCGTCGGCTCCTGGGTCGCCATTGCCCTTGGCCTCTGGATCCTAGCCTGGATCATTGCCGAGGCGATCCCCGTCTTCTCCAACCTCCTCTCCCTGATCACCGCCCTCTTCGCCAGCTGGTTCACCTACGGCCTGTCTGGCATCTTCTGGCTCTTCATGAACAAGGGCCTCTGGTTCAAGAACTGGAAGAAGATCTCCCTTACGCTCCTTAACCTGCTCGCTATTGCAGTTGCCTGCGTGCTCTGTGGCATGGGTCTCTGGGTGTCTGGCAAGGCTCTGCACGACAACCCGAGCTCGGCGAGCTTTTCGTGCGCGAATAATGCTTAGCCTGCTTACTTGCCTATCTTGATATTATCGAATAGGTTCGTTTGGGCGTTTGTATACATATGCATATCCGGTATATATTTTGGGATGTTCAGCCTTACATAGACTCGGCGTTGTGGCTTTCTTTTCTTTCGTCTTGCATCGGTGGTGATCTACTTATTCTTCTGCATTGTTATGGTCATGGTCACGGTTCAAAGCATTGGCTGCGTCGCGCCCGTCGTGTATATACCTCTTCTGCTTATTGCATTGCTCAGCATAGCCAATGCTTCTTGTCTATTCTAATAAAGCTTGATGCTTGATATTGATATCACTCTTGACTCTGACGATCATCTCAGAATTGTATAAAGGTAAACTAAACTGGTATCCTCAATGAAAGTAAATATATACAAAGTAGAAGGATTGAACTAGAAGCAACCATGCCACTCCCTACAATTCAAGCCTGAAAAATAAACATAACAAGAATATTGATATCACGTCACCCCAAGCTTGTCCTCTCCCTCTTCATTCGTCTCCTCTTCCTCTGACAATCCTTGATCGCCTCAGGCGTCAGAATGTCCCCAGGAAGTTCAAAATCCCTCTCTCCGAGCTCCGGCACGGGATGCCCAAACGCAAGTCTCGTGCGCCCCTTCCGATTCCCCAACATAGCCTGCGCGCGGAGATGCGGCTTGTCGAAGAACGAAGTGAATGGTTTGAGGGGATCAGGAGGAGGCGGTTGTAATTGTCCAGGCTGCTCCGGTTTTCGCTTTCCGGCTGTTGCGGAACGGGCTTCCTGGATGAGTTGGCGGGCAGCTAGGGTATCGACGTCCGCGTCATCTGAGATTGGTTCGGGGAATGTCGAGGCTTCTTCGTCTTCGTTTTTGTCTTTTGACGCGCTTGTGTTTGCGTTTGCGTATGCGTATGATGATGACTCGGCGGCATCGGAGAGGAAGGACGCCGACGCGGGCTTGTAGTCTTTGTCGAGCTTACGGCGCTTTTCCTCTTCTTTCCAGACCTTGAACTTCTGGAGCAGAGCCGAAATCTCCGCGATGAAGTAGTCGCGTTTCGGCTCGTAGATTTTCTTCTCTTGCTCTGAGAGACTGCGGCCTGGGAAGGTGATGCCCATCACTCGTAGCCAGTCTTGGCTTTGGAGCTCATCCAGGAGTCGGTCTAGTTGTTGCTTCTCGTGCTGAGCGCGGTCGCGTTCTATGTTTCGGAGCTGTTTCTCTTGTCGTTCGTGCCGTCTATGAGCTTTGAAATAGTGTTCTTCGTTCAGTGGATCTTCTTCTGTTTCTTCTTCTTCCTCCTCTTTCTCCTCAAGTTCAGGCTCGGGTTCAGGCTCATTGTTTGACCGTACGTCAGGTAGAGTTATGACTTCGCATTTGTGTAAATTGACCAGAGGGTTTCCAAACGGGGTGTCCGCATCGAAGCCTGAAAAGGCAGAGGGAGGAATGGGAGGCTCGGTAAGGTCGTCAATCAGCTTAATTACTGTATTCCCCGAGAGAAGCTCTACAATTGCCGTTAGTATGCTCCGGTTTTGTTCCGCGCAGCGGATGATGCACGCACCTGTTTTTGGAGGCTCCAAGCTTATGATCTGATCATAATTTGGAAAGTACAGCGCCAATTCGCTCTTCACCCTCGACCCGCCATCGTGGGAGCGAAGGCTCCGCCGCTTCTCCGGAACAGCGCGATCAGCCGTTTCGACAGGTACTGCTAATGTCTGAGGAGTTGATTCTTCCAGGGGTGGTGCGACGGGTGACAGAGCCGGTCGGGGAATCTTTGGTTTAGGAGACTTCTTTGCAGCTTGTTCAGGGTCGAACTTTGACTTCAGGTAATGCGTGAGGCGCCGCTGGCGGTATGCCGTGGAGGTGGGCGTGGGCGTACTACTAGTAGTAGATGGTTTGGGTTTCGGAGTTGCGGATTTGGAGGCGGAGGCGGAGGTGACGGATTTCACTTTCGGGGCAGGAGCAGGAGAGATTGTGTCGAGGGGATCGGGAGACTCGCGACCACCATTCAAGTAGAAGGCCACAGAATTGGAGTTAGGTGTATGGTGCAAGCGGAGGTTTCTAGCTCGAGGCGTGCTGCTACCAGGTGGCGGAGAGGAAGTGGTGTGAGTGGAAAGCGCGAAGAGCGGTCGCGGTCGGCGGAGCTTCGTAGAGTTCGTGGCGGAGGGCGGACTGTCGATTGTAGTATTGAGGAGATCGGGGGAGCTCTTTCGGCGACGCGTAGGCAGCGGATTCAGACGGGGTCGCTTGGGGGGAGATGGTTGAGCGCCCGCGGGATTCTCGCCCGTGTCGTTGGGGTCTCTGCGCAGGACGCGAAGAGAGGACCTCGATCGCGCGGGCATGATGGCCGTGGAGGTCATTGGAATTGTAAAGGAGGCGGGAAACGATGGAGGAGATCGTCGACGCGCTCTGAGCACATAGTATCCCGTTGTGGTTGCTAGATTGACGTGTGGAAGGGGAGATTGGATACGAGAGGAGAGGATGGCGAGAATGACTTGGATTCGGTCAACTCGAGGCTATCGCTGTTTCAGTCACGGCATCTACACAATGGCAATACAAACGAATATAATTATGTTCTTGTGTTGATAGTGCATTATTCAGAGTCTCAAGTAAACGGGATACTCCTACTCGATCGCAGCGTCCATATAATGAATATATATATACTAGCACATCGGCTCTACAAAGCAACTACTTCAACCCCTTCAGATATCTTACCCCGGAGTCCAGCATCCACCAAGCTGTCAACTCATGGACCCAGTTTGCTAGTCCTCTCTCTAGTGGAAGCTTTACCTTCGCGTCCTTCTCCCTCCACATAAGGGTTTCGTTATGGAAGACTACTTTGTCCTCTCTCGTCTCAAGACCGACCACCAACCGTCCTTGGACTCCAAACAAAAACTCAAACTCCACCTTCTCCGCAGTGCACAATCTTACTCGATACGCGTTACAGACCAGATCCCCCTCGGTGAAATCAAGAGTTGCTATGTGCGCCGAGTCAAAGCTCCGAAGGGTCTCTGGGTCCGACGCCGTGAGTTTAAGAAGACGGGCCTGTGGCGAGGCTGCAAATGAAGACATATTTCGGCGAAGAAGGAGCCTCAGCAGTTGATTTAGCTCGAGGTCCGGTAGGCTATGACGAGGAGCTGAAATGGATGCGTAGTCGTAGAGGGTATAGTACCTTGAGCCGAAAGTCTCGGGAGGGATGGAGGAGATGTTGCGAGGTGTTGAGGGCGAGAGCTGGCCGCATTTCGAGAGGTGGGTAACCTGTGATGCGAGATATCGCTTTTTGTGCGAGAGGTATAGAGAGACTGCCAGCGAAAGGCCGCTGATAGCTGCTGCCGTGATGACAAGGGCTTTCCGCATTGTGAACACCTGGTGTGATCTCGGTAGCTCGAGAGATCGGCAGGCAGTCAAATTGGAGGATGATGTAGGCTTGAAGAATGTCATACGAGCTTGAGAAGATGACAAGGTGCGAGTTCGTTCCAGTCGGGGAAGGTCACGGGTTGAATACGAACTTGGCGTTTGTCATCTTGAATAGCTTCGTGTTTATCCGTATTGGGGAATAGGAGACTCTCTTTTGCATTCTAGCATGTTATACATTCTGACTGACACTGGGACTATAGCAGAAGCGATTGTAGCCTTGAAAATGCGCAGTTACCAAGCAAAAGCCAGGACGTGATGCCAAAAGCTGAACCTGATATTAGCGACTTGAACGTCGCAGGCTCCTCGTTGGCTTATGCCACTTTTGCGACTCCCCATGTTGGCTTTGTACGGACGGTATCTGACTGTGGCAGACTTAGGGCTTGGGAAGTTCACCATGATTTCCGGATTGATTCTGTCATCGACCTCGAGAATACGCGCAGGGCCAGGGTCATACTTCGCCAGCCCTAGCCAAGCCACCAGAGCTCACTACACAACCATATATTACCGTGGGTCTTACCCAGAAATCAAGTAATACGAAAAAAGGGTACCGAATCAACCAACTATGTCGCAACAAAGGAAGTCAAAGAGTCCCAGCGCTAATTCCATGTTATATCCTCGACATGACTTGCAGATGGGGGCGGGGGTGGCAATGCGTGTGCCAGTGTGATTTGAGGGATCAATGAAGCTCACGAGGACCAGGACCCATTCGGAGATGTGACCGATGAAGGTGGAGTACTCCATAGAGCACCCGACATTCCGGGGTATGATTGACGATTTGACGAAGCTCGATGCTGCTCATGCCGAGCAACACACGTGGATTGATGCATGGGAGGCGTTGAGTCTTGTGGAATCGTATCACGTCTATTTCAGTTACTTGTTAGTTGCAGCTCTGGAGTTCATTGTTCTCAAAAATGTAGTACAATAGGTACTATACGATGGGAGAGGGTACTCGTAGTTTGTCCCACCAGTCACCGGAGTTGATCCGGTCTCACCATCTTGAGTTTGTTCTTTCGGAAAAAGGCAGCAGGCGTCAAACTAAAGATTTCAATAACCGGCTGGAATTGACTGGGGAAGAACTGGCGCTGCGTCGCTCAAACCTCACCAACGGCCTCTCGACGTTTCGATTTGGGAGGAACATCTTAGTTGCTTGTTGATTGGAGAGCCAGCGCAGGATAAGAGGACGTGGGGGCAACAGCAACGGCAATTCCGAGAGGCAGGCACGTTTCCATCCTGACGAAGATATGAAGCAAAAGAAGAAGTCTGGATGGAGAAGACCCTCTCTGTGTGGGGTTGCGTGGGGGTAAGGCCGAGAAGCTGGATACGGACCACCAGCGACCAGCGATGAGAGCAGCTTCAGTCTTCCAGATCCGGTCGTCTGCTCGCCCCTCTTCGGACTCGCATTCCAAGCTCCATGGCCTCCTCCCTTTTTTAAACCCTTCTACCTCCCCGAGCATTCCTGTTCAGCTCTCCATTTTCTTCTCCGTCTCTCCTCGCTTTTTCCAATCTTTTCCCTCACAGCTTCTATAACCGCAGTAAGTCTTCAAATGGTATGCCTACCTCACCAGCAGGTCTAACAGCTTTGAGTAGGCCATGGTCAATCGTCCTCTCGTCCCTGGTGTCTACGTCCCTACTGTCGCGTTCTTCGCTGAGAACGAAGATGTGGACGTCGCCACCGTCGAAAAACATGCCGCCTACCTCGCAAAATCTGGGGTCGCCGGTATTGTCGTGCAAGGAAGCAATGGCGAGGCAGTCCACCTCGACCGCGAAGAGCGCAACACCATCACATCTGCGACCCGTCGCGCCCTTGACTCTGTTGGCGCGACTTCCATGCCCGTGATTGTCGGCACCGGTGCGCCCTCCACTCGGGAGACTATCAACCTCAGCAAAGACGCTGCGGCGGCTGGCGGTGACTATGTCCTAGTCCTCCCACCAAGCTACTACAAGGGTCTTGTCTCATCGGCTGCTTTACTCGATCACTTCCGCGCCGTCGCAGACGCTTCTCCAATCCCCGTCCTCATCTACAATTTCCCTGGCGCATCTGCCGGGCTCGACCTCTCATCTGACGATATCATCGCCCTGTCTTCACACCCTAACATTATCGGCACGAAACTCACCTGCGGCAACACCGGTAAGCTCACCCGTATTGCTTCGCAGGCTGGATCTTCGTTCCTCACGTTCGGCGGCTCGTGTGATTTCACTCTTCAGACTCTTATTGGGGGAGGTGCGGGCGTTATCGCCGGTACGGCGAATCTCATACCCCGCGCATGCGTTCAAATTATGGAACTTTATCGTGCCGGTCGCGTCGAGGAAGCCCAGAAGATCCAGGCTATCGTGGCTCGTGCGGACTGGCTCGCTATCAAGGGCGGGTTTGTGGCGGTCAAGAGCGCACTGCAATCCTATCGCGGATACGGACAGCAGCCGCGCAGGCCGTGCGTTGCACCTTCGTCGGAGGAAGCAGCAGCCTTGAAAGATGCTTTTAGTGAGAGTATCGAGTTGGAGAGAAAGTTGGAATCGCAATGAACCTGTTAAAAACCTGATCACGAGATAGTTAACGGCCGAAGAAGAAGATACCATAGCACCAGAGCCTTACTTCCTGACCTCACTCATGTAGTTGTCCAGCTATCCGTCATTGATGCCCGAGGATCTGGTATTGGCTGGAACCATCGAGTCACGAGGCTTGTACTGGTCGTTCACAAGCTCTCAGTGTATGTAAAGACAGAGTGGGCCATGGCTGTAGGTGCGCGTCTTTCCGGAATAGCTTGATTTTTCTGCTCGAGAAAAGGATAGTACCCGTCTAATAATGTCAGTGCGTCGCAGTAGCCGCGAGGTAATGCAGATGATGACCCCACGTTTTATTCCGCCAGAAAAAGTGGTTGGATGGGAGAATCTCGCTTCACCATAACGATAACGCGAGGTCGGTGGTTTGTTGTCGTTCGTTCCAATATGTCAAATAACAAAGGTTACACCGTTGACAAGGGATTACTCGGGGTCCCTAGATTGTTTTCGTCTTGCATGAGCCCGTGTCGCGTGTACGCACGAGCTCCAAGGAGCTTTACAACCATGCGCGGGGAAACTGGCCTGAGCTCGTGCGTTTTATTCTCCGTGGCTGCTACGGAGTATCCTTGTCTGAGAACCGGATTGGACCATTGGATAGAGAGCAATTGGATCTCGAAGTTATGCTCCGCGGTTTCTGGAATCTCGATGTGCAGGGTGGCCGCGGGAGCATGCCATTCCCGGCACCAAGCCATGGTATCAAAGCGGAATGTCCCATGGTCCGAGTGATGGTTGTTTATTATAGTTCAACGTGGGGTTTTCGTCGTGATGCGAGAAGTAGATCGACGATTCAACATCAGGCGACATCAGGCGATCAGCTCTCCGAAGCTTCCCTGAGCTCTGTTAATCAAGGCGCAACTCCGGACTACCAAAGAATGGAGAAGAAGCGACCGATAGCAGGCCATGAATATCACTTTAGTAAGTTGAAAGTGACCTTGATCATCTTGGTGATAAAGATGGTGTAGCAGCCAAGCCCAGAATACGAGACGAACTGGTTTAGGGGGCAGACGATTCTTTGACTCCGACTCCAAGAGTGATCTGATGTAACATTAATCGCGCCGGCGATGGAACAGAAGCATTGTTGGCTTGCAAGCCCTGAGCTAAAGAAGAGTACTGACCAGTTGGAGTTGGCAGCGAGGCTGTTAGCTTCGGTGGCTTTCTTGACCTCACATGCGATAAGATAGAGACTTGGAGATGGAGAGTATTCAGACTCGGAGGAGTAGCGCCTTGCTTGGAGATTGAACAAGTGGAGTGAGCATTTCTCGCGTGATGAGGAATGTCCAAGGATTGTTGATCAAGGGAAGTTTCAAAGAGGACGAGGCAGGGTGTTTGTATAAAGGCCGCCGATCGGTTGATCTGCAGCGCCGGACTCTGACCTGCATCTCAACTTTAGAACTCTCCTTTTCAACACTCGATCTCTCTCTCTTTCTCTGATTCCGAATTTACGACTGTTTATGTGTTCTTATCTCTAAAAGATCATGACCTACGCCCGCCTTTACGCCGCGCTGCTCGCGGTGGCTTCCACGATCGCCGCCGTCCAGGTTAACCCTCTCCCAGCTCCGCGCAACATTACTTGGGGCAATTCGGGCCCAAAACCACTGTCGGATGTCACTTTGCGTGCCGAACGAGATACAGAAGATAGCGTCCTCACAAATGCGTGGGATCGCACCTGGGAAACAATTATTTCGCTAGATTGGACCCCCGCCGGAGTCGAAGCACCCATTCCTAAATTCGACGAGTTTCCGACCTCGACTCCATCTGCTAGTGCCTCTGCAAGTGCTGCTGCTAAAAGGAAGCGCGACGCAGTGCCGCTGCGCTTCGTCGATGTGGATGTCGAGGATTGGAATGCCGATTTACAGCACGGGGTGGACGAATCCTATACTCTTGACGCTAAAGATGGCTCGGGAGCGATTGAGATCACCGCGAAGACCGTCTGGGGCGCTCTCCACGCTTTCACTACACTCCAGCAGTTGGTCATTTCGGACGGGCATGGAAGACTGATTATTGAGCAGCCGGTTCACATTGAGGATGCGCCTCTCTATCCGTACCGCGGAATCATGGTTGATACTGGTCGCAATTTCATCTCTGTGCCCAAGCTCTACGAGCAACTGGATGGAATGGCACTGTCGAAGCTCAACGTCCTCCATTGGCATTTGGACGACACCCAGTCATGGCCTGTGCACATCGACGCCTACCCGCAGATGACCAAGGACGCATACTCCACCCGTGAGACCTACTCACACGATGATCTGCGCAATGTTGTTGCATATGCCCGCGCTCGTGCAATCCGTGTGATTCCCGAAGTCGACATGCCCGCTCACTCCGCATCTGGATGGCAGCAAGTTGACCCTGAGATCGTGGCTTGTGCGAATTCCTGGTGGTCCAATGATAACTGGCCGTTGCATACTGCAGTCCAGCCGAACCCCGGACAGCTCGATATCATCAACCCCAAGACTTATGAAGTCGTCCGAAATGTGTACGAAGAGCTTTCGGGCATCTTCGACGATAACTGGTTCCACGTTGGTGGCGACGAGATCCAGCCAAACTGTTACAACTTCAGCTCGTACGTTACCGAATGGTTCCAGGAGGATCCTTCGCGTACATACAACGACCTCATGCAGCACTGGATCGACACCGCCGTACCAATCTTTGAGAGTGTCAGCGAGTCCCGACGCCTAATCATGTGGGAAGACGTTGTCCTCAACACCGAGCACGCCGACGACGTCCCAACAGACATCGTCATGCAAAGCTGGAACAACGGCCTCGAAAACATTGACAAGCTCACCGAGCGCGGCTACGACGTGATCGTTTCTTCCTCAGATTTCATGTATCTCGACTGCGGCCGGGGAGGCTATGTCACCAACGACGACAGATATAACGTGCAGGATAACCCGACCCCCGACACCCCCAACTTCAACTACGGCGGCATCGGCGGGTCCTGGTGCGCCCCTTACAAGACATGGCAGCGCATCTACAACTACGACTTCACCCTCAACCTCACCGACGCCCAAGCAGAGCACGTCATCGGCGCCACCGCACCGCTCTGGTCCGAACAGGTCGACGACGTCAACGTCTCCAACCTGTTCTGGCCCCGTGCTGCAGCCCTGGCAGAGCTCGTCTGGTCAGGAAACCGCGACGCGAATGGCAACAAGCGCACGACGCTTTTCACCCAGCGCATCCTCAACTTCCGCGAGTACCTCGTTGCGAACGGCGTCATGGCTGCCACCTTGGTTCCGAAGTACTGCCTCCAGCATCCGCATGCTTGCGATCTGAATTACGACCAGACGGCCCTTTACTAGTTGATTTGATATCTTTATTCACCGTAGCATACTAGTTATTTGCAACCTGATGATCTTGCAAGCGAATACATAACGAGATAAAAATATTCCCTGCTGAAGGCTAGGCCGCAGGTATTGATTTTGTACATCTCTCTATGCCGTCCTGAACAAGGGTGAACTTGTACTTTCAGTGCACTGCATATACTTTAGGTACCTACCAAGCTCAGCTTTACCGCTAGCCCTGAATCGAAGAGCCATATATCTGATATTCTTTCCGTAGAATCTACGCTAAGTAGACAAGAAGTTAGGGAATCAAGTATAATAAAGCGCAGCACTTGTCTGCAGTGTGTAAAACGTATAGTTTTATGCCAGTATAGCTGCCAGATTTCTAATGAACGAAGCAGTCTGAATTAACGACGAGAGCTATTTAATACCAGCAGTACCAACCAACCTGCCTATCTGAACCGTCTAAGTTGCTTCGTGAATGCCTCCGTCGGGTCTTGACTCGCGAATATTTCCCTGGTACCTTGCAAAATGGGACAAGGATGGATAGGCCAGGGCGTGTTTCTAGATCTGTAAGTCCACGTGTTAATCTAGATCTGACCTGGTACTTGATTGGACAAGATAGGGAGAGATATGAGAGAGTAGCGTTGGCGATTGTTGGACTGTCCATGCTCTACGGCATAATTCACCCTTCCTTTGCCCAAACATAGTGATAGGCCGGTGGGTGTGAGGTAGGTAGTACCTTCTGCCAAGTTCCTATGCGGAAGCCGTCAATTGAGGACAGAATACAGAACTCGTAAGGTGGCGAAGATGCAAAGATCAACCACCTGCATCAGCCCATCGTTGCAGTGAGTACTTCTGAAACGAGCCAAGGTATGTCAGCAGCGGACAACGATTGGCAGTCAGCGATAAAATACTCTATGAACAGAGCGCAACAGACCGAGTACCCGGTTTCAATAAGGAGAGCAGGTGCCACGCAATCAGCACGATGAATGACCAATTAATCTTTCCAATGCAGAGAAAAGGGGCCGTCGGGTCCGACGAGCAGAAAATTGGAATTCCAAATTCCCAAGCAACATGCAGAGCCAACAGACCAACCATCGCAAGAATCAAAGGATGCCGTTGAGATGGGTGGCCTAAGGGATAGATTCACCCCGACAGTACGATTTGGCATCGCGGGTAAACCGATGCTCCTAAAGATAATTGGATGAGGCTTCAGATGAGGCTTTAGCATGCTGGACTAATGAGCATGCAGGGACGCCATCGTGTCCGCATGGCCGGGTAAGGTTTTTCATCCTGTGTACTCTGTAGTCTGCAACTGTTTCAATAGTAATACTAATCCCGGTCATTAGCATTGCAGTGGTGGCTTAAGTCCGTGACTTTGGTTTCTGATACACAAGAAGCCCGTGATAGGGCCGGACATTGTCCGAGTCCAGCTTACTCAGGTCGCGACATTCGACATGAAACGTCCTGCCGATGGCTGACGTGCTTCGTACTTGGCCCGTTAGCGGCTTGTGCACTCTGCTTGACAATGGCACTAAAATAGCGACGGCCTCGTGGCCGGGAGATTGGGATGGAGATTGGGGAACAAGACGAGTGGGCCCGTCAGACTCAGCCCTGTCGTTAGCTTGATTGCAGGATTGAAGGAGTACCTTAGTTACAGTAGCCATAATAGTACCGTACTAACGAGTAGAGGCTCCGGGGATCCCGACAACTAGTTTAGTCTTGGAGATTCGTGGCTGCAGTGAAGAAAAGACGCAAGTAGGAGGTCGAATGGCGCCGGCCGTTCAGCTGCCTTGTCGATGCCAAAGGGCCTTGCGGAGGCAATGATTTGTTCAGCTGCTTCCACATCATCAGTGCGATCATTTAACGGGCGCGCTAGGACGGGATATGGATGCTTGTCGTTCTTCCAAGTGGCGGATATGCATATTGTTGCATCCATGACCGGGCACTGAGGGTCTATTCACGCCGAGAAATATAGGGCTGGTAGTCTCTCTCACTGCGTTGCTTTGGCCCTGTTCCTTTGGGCCGGAAGGGCCCCTGCGGACGGACTCACGCGTGGGCTGCAGGGCGAGTCCGCAAGAGTCGGTCAAGCTAGAGCGGTGCATGCGTGGTGAGCAGACAAGGTGTTGATTGATGAAAAGGGGAAGGAATTGATCCCTGTAGAACAGTCATTTGAGTGAGGCTTAGACGCATGGAACGACGACTTACTGACAGTGCTGCATCCGGGGGTTTCAGCCCTACGGGATCAGTTCTAAATGATATTCGCGGCCCGCAGGACGTTTGTTAGTACTGTCTGCACTGCACGGACTACTCCGTACTCCGTAGTCGCTTTTCAAAATGCGAAGCGCGCATATGAGGCTCAACAGCGCCAGCCGGCCCACGCAGGACCATCGATCGCCCACAGTCAACAACGTCAAAACAAGATCCCGGATATGGGTATGACTGAGCAGCAGGCTGTCTCAGATGGTGGTCCCATCAGCCAATATCCTGGGACCCGGGACTGGAAGCCTGAACGACGAGCGTATAACGAGCATGCGTCTGGCAACTGCCCCCGGTCCAGACACGGACACTAAGGAAGGAAGACCTAAGCTTGGCGAGTAGGCCAATAGTAAGGATGATCGCTATTAGAACCCCGGATAGTGAGCAGCGCTAGTACTGCTGTAAGATACGGAATTAATGGGAGGCCTTACCGCAGCACTGCTGACCGAGCCTTCTGTATGGGGACCGGCAAATTGCTCACCAAGAGACACGGTGAGAAAACAGCGCTAATTAGGGAGACTGTTTTGGGAAGCGAGATAGCCTCTCGATATTAACGAGTTCTCCTTTTTATCCAGGGATAATTTGCCCGATCATTGGAGGATCGCGATTGATAGAGCGGCTGCCACGTATCTGGCTGATTCAGGCAGGGAAAAAGGAAACATTTTGTGACCAGAAAGGCAGAGACTCGACCTCCACTTGTTTGTGGTTGCTTTTTTTGCTCACTCGCGCCTTGTGCAACTTCGGCCGATGCCTCGTGGCTGACAGCTGCAGGCATTATTCAGGTCTCAAAAATGGGGACTTTGTGATAGAGCAGTTGCAAAGCTTGGCGGAATGACCGGTCGGAGAGGCCGGATCTTAATTTGTCCTGCAGATCTTGTCTCAGCAAAGGGGCGGCCACTTTCCGCAGGTCCGCAGCACTCTCCAGTCTCCGCCGAGCCCACTGTGGACAGAGTACGGAGTAGGCAATGCTATGGCCCACGATCGTTGGAGCAGTTGAGGGCTATTCGGATAATTCGGTATCGACCCGACGTTAGCCCGATGGGAATGGGATATTCGTCGGCTACCATGGCTTAGCAATCAACAGGAGGAGTAGTGGAAGAGAGATGGAGTGCTTCGAGAGTGCCAGAGTGGACATGACTGCGGACGGAAGGTGCTGTTCTTGGCAGGGTCTGGAGTGGGCAAGTTGCGTACGGAGTATGGTACTATAGAAAAGCCTCAACAGCCCCTTACAAGTTTGTCACACCACGCAATAATGCCACGAGCGCCATGCCATGTGAGCGCATGGATGAGTCGCGAGTCTCGATCCGTCTTACTCTCCTCTCAGGACTCAGGTTCTCCTGAAGGGCTGCACTACGAAAGGACGGAAACGGAAATTCTCGACGGAGATAACAAGCGCCTGATCCTGGGAAAGCTTCTACATATTATCTCGAACGAACTAAGGGCCACATGGCTTGGAGACCCATTCAAACCAGCTGTTTCAGGAGTTCAGAATAAGCTGATTCTGGTTCAGCCAAACTTCAGGTACCGAATATCTAAATCTCTGGGCCGGCGCCCTCTCAGGCTCACGTGGATGGCTCGAAGTCGGTGCACATACTAGTAACATACCACGAGCTATGTGCACGATCGGCTCCGGGCCTTGAGTCGAGATTCCCATATTCTATACTTCGCAGAAGTTACTACTGCCTTTTCGGAGCACAGTTGTTCCCTGAGAGCGAACAGACGACAGGAATTACAGTATACCATGAATCGTATACGTACATTATTGGATCCCCTTGAGACTGCCATAGCAAATTCTATGCGACGAATACTCCGTATGTCCACGGAGCTAACCCCTATTGAATAAAGGCATCCTGACCAGTGGCCGGGGCGATATCTCGGATTCCCCATCAAGAATGCCGCGCCTCTGATCGACATCCTTCAAGGCTCTGCCGCTCTAGCCTCTCAGGAGGCTTTAAACCTCGAACGTTATTACTACTGTTGGGAATGGAGTACGGATATCGCCCCAAGATTTCCTTATTGTTGACGCTTGACAGTCATCTACTTCGCGAGGGCTAACTTTGTTTGGTTGTCCCAATGTTGATTGAGACTGGGAGTCGTGAAACTGAAGACTGAAGTGACTGTGGGACTCTTCAACGGCCGCCCGTTATGCACACGAATTGGCCAATGGAAACTCATGATCAAAGTCTCCGCTCATACTCCACAGAGCCTCTTTGCTCGTAGAGTCATAGCTGCTAGCAGCTGCGGCCTGCCCCTATCAACCAGCTTGATCAACTGACTCAGTCTCCAGAGCCTCGCCTCAACAAAAATCTGACTGATCAACAACTCAACTTCAAGCTCTTCCTTCCGCTCCCGCGCGGGTCGAACACTATCCGAGCATCCCATGCACGCGCTGGTTCCGAAATGCCTTCAGATGATCAGCTCAAGCAAATTCCCGGATTCCGTGTTGCGCCGTAATCCGTACGTGCTAGAAGGCTCCGCGCCATCCCTAAGCACTCCTATCTACTACAAAACCTGGCATTATTAATGTTCCGACAAGATTACTAAAGTTACGAATTGATTACCAAACTCTTTACACCAGTCACGGCAGGCGGGGTTTCTTCAGATGGTCATCGCCACCCTCCTAACGAACATGGGAGGCTATCTATCCACTAGCCCGAGCCATAATCAATGCTAAAGTTGCAGGATGAATGCTTGGCCTAGGTCGTCGCCATATTACAGTAATCATACAGAACAACCTTCACATCTTCACCTACCTA